CCCCCCCCCCCCCCTCCTCTCCCCTCTCTTCATCGTTGCTGAACACATTCCCTTTTTCTCGCAAAACAGCAACACCATCACCATCAAAATCACCAACGCCACCACGGACTTTGCCCACTCGTGGCCGCACACCTCCACCACCTGCCCCACCCCCAACATGCGCGACAAAATGTGGTACGACCTCGACAAGCTTTTTTGCAAATACTTTCGACCGGCGCCGCGACAGCTCGGCCACTAAAGTTCGCCCCACTCAGGTTTGCAGCTACACAGCGACGCGGATTGCAGGGAGCCTGCTCACCCTCTCCGCACACCAGCCGCAGAGTGCCGATCAGGTCGAAAAAAGTCCCGCCCTGCAAAAAGTCAGCACAACACACGCGCACAGAAGGATCAGGTCGAATAGCAGCAATGTTGCAAAAAGAGTTAGGTGAATAGCACAAATACACGTGATCGTCCTCGAACCAAATCGTCGTGGCTGAGAAGGAGTGCCAAAGAAGGATGCAGAAGCAAAACTGAGATACAGAGAGATGCAAGTGTGTGTGTGATGTGACATCGACGCCTACTGGTTGACCCGAATGCCTCGCAAGGGGGACCTCTTGGCAGTCGAACCCATCTGCTGCTCCTTGGCGCTCTTGGTCCTCGCCAACCCCCTCATCGCCGCCGGTCGACTAGGCGTATCCAGCGCACCGATCGCATTCTCGTCATCGTCATCGTCGAACGTGTCGTCGCTGCTCGGGCCCTCCTTCCTATAGTCCGCATCGAAAATATCCCCCTTGCCACCGAGCGCCGGGCTGGCCGTCCGACTCTTAGGCCTGCTCGCACCACCACTGCGCACAGAAGTCTGCGAGCTCTTGTAAACCGTCGGCGAGTTTCCCACCACGCCCGCGCTCAGAAGTCCCGACTTGCGCGACGACTCGGGCCAGAAACCCGCACCCTTTGCCGTAGACAACGGTGTAAACCCACCCAGCCCACTCAACGCCCCCAGGCCAGAATGGAACGGCGTACCCGAAATCAACCCGCCCGTCATGTGCGCCACACTGGGCGTGAGACCGAGCGACGAGCCGTAGCCGGCGTACGACGAGGTGCGCGAGATCGAGTGTGGTGCCAACCCGAGCGACTCGGTGAGATTGAGGTGCTGCGGCGAGCTGAATTGGTCGTCGGATCGGTGACGGGAGGGTGTGGGACGCTTGGCGCTGGCGAGGTTGGCCATGTGTGCGGTGGAAGCGGCGGTAGCGGTGCCGTGGCGCAAAGCAGAGTAGCCTAGACCAGACATGGGCTTCGAGAATGGAGTCGACATGATCGGTGCACCGCCAGTCTTCTTGGTCGACGCGAGGAGGGGTGGTAGACCTTCGGCTTTGATGCGCTCTGCGACCTCGTCGGCGACAGCCCCCTGGGATGGGCGGATGGGCGTGCTGACCAGCGGCGCAAGCTTGACTCCCAGCGCGGCGGTCGAAGCGGTGCCAGCAGCAGCAACACCCTTGCTCGCGTTGAAGGTGAGATGCGTCGGCGAAGTGGTGGGCGAGGCGGGAGCGCCAGAGTAGCTGAGCTTGCGTCGACCTTCGTAAGGCGAGATCTTGTGCTTGTCCAGGCTGAAGGGGTTGTCGCCTGCGCGATTGGCCGGGCCAGGTGTGGTGACGGGCATGGCACGCACCGAGTTGGCGCCCGAGGCCAGCGCGCGGGAGACGGGCGAAGGGCTGAGTGCCAGATCGTCCAGCGCACCAGCCTTGCGGCCACCGTCGGCGGTCGACGAGCACGAGAGAGCATTGAGAGCTGCGTGCGCAGAGGCGACCTTGCCTCGGCTCGGCGTCGAGCTCCAAGGCGCGTCCTCGATCGCGTCCCTCCGCTTCAGGCTCATCTCGCGGTCATCGGCAGGCGAGTTGGATCCGGAGCGAAGCGCCAACAGCTGAATCGCGGCGTCACGGGTGTCACCCTTGGGCGCGCGAGGCTGTGCGTCCGCCGACGCGACACCTTCTACAGTTTGAGCGATCGCAGCCTTGTCCGTGGGACCGTCGAGCGGAGGCAGTGCAGGCCAAGTGGTGGCGGGTGCGTCGATCGAAGTGTTGGCAGTGTCGCTGCCGGCGCTGCTGATGTTGCCGGCAAAGCTGTCATTGAAGAAGCTGGCGGAGCCAGGCTGCGAATAGTCGCTGCTGTTGGAGCTGAAGCTCGCATTGGCATTGGAAGGGATGGCCAAGTTCGTACCTTGCTGCGGCATAGAAGCGAGAGGGAGTCCGCCTCGACGCATTGGGGAGCTCGAGTAAGGGAGGCCGCCAGGGCCCATCTCCTGAGCGCCGAATGGAGCCGCCTGAGGCTGCATTGGGTATTGCATCGGCATCGAGCTGGGACCAGAGACGTTATGTGCGGTCGAAGGGCCCAGTGCCTGTCGCTTGACAGGACGTCCAGATCCGTCTTGAGAAGCAAAGAACTGAGCATGAGGGGACACCTCCCATTGCGCAGTCATGGAAGCTCTCCTGTTGGCCTCAGCTTGGCCTTGAGGCATCGACAGAGAGTCGTCGCCATTGGTGCTGCGCGAGAAGCTCATCGACATGCTCGAAACATCGGCATCGGCGCTGTCGTCGCCGTCATCACCGCCTTCGTCATCCGAGTCGTCCGGCAGAGGAGTGCCACCCATAGCGGCTTGCTTCTCTTGCAGACGCTTCTTCCGGGCCCATCGACGTTTGCTCTCGAGCATCCGCGCACGACGCTCCTCTGCATTCTTGGGACGGTTCACGTCGCCATCCCAGCGTGTGCGGCGAGGCTGAGCGCTGAGGGGAATGTTGTGCTTGTCCTGAAGATGACGACGCCAGATGCTGCGTGCATGCTTGCCGGTATATACCTTGTCGCAATAGGTGCAAGGGAATGCAGTGACGTCGCCAAAAGTGCCTGCCTGCGCGCGCGACATGGCAAGCAGGTTGTCGATGTCCTGCTGCGTCATGGGACCGGGAGTGCCGGAAGAGCTTGCTCGCGACATGTCGTCGCCAGCCATGGCAAAAGAGCCGTATCGCATCATAGGGACGCCCATGTTGGACTGCTGCATCATGGCCAAGTCGGAGTGCGTGTATGCGTGCGGTGAAAGCTCGGGTGCAAATCCAGCCACAGGGTTTGGACCAGCCAATGCCGAGTAGGAGGTGGATGCGTAGAGGTGCTGGTTGTATGGCACCGAATGGGGTGGCTGTTGAGGCTGCATGTGCGAGTCGAGCTGTGGGTACGAGTTGCTGTAGTCGACCAAATGCGCCGAGCGTGGAACGGCAGGTACGCGGTAGACAGCGTCCTGAGGTGAAGCAGCAGGATGCTGGAAGGAGCCGCTGGGATGAGCGAATGCAGACTGAGGCTGCTGGTGCTGAGGGTGCTGAGACTGGGTCTGATTCGATGGGTCAAAGAGCGCAGACTGAGATGGGGACGCAAAGAGGCCAGCTGGTGCCGCAGCCAAGTAGGGTGATGTGATCTGGTTGGATGGTCCCGGTACGACGCCACTTGCAGCCAAGCCGGCGTGTGGTGTGTGAGAAGGCTCGGCCTGCATTGTTGCGATCGTAGGTTGGAGCAACACAGGTCGAGATGATGGAATGCAAGATGGTGCCGTGGCGTGAAAGGATGTGGCTGGCGGTCGGTCAGTAACGGGCCTTTCGAAAGGATAGATATGCAGGGCTCTTGCGGTGCAAGTCTGGTGGATGCAGTGTGTGCGTGAGTGCCAGTCAGAGCGACTGTGACGACGGAGGTGATCAGGGATGATGGAGAAGAAGGTACGAAAGGGAGGGATGATGGAAGTGTAGATGCTAGCTGACTTGCAAATGGATCAAAGTTGCAGTGCAGTCGACGAAGCAGGAGCCCGCTTAGAGGTTGAGATGATCGTCGCGCTCCGCCAGTAGCTTGGGAGCCAGAGGGAGAAAATAGAGTAGCCGCGGGGAATGGATGGAAGGGAGGGAGGAAAGCAACAACAAGGGACGAGAGAGGAGGGTGGCAAGGCAGAGAGCGGTTTCATGCAGTTGAGCACCGATGCAGCCGGGTGTGCACTTGTGTCAGCCCAGACGATGCGCTGTATGCAGAAGCGCACGAGCTGCGCGAACTGTTAGAGGCGGCGATCAAAGGGAAGGGGAGAGCGAGGAAGATGGCAAGGTCGGAGGAGGAGAGTGGCGAGGTGCGACTTACACGAAGGGACTCGCAAGAAACGAGTGTATGCAGCGTCGATCCTTTGGGTTTTGAGACGTAATGAAGGCAGCAGAAGAAGAGCGGCGGCTGAGCGCTTGTGTGCTGCGAGAGGAGCGAGATGCAGCGGGTTGAGGGCCGAGGGGCGGAAGATGAGGAGCAGGCGCCAGGAGAGCAGTCCGAGGGGGAGCGCCCAAATGTTTACTCGAAGGGGGGAGGGATGCGACGGCTGACGCGACGCGGCAAAGCAAGAAGGATCCGGCGAGTGTGCTGCCGAGAGAGGAGAGCGGCGGGTGAGAAGGGGCTGGACTGTGGAAGCGGCGTCAGGGGCCGAGGCCGAGACGGTGGGAAAGTGACGGCGGTGGAATGGACGGGAGTTGTGCAGAGGAGATGCGCTTGATCAGCTTGTGGCGAGTGTCGAGTAGCGAGGAAAGCGAAGGACGATGACGATGGTGATGGGCCAAGACCGAGCGAGAGAGCAGAGAGTGTGTGTGAGATGAAGAAGGAGGGAAGGAAAGCCCGAGTGAAGGCTATTGTTGATGCAAAGGCAAGGCCGAGGGAGCGGCAATGGCACGCATCAAGCTTGCTGAGCGAAGGATCGACGAGGATAGAGAAACAGGAACGGATCAAGCCTTTGCCGAGCAGCAGGAGGAAAGGAAGAATGTCAAGCGCACCGAAGAAGGCCTTGCTCGGCGATGCTCACAAACGCGCGTCCGAGGCTTGAATTCTGTCAGTTGGGCTCGAATGCAGCAGCAGCGATTTGGGCTTTGACAGGATCCAAGTCGACGTGATTCGTGTTTTTGTTGCTCTCACTTAGAAACAATTGGCACCAAAGACGAAGGCGAGCCAGAGGCCGAAGGAGCAGGCTGAGAGTGCACCTACTTTGACTGAAATGAGACCAACACGATGTGACTGAAATGAAAGTAACACGATGTGATCTTGAGCTAGACTGCCCCTCTGGCCATTGTGACCGCCGCAGGATGGCTCGTCTCGCAAATGTGACAGCTCCGGGGACGTGACGGGAGAAAAAGAGATACTTCACATCACCGGTGCGCGCGGTCAGTTCATCATCAGACTCAAGCTCGTGGGCCTGTCTCGGTGCGGAGACCCCCCAAGTAACGCTGCGCATTCCTGCTGCAGGCATCATGTGGGTCGAGGTGACACGAGCCAAAGAGGAGACGAATTGAGCGTACATGTGGCTCGAGCAGCCTGCAGCCTGGCGGTCAAGCCGAGGCACGCCACCAGCATCATTGGCTGAACTGTGCTCGACGAAGGAGCACGCTCATGTCCGAGCTTAACCGCACACCTGCACATCAGTCACATCCCCGTTGGCGAGCGGCTCGTCCCCGTACCGAAGCGTGGGAAAGTGATTCGATCGAGGGATCAAACGCATTCACACGCTGCCTCGCACAGGCTCCGACCTGGTTCAAACTCATGCTCAATTGTGACAGCTCACCAGGAAAATTTCTTCGAGATTTACGCGAAGCGAGTTGAACTTTATGAGCATGGCAGGGGCGCGACGTGTCCGTCTCGCGTGCTGTCACGTGCCCACAGGACTAGGATGGGTAAGTCTAACATACTCCAAAAAAATTACTATCGGGACGAAGCCGATGGTCGGAAAGACTCCATTGATGCTCCGCTCTTGCTGCAGCAAAGGCTGCAGCCTGTCGTGGCTTTGCAGAGACCACTGCTTCGCCGCCTCAAGTCAGCCAACGTGTCAGCGTAACTCACAGTCAAACCCAACGTACGCCAGGCTTGCACATGCTGAACAGCGAGATGATCGTAAAAAGTGTCCATTAACCACAAACATGACTGAAAAGTGTCAAAGCAGCGAGACTGACATGCAAGATGCGTGGGTCTTGGTGCCAACAAAGCGTCGCAGAGTTGACCGCGAAGAGAGCCAGGTCGCCTTTGCCCGCAAGACGAGGCATCACTCATCGTCATCCAACGCAGCAAACCCGCTGTGCCTCGAGAGCAAGCTCCAGCCCGACACCATCGCGATAACCAGCGTCGCGATCAAACCCAAGAATCCAGGGTGCATCGCCTTCAGCCCGGTCGCGCCGCTGCACGCCGCGCAGATCCACCCACTCGCCAGCGGTGTATACGCCTGTGGGTTGTACAGTGCAAACTCCACCCTCGTGTTGGGCTGCATCAGCCCTGGCGAGGCGCCTACCGACATTCCTCGCTCATCGTAGATCAGCAGACGGTACGACGCCGCGATCAGCTGCGGCAGATTCGGGTTTGAAGCTTCTACACTTGTCGAGTAGTTGAATGGCGACCATACCACGTTGGTGGCGGTGCCTGGCAGGTTGGTCGCAATATTGTATGTGTTCAGGTTGTCCGAGCAGTAGGCTTGCACCGTCAGCGTCTGTGGGTATTGCAAGACGGATGTGAAGTTCCAGCCAAAGGTGACGTCGACACCTCGTGCGATCTTGTAGTACGACGGGTCGGCTGTCTGGACGGGCTGTGTGACGGTCACACCTCCTGCCGGTGCTGATGAAGGGATGATAATCGAGATTGCTGTGTTGGACGCCGTGTTAGAAGGCTGATTCCCCGTCGGAGCAACTGTGGCTGACATGATGGTAGATGTTTACCCGAAAGATTGCAAGTCTACCTCAATGTAGGCGATCGTCCAAGATATGAGCAAGCTCGTTGGCGGATGCGGCCAGGACCAGTGCCAATGTCCTTAGAATGTGGTGCTCGTGTGGACTCAGAGGTTCCAGTCACGTCTTGATGGTCCGTACTCGCGGTTGGCTGTAAGAGGCGCTAGTCTCAAGGTGCTGAACCAGCAAGGTCTATTGAGATCAGTTCGGTCGATGACTCAAGAACCGTGTTTTAGCCAGGCTGCGGACGTGGTAGACTGAGCTCTTGTGTTCAAAGGTGGTAGTGTTGGTTGCTAGAGCGAATGCGAGTGCAATTGCCGATCTGTGTTGTGGTTTGTATTCAGTATGCGGATTTTGAGTCGATGAAGGCGAAAGGTGTAGGTGTGGATGATGATGGTGATGATGATCGCAAAATGGAACGATTCGATGTTGGTCAGAAAAGTGGCAGCGAGCAAGTGCTGCGAATTCAGGGTTCGACGGAAGTCCAAGCTTGCTTGGCATCTGGCTGTGTGTCTCACCCTCGCCAGACGAACGATCTGCCCGCGCACCAGCCTGCTCGCCAAATTTTGGCTCAGGAAACTTTTTGGCGGCAGCTGACACGCAGAAGCAGGACCCCTTTCTCGCTTCACGCCAGCAGAACGTCGGAACTCCTTTGGGCGCTTAGAAATTTCACCGCGCCCTGCCTCAAGCGTTCCCGCGTGAAATGGGCGTCCGTGTCAGATGACCGCTTCTTGCAGCAGCAGCAGCGCCGCTTTCTTCTCGTTTGCCCATCCTCGTCTTGGCGACACCAAGCCGCACCGTTCTCAGTCTGCTACATTATCTCAAGACGTCAGTCGAAAGCACAAAAAGAGATGGTTGTAACAAGAGGATCATCATTATCATTAGGGGCAAATCGTCACAAGCCCGATCCGCTCCTTTGCGGTCTATCGAGGCCTGGCATGAAAGAAAGTTTTGGTACATGGTCTGCGCCAGCAACCAATAGGGTCATGGCACAGTTACAAAAAAGGGATCAAAGTAGGTCATGAAATAGGTGTTGAAGATCAGTGCTCCGCCTTTTGAGCATAGGCCTCGGCGCTCGATAGCGGTGCTGCTGGCTGGAGCGTTTGGCCTGCGTGTTGGCCGTACGCGTCGGTTCCGCCCAGAGAGCGATCGTGCTCCCACTTGTCCAGCTCGCTCGTAATGCTGCCGTACATGATGCTGTCCCTTCGCCCACCGTCCTCGTGGGTTGACTCGATGCGTCCGAGGAGCAGCTGGAATTTGTCATCCAGCTCCGCCAGCCGTTGGGTCAGGTTGGCATTGTCGCGCTTCAGCTGCTCGTTGCTCGTCTGCGCGGCGGTGAGCGAACGGTTGAGCGCGGCAGAGTCAGCCTCGTGGCCCTGGGGTGTGGGACTCGAGCTGATCTGCTTCTGGAGCTGCTCGTTGAGTTCCAGCGTCTTGTTGACTTCCTTGCGCGATTCTTCCAGACTGTGCTGCAGTCGAGCCACCTCGCTCTCCAGCTCGTTGACCTTGCGAGACGAGTGAGCGCCGTCGACGGAGCCAGCGCCCGTGTCTCGACTGCGCTCCAGCGAGCCACGGTGCTGCTGCTGTTCAGCGACGAGCTGTGCCAACTTTCGCTCCAGCTCGCGATTCTCGGCGGCAATCTCCTCGCTCTGCTGCGTCACAGCAGCGAGGTGAGTTCGAAGCGCCTCGATGTCGCGCGCGGCTTCTTCGGAGCGTGTCCCTTCGTCGTGGCTTGTTCGGCCACCCGTGTGAGCGCGAAGCTGAGCCACTTCCTTGTGCAAGCTGGCATTCTCCGTCTTGTACTTGGTCAGCTCGTCCTTCATCCTGCGCAGCATCTTTTCGGTGCCCTTGACAAACTGCACCGCCGTCTGGTAGTCGTTCTCCAGCTGCGCCATCCTCTCCTTGTACGAAGCCGTCGTCTCTGACAGCTCACGCTCAGCGAGCAGAGCGCGTCGATTCGCCTCGGCGACGCTGGTGCTGTCGGCAGTACCGCGGCTAGCAGTGAGCGAGGCGTGGTGTTCGAGTTCGCGCGTCAGCTCTTCGACACGGCTCTCCGAGTCCTGCAGACGGTGCTCTGCCTCTTGCACCTCTCGCCCACGCGCATCGATCTCCTCTTCGAGCTCGCGGATACGGCGGTCCGCGTAGCCCGACTTGACGCTCAGCTCGTCGTCATTGGGCACGCTCACGCCACGCTCCGCCATGAATTGCTTCAGCAGGCTCGACTTGACCTGCGCAGCCTCGATGGCACGGTTGCGGTCGCGCAGCTCGAGCTCCTTGGAGCTGGCACTGTCCCTGAGTCGCGCAGCTTCTTGCAAAGCCACAGCAAGCTGACTGCGAAGCGCGGTGAGCTCGGAACGAAGGCTGGTGTGCTGCTTCTCCATGGTGAGGTGACGGTCTTGCATCTCTTGCAGCGAGCTCGAGTGCTCGTCCGCCATCTGGCGCGCCTCGGCGTGCAGCTGTCGCAGCGACTCGGCCTCGTCCTCCAGCGCCCGCATCTTGTCCTCGACGTGAGCAGGAACCGCACCGGAAGCGCCCAAGTCGCGCGTAGACGACTGGTCCTTGTTCGCGAGGAGCGCCGCAAGACCACTAGTGGCAGCCATGCGATGCGCGTCCGCCTCCTGTCGATGCTGCGTGACGAGCGTCTCGAGCTCGGCAGCTCGCGATGCGTGACTGGAGGCCTCGTTCGACTTGGCTTCGAGTTGGACCCTGAGATCAGCAATGGTCTGCTGATGCTGCGAGAGCAAGGTGCGCTGATCGCTATGCAGGCGCTCGTACTCGCCAGCTCTGGATGTGATGGCAGAGTGGGCGACTTGCAACTGTGTCAGGGCTGCCAGGTGCGCCGCGACGTTCGACTTGGCCGCTTCCAGTTGCGTCTGCGCATGCTCGTGGTCGGCTCGGTGGCGCGCTGCCAGCGACGAGAGCGTCGTCACCTGCTCCGTGTGCTCGCGTAGTGCGCTCTCGCTAGCATAGCTGCGCTTCTGCAGCATCGACAGCTCGTCGTACGCCTTCATCTGCGCCGCTTCCGCTGCCATGGCTCGCTTGGCCGTCTCGGACAGCCTCTCCTCGGCCGAGTTGCGCAGTTGCTGCTCCAGCTTGGCCTGCTCACGCAGCGAAGAGACCTGGCGTTCCAGTTGAGCACTCTCCCGGAGGGCATCGGCGAGGGACTTCTCCAGCTTGTTGGCACGCTCTCGGTCGAGGCGCGTCACCTCATCACCGTTGCCAGACTCAATCGCCGACAGCTTGGCACGGTAGTAGGCAGCCTCCTGGAGGGCAGCCGAGCGAGCTCGGTCCGACTCGGCGTGGCGATCCGCTTCGCCCTGGGCTTGCTGCGCGATGGTGGCCTTAGCGCTGGCAAGCTGCGCCTTGAGGGAGATGAGCGTCTTGAGAACGCGGTCCTTGTCGCTACCCTCGGCACCGGTATCGATCCCATCGAGACTCAATCGCTCAGAGGTGATGCTCTGCGCGTCAGTTATGGTCACGTCGCCAGCGTTGAGCTGATCTGGCTCCACAAAGCCCTTCTTGACGGCCAGGGCGAGCGAAGCCTTGTACCAAGCTTCACGCTTTCGCAATGCATCGAGCTCGGATGATACCTGCTGCGGCGAGATGAATCCGTTGGGGCCGGGCGGGCTGGTGGCACGACCATAGTGGAAGGCATCTTGAGGTGCGTTGGCGGGCGAGTCCATCTTGCTCACCACACCGTTGATGCTTCGCATCGAGTTCATGTTCGTGGGCGAAACGGCGCCAACACCGCGGATGTTTTCGATCGAGCGCTGACTACGCGGGCCGCCGTAGGGAGTCGGACCAGCACCTGCACCTGCACCTGCACCAACTTGCTGAGCATATGGATGAGGCTGGCTTTGCGTCTGTGGTTGGACCTGCGGCGGAAGCTGCGCCTGGTGCTGCTGGACGCTTGAGGGAGGGCTCGTCGCGCCAAAGGCAGAGGCACCGTTGACGTTGCTGGCAGGCTGAGGTTGCTGGTAGGACAGCTGCGCAGGGGCCTGGTTGGCGAGCTGCTGTGGCGTCTGGGACTGCGGCTGCCCTTGTGTCGGACCGACGTCTGGCACGGAAGCCATCTGTTGCTGCTGTGCGAACGTCTGGACGTTGCGGTCTGGCGAAGTGGGCACGCTGCCTTGCATGGGTCTCGAAGCGTTGCGCATCGTCGGTGAGATATTCCTCTGGCGCTCATCTGCCTCGACGACTGGAGACATGGCACTCCGCACAGTTCCGTTAGGACCTGGGATCTGCGAGCCTGCACCAGCAGCCGCGGCCGCAGCTCCGGCGGCACCTGCTGCACCAGCTGCAGGCGGGACGATGTTGGACTTGGGCGGCTGCGAGGCGGCCGGACTTTTGATCTGCGAAGCGTTATTGTCGGTTGGGTACTTGATCTTGGCCGTGTCGAGGACGTGCAAGGTAGCCGGATCGTCAGGCTTTGCACCCGTGAAGCTCTCACCTCCCAGCACCACCACCTTGTTCTGGAAGGTGGACATGGCGTGGCCAGATCGACCGCTTGGCGAGGGACCCATGTTGGCAAACATGTACCAGCGCTGGTTGGTGATTTTGAAACTGGCAAGGTCGCCGAGATCCTTGCCATCGACGCCACGACCACCAAAGATGTACATGACATCGTCGACGAGACAGGCGGCGTGGCCTTCACGAGGGACGGGAATGTAGCCGATGCACGAGAGCTCCTTCCAGGTGCTGGCGGCAATGTCGTAGCACCACGTGTCGTTGTAGTGGTACTGGCCATCGGTTCCACCAAAGACGTATATCTTGTCCTTGTAGGTGACGCTGGCGTGACCCGTACGCCTGGGCGGCACGTCGCCATTGGACTTGAGGCATTCCCAGGTGGGAGTGCCTTTGAGGCTGTTGAGGTCGAAGCTCCAGAGGTCGTTCATAAAGGTACCGTCCACTTGGCCGCCAAAGACAAAGAAGCGCGAGCCGATAATGGCTACGCTGTGGCCATAACGACCAACGGGACACGTCTCGGGACCGTCGCCGGCTTTGACGCGGGTCCATTCGCGTGTGCTGAGGTTGAGGAGGTACAGTCCCTCGTCTTGCTTGTCATCGGCGCGCACTTTGGTGTCACCGCCCCAGAGGATGAGGACGTTGGAGACAAGCACAGTGGCATGGCCGACACGAGGAGGTGGAATCTCGCCTGTGGTCTGGACGAGTGTTGCGCTGGCGTAGATCTGGTTGGCGTTGACCGAAGCTGGAGTGGTGCCCGGCGGCGAGTTGGGGGCTTGCGAGACGAGCTTGTCGACGTAGATGGTGTAGAGGTCGTTCTTGACACTCTCACGCACGAGACCACCGAAGAGGTAGAGCTCGCCGGTGGTGCTGGCAGCCTGGTTGACGGCGTGCCCGTAGCGAGGGAATGGGAAAGGGCTGAGGGCACCAGGAGGAGCCTGGCGTGTCTCGTCGAGGAACTTGGGTGGGTTCATGACGAGACCACGTTGGCTCCAAGGGTAGACGACCTGTTGAGGTCGACCTTTCTCTCCGGCAGGCTGGCCAGGCGCATTGGAACTGGAGAGAGGAGGTCCAGCATCGGGTCCAGACGAGACGGGCGGCAGACCAGAGACGTTGCCGCTGGACGGACTGCCGACCGATCCCATGCCAAAGTTGGAGCCAGGAGCAGGCCCGCCCATCATCGGAACGCCCTGCTCGCTCACCTTACGAGAGCGTAGGGAGCTCTGACCAGGAGCGGGGATGCCGGAGCCCATGCCATCGGGACGTGGTGCTGGTCCACCAAAACGAAAGCCCGATGCAGCGCCAAGAGGACCAGGAGCGGGACCAGGAATACCAGAGGGGCCTTGCTGACCTGGAGCGAAGCCGCTACCGACGGGGCCGCCTGCAATCTGACCTGATATGGAACCCTTGTTGGGAATGTGAGAGCCACCTGGTGTGGGAATGCCGGATACCTCTCGAGCGTATGGCGACTGCTGTTGTTGCTGTTGTTGGTATTGCTGTGGTGTCTGTTGGTTCTGCTTTGCGGATGCTTCCATGGCGGGGGACATGGATGAAATACTGTCGCCATTGGGAGGATTGGAGGATTGGGACTGGATCTGGGAGCCGGACTGCTTATCCTTGTCCTTGTCCTTGTCGGACTTTTTCTTGCCAAAGATGGCCATGGTTGCGAGTTGTCGACGACGTCTGCTACGAGCACAGAAGATTGAGTGGCAGGAATGCTATGAAGTCGGTGGAGCAGCGCGTCGAGACAGAGCTGTTGTAAGCAGAGGGTGAGCACGTCTGACGCTTGACGCGGATGAAAGTCGTCGCGATTTATCAATGGAGCGCAGGATGTGAGCGTCAGGGTCGTAGCTGAGAGGAGAGCACTCTTGTCCGGGGAGAACGGTGCCAGTGCCTGAGATGGACCGTGGCGAGGCGTGCGATGGTGGGAAGATTGAATGAAGGTTGGCTCGAAGTGGGATGGGCCACGACGACGGCGACGACGACTGAATCTGTCACACAGAGTTCACTGAAGGCGCTTGTGCGAGGTGAAATTATTACAAAAAAAAAAAGAAATTTAAATCTAAAGATGCGTGCGAAAAGTCTGAAAGGGACACGTTGGCCTCAACTTCTCATCAACTGCTTTGATTCATCCCTCTTGGGTCATCGCCTTGCTGAGTCTATTCTCTCTTTGATGCCCCCAACGGCTTAGGATGGAGGGAGGACTGCTCATCGGGAGCCTCGTTGGGAAGGGAAATGCATCTCGTTCAAAGGCGGCAAAGCACTCAACTGAGACAGACTAGCTTCTCGTGCAGAAATCCACAACTTCTACCGCGTGACAGGCCAGAGATCGGGCAGAGAGCCAGAGAGCGCGTGTTCTGAGACAAATTCGGTGTCCAAGCGCGCACGGCCGCAAGATGCGCTTCTTTTGGCGACCGCTTCAAGGACGCGACATGCTTTCGGTGCTCGTTGCGTCTATGTTCTCGATCCAAGGCGTTCACCCAGCACACAAACACCATCCTTGTCATACCATTGGGACAAGCTGTGACCATGTCTTCCCGGCTTTTGATGTAATGCCATGACGTTGAACGAAGAGAGACGACGAGAATGGGAGCAAGCAGGGGCAGCTCTTCCCCTCTTGGTTGAATGGGTTTCTATGCTCTCAACTGCAGGAACCCCTCTGACCCTCGCTTAGGATTGCATATGGACTTGCCCCGCTTACCGAGCCAAATCGTCCCTTCATCGTCTTCAGATCGGGTTAACATAGGCGGTTCGTATAGTTCAGAATCGGCCAGAATCAACCATGCCTGAGAGGAGAGCTGCGATTCGGGTATCGATTGCGTCAAGCGTCTACCAGTATTCTATGCTGGGCGCAATAAGAGCACGAGCTACCTGCCGATGGCTCCGAGCACTCTTGCTTCCGTTTGTGCTATCAAAGGGTCAACTCGAGCGCCGATGATAGTCCTCAGGCCGTTGCGCGCGACAGACGCAGACGTAGCATCGCCGATGGTCGGGCTGGTACCAAATACGACCTGCGTGCCGTTCCAGGCCGTGAACCAGAGGCAGGCTTTGACCACACCGAGAGCAGCGCCTACCAGAGTCTGTGCAGGGGTATGGACACCAAGCTGCACTCGCGACCACATGACCAGCACAGGAGCTACGACACCCACCAGTGCGATCCATATGTGAGCCATGTTGTCTCGCGCTGCAGCACCCGAGCCGAGATGCAACGATGGATGCAGAGGTAGCAGCAGCGACGAGAGCAGAATATATGTTCCCATGAACGAGATGGTCCTGTAGATGTAGTGGCAAGGGACAGTCACACGATTCAGGGTCAGGTCAGCTCACACTCGTCGCCAGACCTTTTTGAAGGGATGTATCAGGCGCTTGGATGATACTTACGAACTATGCGTTGAGGGCATCCCACTCGTCTTCTTGACCTTGGACCCTGGTGGTCGAGGTTGCTTGATCACCCTCTTGAGTCCCTTGGCCGTGAAGCTGGTGGCCAGCGTACCGACTGTGAAGTAGATCACATGACTTGTGCGCAGATGTAGGATGCCGATGGCCGTTGCCGTCGTCACGATTCCTTGAGTATGCTTGAGCAGCCACAGCCCCGTCGAGAGCTCCTTTTGGGGCCGTCCTGGGTCGCCATTGGGCTCTGCTTTGGTGGATCCTTGAGCTGACATGGCAGCGACACACCTCCGAGACTGGCAGTCTTATGGCACTGCTGGCCACTTGATCAGTCACGGATTCTCTCGTCACCGTTATCAAAGGGAACAGTGATGTCGTTAGAAGGTATCTTCAATGCCGTCGAGACATCATGCCCTTGAGCGTGGAGCGTCATGTGGAGGATGGTGGTGGAGGGATCTAACACACTGCTTTGCAGTCCCATAGGTCTAACATTCTTACACAGGGAAAAGAATGATTTGCGGTCCTCAATTTTGGACGTGCATTTGCTTGATGCTGTTCTACAGTATTCCGCCTACTGTAGTTACTATCGACGTTGCCGGCACAGATGCCCGTCCACCACTGCTTCTTTCTGACGTCTATGTTTATCAAACGTCGAAGGCTGGCAGTCACCACCGTATGGCCGTGTCGAATGTCTCGATCCGCCATTCTTGACGGCGACAAGCGGGGAGGAGAAGGCTTGGCGAGAAGATCGAGAGACCTTCTGGAACGAAAGGAGTTCTGCGCGAATGCCAGCGACCAGTCTGCTCTCGTCGGCTGTTGAAAGGGCGTGCAGTGTGGGCTGCTTCAGCTGCTTCTTGCAGGTCACTCGACCCAAGCCAAGCCGAGCTCGTAGTTTTTCTTCCTTCTTTCCAAGGGAAACAAGCAATTTTGATGGACCAACACTGAGATTCTGCTGCAAAGTCCGAGACAAAACTCAAACAAACACGCTCTCTGTTGAGATGCCCGCCTTTTTGAAAGCAGGCAGAGAGCTGCAGACCGCCGATCTGGCTTGCAGGTCCCTGGAGCAGAGCCGTCTCGTGCCCCGCTGCCCCGCGACCTATGTTGCCACTCTCGGTGCAGTCCTGTTGCTGTGCAGCAGTGGCGCATGTCGATCAGCAGCAGCAACAACACCAGCCAAGGATCACAGACGTGCTTGCCGAACAACCCTCGAAACCTTGTCAGGGACTGCAACAGTCCGTACGCTGCGGGCGCTACAGCCCATGCACCCACTGGCCCCTCGCGTGGGAGCCCAAGCATGCCAGGGCCCTCCCTCCTGGCTCAGCTTGCCCCGCAGTCTTGCGGTGCCTGCACCTCGAGCAGCGCAAGCATCTACGTTGCACCTGCTGCAACCGCTGCTACGGATGCGCCTCGTCCTCAGCCGCGCCGCTGGGCTGCTTTCCTAGTCTATTGTCACGAGAAGCGGCAACATCAGCCCGCAAGACAACAAAGTTTTCTGATGCAGCCTGCAGATCATCTGAGATCTCCCGCATCCTTCCCTCCTCCTCTCTGACCCTTCTCTTCGTCATCGTCACGACCACCATCTTCATCCCTCCTTCCACCCTTCCGTTCCGTTTCCAGCATCGGCTACCGACATTCTTTTGGTCTCATCAGCACACTCTTTTTACAGACCTGACCAATCGCGACGGCATTCCGACTTTCGCCCTCGCCTTATCTACTCTGGACTACACAAAGCAGACATCACTCCTTTTGAAATACACATCAGGAGCGCTCGCAACCTGATCATCTCACCCGCCCATCATGGTTGTCGTCAAAAAATTCTCAGCCCTGGCTGTCTTGTCTGCTGTCGCCGTCACGGGCGCAGTCGCGTCCCTCCAGCCCGCAGAGGCCTCGCACGCTCACCAACATCGCGGCCTCGCAGAGCGACAGCTCCACCAGCAGCAGCAACCCGGCATGATCAAGGTGCAGAAACGCCAAATCCTTGATGATGTGACAAGCATCATTGGCGATATCCTGACAGGGACTGGTTCCAGTGGTAGGTATTGCAACATCCCGTCTGCTTCACAAGTCCCCATGGGTTTCCATCGCCTGCTCGTCAAACACTTCCTAATCCCACCTCCTCTTCCTTCTCCATCCTGCCTCTCCCACTCTGCTCCACTCACGCCTTGTCCACTCATTCTCTGAATCGCCACATGGCTGTACGAACCGTGATCGTCTGTTCCACGACCGTATGTCCATGACAACTTGGCCGACGCTGTAGACCTCGACGAGGCAGGTGAGCATCTGCCCAACACTCGTCGTGGTATCATTGGCGATGTTCTCGGTGCTGGTGATTATCCTTCCCTTTCCTCTTCCATTCTCCCCGGCGCCTTTACTGTCCACATCTTCCCTTTCCCCACCTACCTCTCCAGCGTTCTGTCCCTCAACCTCGACCTCCTCGCCCATCGCGCAGAAAGCTGATTCCTTCCTCTTCTTGCTTGAATCGACATCATTCAGGGGGACAATCCACTGACGCAGCACCGGCAACGTCTGCCCCTGCGACTAGCGCTCCTGCCGCGTCAACAACGCCAGCTGCTTCGAACAACCCCGCTCCGGCCAGCAGTGCACCCGCCTCTTCTAGACCTGCTGCTTCGTCAAACCCCAGGCCCGCGTCAAGCCAAGGAGGTAACAGCGGCACCCGCACCAGCGGCGGCAGTCGAGCAAGTTCGTCACCGGCAAGCAACAACAACAGCAACACCAACAATGGCGGCAGCACACGCGCCTCGAACAACAACCAGAGCAACAACAGCAACAACAACCAAGGCTCGGCGCAGCAGCAACAGCAAGCTACTGCAGCTAGTGCTGCGCCCACCGACACCAGCGCTGCCGCTGCTGCAGCCTCCGCATCGGCGGCATCGGCAGCTGCCAGTGCCATCTCGGCCAACTCTGCCTCGCAAGCCAGTGCGGATGCGCTTGCTAGCCAGGCGGCGGCGTCGATGGACGCCTCTGCCACCAGTGCAGCCGGTGCTGCTGCCACCACGGGTGCCGACCGCGCCAACAGCTCCAGCTCATCCGGCGGCAGCGACGGCACTGTCAAGGTCGTCGTCCCCATCGTGGTCATTGTCGCCTCGATCGCGTTGATCGCTGTGGCAGTGGTGCTGATTCGACGCTACCGTCGCCGCAACGACGAGGACGACTTTGGTTCGTATCCCGTCGAGAGCAGCTACCACCACCGAGGCATGATCGGTTCCTCCCTTGCTGCTGGTGGTGCCGCCTTTGCCGTTGGAGGTGCCGCTGCGGGTCTCACACGCGACCGTCCGCGTCGTGACAGCTACGAGTCGTTCCACAACGGACGACCGATGAGCAACCTCACCGAGGAGGAGGGTGACTACTCGGGCATGGCCCCACCGATGCAGGAGGTCTCGCCGTACGCCGCGGTCGGCAGCGCGTACGGCTCTGCCCGTGGCGGTGACTTCCCTGCCGCTCATCGCATCACGGACAGCATGTACGTCGACGACATGGCTGAAGGACGGGCGGTGACGCCGTTCAGCGACGAGCACGGCGCGTACGACGTCAATTACTACGACGGCTCCTCCACCATGGGATACAACAACCCGGCTGCGAGGGGGATGGATGCGGCCGGTGCCAGCAGCGGTGCTGGCAGGCCCTACTCGCCGTACGCGGATGTGCAGAGGGGCGACGCGGGCGCTGAGGGGTACTACGAGTACGATCGCGCTAGCTCCAGCCGCAAGGATCCGTTCACGGAAACGTCCCGATGGTCGAGTTGATCTGCTCAACGCTCCCGTCCATGCTCCGTCTGTTTGATCTATGATACCACTGCTTCCGGCTCTCGCTCGCGTACTTTTGCTTTTCCGCTAGTCGGATCTTTCGCTTTCGCTTTCTCTCGAGCTCTTCGAAGCTCGCTTTTGCTTTCATGCTTAATCCACTTGCCATCACGGAACCTCGCCATGCGTGATCTTGTCGTCTTGTTGAGATGAGCGTCATGCCGTTGAGATGGGAGCAAGGATATGAAAGTACAAAGATGATGCGAGGAGGTCACGGAGCTAGTGATAGACTACACCTGGAACTGCTTTGGGTCGATGCTGAGCTTGCAAAGCCTTGCAATCAATCCACCGAGCTGCACGACGGTCGCCACGCCCTCGAGGATCTTCATATGCGTCCAGCCGATCTCCTTGATGAACTCGAGCTTGGTGGCTTCAGGAATGCCATCCAGCGTCTTGACTACCCTGAACAGCGTCGTCACGATATCCACCGCCGCGTACCCCTTGGACCAGATCTCGTCGAGCTTCTCCATGGCCTCGTCAATATCCCCATTCTTGCATGCCAGGAGCAGCGTTCGGATGAGGAACGGATGTGGTTGGTCGCACACCTTGAACACGTTATCCGGGCTGACAAAGCCCAACCCTGTCCATGTCGATTGGAGGTTGTTGATCGCCTGACGCATGTCTCCTTCCGTCGTAAAGATGATCGCAGCCAGTCCTTCGTCTGAGTACTCGACCTTTTCCATCTCGCAAATCTCCAGCAAACGCTTCAGAATCTGTTCGTCCTTCACCTTGCCGTACCGCAGGATGGCGCAACGCGACTGGATAGGTTCGATGATCTTGTTGCTCTGATTGCAGGCGAAGGCGAAGCGTGTTGTGTTGGAATAGATCTCCATTGTCCTCCTCAGCGCCTGCTGAGCAGCGGGCGTCATGCTATCCGCCTCGTCGAGGATGACGATCTTATGCCGCCCAGCGGGCAGCGAGACCTTCTTCTGGGCAAACGTCTTGATCTTGTTTCGGACGACGTCGACACCTCGCTCGTCGGAGGCGTTGAGTTCCAGGACTCCCTCCTTGTAGGCATCGCCTAGGAGGGCACGGGCGAGACAGAGAACGGAGGTCGTCTTGCCGATACCGGGAAGACCCGAGATGAGAAGATGCGGACAGTTGCCGTCTTTTTGGATGACTTTGAGGCGGTCGATGGTGTCCTTGTTGCCGACCACGTCGTCGAGTCGCAAAGGACGATATTTCTCCACCCATGGCAGCTCGTAGCCTGTGATCGGCGCTGCCGGTGCGGCGGACGAGCCCGACGTCTGTGTCATTGTGGGTGATGCGTCGTGTGGTTAGGCTTCGCTGTCGATCCCGAAGAGGCCCTGCTTTCTGCCGCCGTCTCGTGAGTGGCTGATGGTGATGTCGGAGCTGCCGAAAGCTGAGTTCCGATGCTGAGTAGAGGCTGATGAGGCGTGGGAAGGATGAGTGTGTCAAGTGTGGAGCTTCCGAGACCCTCTTGACCTTTACGAAAGTCACACTCGCTCAGCTCAGCCTCGTTTGACAGGCTCTGCTGTTGCGTTTTTCGCCGCTGTCCGAGACGCGTTTCGCGTTGAGTGGTAAAGGGGCCAGCCGCTCTCTCACTCGATGGTCGAGCCTGCGCACGGCTGTATGCAAGCAGCATTTTCAAGAGATCACAGTCGCCTGCAGCAGAGCCAAATTCGGACTGTAGGAATTTCTGAATAGACAAGCCAAGATGAATGGATGGCCTGCGACTGGACCCTTTCGAGCCAACTGACTGCGCCGTCTTCTCCGCATCGTCATCTCTTTCCTCCATCGACCTGCATTGCATCGAGAGCGCAGCTGCTGGTCCGTTCAGCACCGGAGGCCATCCTGCAGATCCCTTTCTCAGCGAGCTCTCTTGCCCTGGAAGACAGCGCCGTCGTCGCGATCCACGATGCCGCCTGCAAGACGCGGCTCGCGCCCTCAGAAGGAGTTCGCCATCTCCCTCTCGTCAGATGACGAAGACGACGCCATTCTGAGAAGAAGCTCGTCCCGATCAGCAAAGGGCAAGGAGTCGACAGTGGACAAGCGAGGCCTTTACACCAATGTCTCCAGCTCTCAGCCATCCAGCACCAAGGCGAGGTCAACGCGAGAATCACCCAGGCCAGCCTCTCAGCGGTCATTCGCAAGGACCGCGTCAGCACCCAGTCCAGGGCCGTCACGGGCAAGCAGCTCGACTGCGCGACTTGACAAGCCTCGTGGGTGGACTCCGACTTCGCGACGCACTCAGACCAGACCGACCGAACGACGCAGAAAACGGCAGAGCTCCTTCGTCGAAGAGGACGACGACGACGATCTCATGAACGACCAGGATGATCGCGACAATGCGATTGAGGACAGCGATGACGAAGTGGATATCGACGACATCATCGCCGAAATGAACGGCGGAGGGTTCAGCCAGTCGAGTTCGCAAAAGAGGCCGACTCCCAAGAAGACCACCAGCGAAGCTGCGCGCTCCCGCACCAGAGCAAGCTCGAGCCGCCCGCGATCCGTGGCATTCGCCGACGCACCCATCCGACGACGCCCGCCACCTCGCGAGCGCTTCGCTCTCCTCGTCAATGAGTCGGATGTCGCTTCCGATGACCACGAAGAGGATGTCTCCGATGAAGGCAGTGATGATCTGCGCCAGGAGCTCGAGGATCTCAATAGTGACTCGGAAGAGGAGGAGCCCGAGACGCTGCGCAGGTCCTCGCGTCACAGTAGCGCCAATGCGAAAAGCGCCCGCTCTAGCGGGCGTTCGGACGCGAGAGGCACTCGATCATCCCGGAACCGGCGAATCGAGCTTCTTGATGATGATGACAGCGAAGGGGACGACTTCACGGAGATCTCTAGACCAAGCAAGAGTCGAGGCCGTGAAGCCGGCAAGAAGACTCGGCGTCAGCCTCGTCGCCAAGCAACAGAGTCCGAGAATGAGGATGACGACGACGACGATGTCGTTGTCTCTGAAGTCGAAGAGGAGCCAACAGAGGAAGAGGAGGACGACGAGCTGGAGGATTCGGACGGCGAGTACGGACGCACCTCAAAGCGTAAGAGGTCTTCGACCTCCAAGCCTGCATCCAAGCGTCAACGTCTCAGCAAAGACAGCTCGAAGGGCACTCCGCAACGCGAGCAGTCTCGCACGAGACCTCGTCGCAAGTCGGCCACCACGACCACCCCTGCCACACCGCTTCCCATGCGCTTCGCCCTGCAAGAAGAGCTTCCGACGCCCTTCCTTGGCTCACCCTCGCTCACCGAAGAGGCTTATGTCCTGATCGATGAAAGTGCACAGCCAACGATCTTAACGAATACATCTTCATTGACGGCATCGAACCGATCTACCGCCCATCCGACGGCAGCGATGGAGAGCAGGTGGACGGCGAGCAAGTGCAGGCGGTTTCCGACGACGGCTCCGACTCCGAGGAAGTGGAGCTCTACGAGACACCGGAAGCGAATGTCGACAGGCACTGGTCTACGTGCAAGCGATGCACAGGGGGGCCGGCCTTGCCTCTGTACAACAAGGCGCTCACACAGCTGAAACGCATGCGAAAGCGGGAAGAGAACAAGCGACGCGACCAGTCGCCCGAACGCATCGACTCGCGCGGCCGTCAGCGCAAGTCGCTCGTCGAGGACACCTCCGGCAGGGTCACCGCCGTGCAAGCCGCCGAGGAATGGCTCGAGGTGCTCGAAGATCGCGCCGGCTGGTTCGAATGCAAGACTTGTTCTGTCTCTTGGCACTGGGGCTGCCTTCCAGCAGATACGCAAAAGGCGATCCTTGTCGGAATCAACCGGGAGAGGTACGCACGCCACCAGACGGTCTTTGGCAAGGATGCGCCTGCACCTTCTCCCGTTCGTTGGATCGACGTTGACGAGTTTGTCGACACGAACTCGTGCCCCGACTGCGCGGGCTATGCCTCGTACTGCACCATTTGCAAGGCCAACGTCCATGGCGATCGCACCGTCGAGGAGCAACTCGGCTTCACCCATGCCATGCTGGCTCAGTATCCAGAGCCACCCGCCGAGCTAACAGCTTCGCGAATGTTCCGCTGCCACCGATGCTCCCGCGCCACGCACTACGAATGTCTCGCTCGTGCCCAAGCGGAGGACAACCCATCCGTCGAGAAGGTCGCCCAGTCGATCCAGGAAGCAGGGTGGCTCTGCTCGGATTGCCATCGCTGCCCTCCAGCAGAGAAGATCATCGCCTGGCGCCAGTTGGATCGCCAGCTTTGGAGCGACGAGGAGGCCCAGAAGGCTGATTATGCCATCCTGTCTGTGCGAGAAAATCTGCCGCGAGAGTACCTCGTCAAGTTCAAGGGCAAGTCCTTCCGCGATACCGAATGGGTCCCGCACGATTGGCTCCGTATCCTACACCAGCCGTTGCTCGCCAACTTCCTGGCGAAAGGAAGTCGCCTGGAGCTCGAGCCAGCTGAGCTGATCGAGTCAGCCTCGGCGATCAACACAGCACGCAAGAACCGTGCATCGCTCGCACTCGGAGGTAGCGGCAGGGCACTGCCACCCTCATCCATGCAGACCCGATCCGTCAAAAAGACACTCAAGGTCGACGAGGACGGCGAAGTCGACATTGGCCCGCCTGGTCCTATTCCTGACGCTCAGCGCCGCATTCCTAAACCGTGGAGGACACCAGATCGCATCTTGGCGGTCAAGTTCTACGTCTCGGTCAACGAGGATGATGACAATATGGACGAGTTGGGCGGCAACATCATTGAAATGGACGCGGTTTCCCTCGAAAAGCTGGAGCCGTCGGACCATGTTCGCAGCTGGGCACACACGGCAAAGCTGCTTGTCAAGTGGCAAGATCAGCCGTACGAAGGCTCCACGTGGGAAGATCCCCCGACACGACGCAAGCAAGGCGACATCTTTTACGAATGTCAGGAAGCCTATCGCTCGTTCCTGTTGGCGCAGAAGGTCACCTTCCCGGCCTTGACCGCCGACGAGAAGCAAACCAAGCGCGAGCGCCGCCTCGCCAAGTCCGGCTCCCGCTTCCGAGCACTGGATGATCAGCCGCACTGCATCGAGGGCGGCGACCTGATCGATTTCCAGCTCGAAGGTGTCAACTGGCTTCGTTACGGCTGGTATCACGAGAAGCCTGGTATCCTTGCTGACGAGATGGGTCTGGGAAAGACGGTCCAGATCATCACCTTTTTGGCTTCGATCTGGAAGGAGAGCAAAGCTGGTCCTTTCCTGGTGGTGGTGCCCAACGCGACGCTTCCCAATTGGCTGCGCGAGTTCGAAAAGTGGATGCCACAGTTCCGCGTCGTGCCGTACTGGGGCGAGGGTGCAGCGCGAGACATGATCTCCAAGTACGAGATCTTCCATTCCAAGAAGACGCTCGAGAAGATGGGCGGGTCCATCCGACCCATCAAATTCCACGTTGTGGTCGCCTCCGACACCACGGTGCGTATCGACTCGTTGCCGCTGAGAAAGGTGGAGCGCTGGGACGTCATCATTGTCGACGAGGGCCAGAACCTCAAGTCCGGCAAGTCCCTGCTGCTGAAAAACCTCAACGATCTGAAAGCCGAACATCGCATCATCATGACCGGCACTCCGCTCAACAACAACGTCACGGAGCTCTTCAATCTGCTCAACTGGCTTGAGCCCGGAGGACAGTGGAAGGATGTCAAGGCGCTTGAAGCCGAGTACAGCGTGCTGAAGCCAGAGGTCATTGAAGAGCTGCAGAAGCGCTTGAAGCCCTACTTCCTCCGGCGACTCAAGAAGGAAGTGCTGGACTTGCCACCCAAGATTGAGCTCATCGTCCCAACGTCGCTGCGTCCCATTCAGAAGAGAATCTATCGCTCCATCCTCGAGTCGAACATCGAGGACATCCAGGCTCTCGCTGCGTCTCGGGCAACAGGTATGAAGAAGGGCAAAAAGTCGACCATCGCCAACCTCAACAACACGCTCATGCAGCTGCGCAAGTGTATTCAACATCCGTATCTCATTGCGCCCGACCTCGAGACGCGCGAAGGCGAGGACAACTACGAGGCGACCTGGGAACATCAACGTTTGATTGACGCCAGCGCCAAGCTCTCGATCCTGCAGCGTCTGCTCCCCAAGCTGAAAGCGGATGGCCACCGAGTCCTGCTCTTTTCGCAATTCGTGATTGCTCTCGACATTGTCGAGGTCTTTTTGCGAGGCGAAGGGTACAAGTTCCTACGACTGGACGGCAACATCGGTCAGAAGCAGCGCCAGAAGGACATCGACGCATTCAATGCACCCGACTCGCCGTACTTCATCTACATGATCAGCACACGTGCTGGAGGTGTCGGCATCAACCTCGCCACCGCCGACACGGTGATCATCATGGACCCTGACTGGAATCCGCACGTGGATATGCAGGCGATTGCGCGAGCGCACCGCATCGGTCAGACCAAGAAGCTGCTTGTCTTCACGCTCATGTGCAAAGCGACGGCCGAGGAAAAGATCATCGAGGCTGCAAAGCGCAAGATGATGCTGGATCATCTCATCGTGCAGAACCTCGACAAGGAGGACGAGAGGCCGGACGAGCTCGAGTCGATCCTCAAATTTGGTGCACAAGCTCTCTTTGCTGAGGGCGGTACCGAAGAGTCGGAACGCGACGTCCGCTACACAGACGAGGACCTTGACTCGCTCCTGCGTCGTCGCGAAGATGCTGTCGAGGAGGACGACAAGCTCAACGACGACGCTCGCGACGAGAACGGCGAGCCCAAAGGCACTTTCTCCTACGCTCGAGTGTGGGAGATCGACCAACCAGCTGCGGAGCCTTCCGCAGTGGCGCCAACGACCGTCGTGGACGACGATTTCTGGGCGGATCTCTTGCACAAGCATCGCGACGAGGCGGCCAAGCGAGCGGAAGAGGCGCGCGAGAGGGAGGCGCAGGAGAAACGCGCGACGCGACGAGATCGCATCAAAGCGATGCTCCAAGACGACGAGGCTGCCGAAGCCCCCGCTACGCCAGCCAAGAGGGGCCCTGGTCGACCCAAGAAGGTGGTCAAGCCGCCTGTCGACGAAGATTTCAAGGTGGTGGACGAGAGCGACAGCGACGAGCATGAATTGATCGATGCCGTGCAGGAAGAGGACGAGCTGCTACCTGCGGTGCAAGCCCTGCGACAGCGACAGCTCAAGTCATCCAATGCCGCCATTGCCACTGCAGCTGCAGCTGCGGCGGCTGCGACTGCGGCTGCTGTTGTCGCTGCTGTCAAAGTCGCTCCTACCTCGTCGGCCGCATCGGCTTCTGTCCCCTCAAACGGTACCTCTCTCTCCGCATCATCAGGTGGTGCGGCTGGAACCTCGACGCCCGCTGCTGCTACTGCTGCTGCTACGGCGCCTCCAACGCCAGTCAAAAGGCCAGTCGGAAGGCCGCGTAAGGACGCCCCTGCCTCTGCTCCGACGACGACTGCGAAGGCCAAGGCCCAGCCATTCAGCCTTACGCGCCTTCAACGCGACCTCATCGCAGAGCATCGCTTGCCGCGTCCAGCGCCGCTCGGCGACCTCGACCTCTCTCAGCCGATCGCCACCGTGCGACCAGGTCATCTGGCCGCAATGCGCAAAGTGATCCTCTCGCTGCTGCCTGACAGCGACTTTGCGACCGAAGTCGCCGAACGAGCGCTTAGCAACGCGATCCCCGATCTGGCTCCGCTGCATCAGCGCTTTCAGCTCACCAATACGCACATCGATTACTACAAGCAGACATTCAACGTGCCCCGGGACCTGTTCGAGGCGACCTTCAGCATCATTGCAGAAGAGAGCATTCCGCCGCAGATCCTTGCGCTGGCTTACGGTGGTGCCATCGCTCTGGATTGGAGGAAGATTCGGGAGCTTCTCGTGCGAGCAGCCACATACATGGTGTTGACACTTCGAGCCTCGAAGGACGAGGCACCGTGGATCGTCGCCATCCGAACCTGGAACGTGATTCAGGCTGGCAAGCCCGCCCCGGCGGTGATCGAGATCGCCGATTCCCCGCCCGCAAATGGGACGTCGCCCCCTGCGCCACGCCCGGCAACGGCAGCTGATTGCGTCAATGTGCTTAGGGATCAAGCGCGTCGCCAGGCATGGCTGGACGCTGTGCAACAACGAGGCGAGGTCGAATTGACCAAGATCGGACGGCTCGTCACATCCAATCCGATGTCGACAACGGCGCCCAACATGATGTTGATCGTGCAGAACTACATGGACGGGAAGGGGCAGCATCCTGCCTACGCGCCGGCCAAGCTGTCCATCCGCTCGGGCATACCGAGCCTGGTGGAATTTGTCGATCGTGACCTGATGCCGCCGCCAACAGCAAAAGCAGCTTCGCCAGCCGCCTCGCAGTCGAGCACATCCGCCTCGCAAGGTCGACCAAACCGGGTCGCGGCTGCGCTGTCGCGCCTGTCTGCGTTCTCCGGTGGCAGTCCTTTGCGAAATGACGTCTCCAAGAAGGACCTCACCAAACTCGACGTCGCCGTCAACTACCGCAAGCCGCGCGTCAAGACGGCATCCAGCAGCGTCGGTGGCTCCCCACGCTCCTCGGCCAGCATGTCCCCCTCGCCGGCGCTGCACGCCACCTCCGCCTCCCAGCCCTCCCCCGGCGGCGGCGAGGACGACGATGACGAGCCGGAGTTCGTCATCTCGGACCAGACATGCATCATCTGCGGCGGCACATTCCACTACCTCAATCGATGCCCGCAGATGCAGGACGTGACACGTGCGTCCGCAAGATGGTTCCAGCTATGCGACCAGCTGCGTGTGCTGACGGCCAGAGGTCTGACGGACGGCGACCCGGACGTGGCGACCATCAAGACGACGATCCGAGTCATGGCGCTCAACTTCAACGGGCTGCGCGCGCAGAATGGGCAGGGACAGCTCAAGGCGCCCTTCGTTTGAGCTCACCTTCACTTTGTTCACTCTCACTGTGTTCACTCTAACACACCTCGCGCAATGCTGATGGTTTGATGAAGATTGGTGGTGTCTAGCCGTGTGAGCTGGCCCATTTGACAAGACTTGAACTGATGCCGACCTGACGCTGTCTATCCTTGACGGCGGCTACGATGGCAAAGGGCGAAAGAACGCATCTGACCTTCCAAAACTCCTTCCTGATGGTGTTCTGGTTGGCCCTGCCTGTCTGGCTTGCGAACGGCGCGGCGCTGGGTTTGGCAACGGGGTTCGCCATGGCCAAGGACGCCACCACGTTTTCCGGGAGCAGCACCTCCAAGTTGAGCAGCGCGTGAAATGCCATCAAGGCGATCTTGCGATCCGCAAAAAAGGGCGTTGTCACGGCCGACCCTGCCGTCGAGGCGGCTTGACGTTCACGGGCGTCTCGAGCGGCGAAGCGCCGCAACTCGTCAAAGCACATTTCAAAGTTGAACACCGGCCGATCGCGCGTTTGGAGGTGCTTGATCGAGATGAGCAGGGCCATCTCGGGTTCGGTCAGGTCACGCAGGACGTGCGTCAGGCCGTCGGAGACCTCGGTCGATGTGATTGCGAGGAGGTGGGGAAGGTCGAATGTGGGATCGAGTACGGAGAGTCGTGCGATGGTGGGCGTGAGGATGCGATAGATCGTGCGAACGTCGTTGGTGAGTTCGTACACCCCACGCAGGACATCCCGGAAGTGAGGATGCGCAAAGAGAGAAGAGATGTCCTTCGTCCATGCCTCGGTGAAGCCTTGTCCCTCCGACGGGATGGCAACCGGGGCAAGGGCGTTCCGAACAATTCGTTCGAACACCTCAAACGACCCTGCCGGCCTCACATGGAGGATGCGGTGCGAGAATCGACTCTTCACACGCTTCTCCAGCAGATCCACCGTGTCCACTCGACTGGTCAGCCCGACCACCGCTAGGCCCGCCCCGTAGCTTGCGGCTTGCACCGCGTCGAGCAGGCAGTACAGCATCGCCTGCCGCGGTCTCGCCGTGAAGAGGTCGAACTCGTCCAGCGTGATGATGAGCGGTTTGCGTGCGGCAGACGAAGAGGTGGTGGAGAGCAACGCGATGATGTGCGCAATGATGTTGTTGAGCGAGCTCAGAATTGCCCCTGCCAACTCATCCATTTCGGCGGCCTCGTCTGCTGCTGCGGTGAGGGTGGCGGTCTCGTCGGAATCAGAATCGTCGGCGTCCCCGCCAAAGACGTGGTCCCCTGCTGGGCGGGTGACTGGTCCGTCCGACTCTTCGTCCTCCACCGCTTCGGCGTCGATCGCTTCCCCAACGTCCTCTTCGGTGAACGCACCCTGAAGAATCAGCTGCTGCGCCATCTCCTTCATCGCAGACCTGTCGTTGATCTGGATCGTACCCGCGAGGTGCACGTGATAATACGCCTTTTCCTCCCCACCTTCGCTCGCGTCGATCGAATCGAGCACGGAACCGACGAGCAAACTCTTTCCCGCCCCCGCCGCGCCGATGAGCAGACAGCTGTTGCTCTCCTGCTTCGTGACGGTTGCGTGCAGCATACCGTGCAGGTTGTGCCACTCTTCTTCTAGGCCGACGCATGAGGATGCGCGAAGGCGGGCGTCGGTGTCGGCATCCTTGCTCCTCGAATCGTGAAACACCGCCGCGTCTTCGTCCTCTGTGGTCAGTGCGGATGTCGGGGCGACGGGCTCAGTAATGGCTGTGGGTATTGATGGGAGACAGCCGACGAGAGTTTCGAGAACGCGTCGCTTTTGTCCCGGTAGGTAGGTTTCGAGTGTGGACAGGTCGAGTTGGCGCAGGTCGCCATCGAGCGTTTGGAGCGAGGAAGAGGCGTGTGCCTGGGCTGACTGAGCGTCGAGAGGCTGCCCTATCTCCAGCGCGCCATCGTCGTCGGATGCGGCCGGCGAGGCGGTGGCTTTGCGCTTGGCTGTCGGCATGGTGTCCGATGCGACGCGATGCTGTGTGCTGGTGTGGGAAAGGAAGAGGGCGGCTGATCCGTTTCGATCAAGCTGCTGTAGACCAAGTGATACGATGGTGTGCTGCTCCGGGTGCAGGCCCGATCGCTGAAGCGGCTCAGCCGGCTGAGTCGTTGAAGGAGTCGGCGTTGCCGTTGGATGAAATGATGGTCGAGCTGCAGCTCGTCAGGGTCCCAAACTGAAATGACAGCTGGCCTTTGCGCTGCCGCCAAATCTTCCAAGTGGGCGCGTCAAAGTCTCATCGGGCGATTTCAGCACAGATCTTGGAGATGGTGAAGCCGGCTCTGACGGCGACACAATGCTCTGGGACTTGGGAAGCAGGTAGACCTGTGCTCAGGGTTCCACCGCACCGGTACATTCAAATCCTTCTTCCGCTGCCATGTGTCAAGCAGTGTCTCAATAAAGGGTCAGGTCGGGGGTAAGATCAGGTAAGCCAGCCGAAAGAGTCGGAGGATTCGGATGTCGGCTGTCAACGGAGGCGACATTTTTAGAGCTTTCTTCTCGACTGCACCCTTACCTTGCTGACATGAAGTCCTCATCCTCCAACTACTTCAAGACATTCTTGAGCCGTCTCAGCCTCTCGACATGATTCGATCAGCGCTAGGATCATCCGCATTCGCGGTGGCGACATCATCAATGCGAACTTCGAGCATGGCCTGCGCTCGTCGCTCTCCCGTCAGCATCCAGCGAGGCTCGCCACTGCTTCGAATGGCGCATTCGTGGGCGCTCGAAGCGAGCCGACCCACAACCCTTCCGAGTCGACTCTCGACATCACTATCGAGACCATCGCTGCTTCGAACGCACGTTTCGCCATTCAGCACTTCAGCCCGCACGTTTGCCGAGCCGACACCCACCTCTCGGACCCCATCGACCACCCGCGCGGCTGCCCTGACCGAAGAGTTCCAGCGTCGTCAACGCGAGTCGTACAAGCGGCGCAACCAGTCGCTCTTCATGTACTCCGCTGCTTTGATGGTCTTCACGCTCGGCTTCAGCTACGCTGCTGTCCCGCTCTACCGCGCCTTCTGTTCGGCCACTGGCTTCTCCGGAACGCCCATCACGGATCCCGAGCGTTTCGCACCCTCCCGTCTCATCCCCGCATACCTCGATCCGAGCACCAACGCGCCCACCAAGCGAATCCGCGTCACGTTCAACGCCGACGCCTCAGACGCCATCCCGTGGTCCTTCACCCCGCAACAAAAGGAGATCTACGTCCTCCCCGGCGAAACAGCTCTCGCGTTCTACACCGCCAAAAACAAGAGCGATAAAGACATTATCGGCATCGCAACGTATAACGTCTCGCCCGACCGCATCGCACCGTACTTTGCCAAGGTCGAATGCTTCTGCTTTGAAGAGCAGAAGCTGTTGGCGGGCGAGGAAGTCGATCTCCCCGTGTTCTTCTTTATTGATTCGGACGTGCTCGACGACCCGAGCACCAAGGGGGTGGATGACGTGGTGCTGAGTTACACGTTCTTCAGCGCAAGGAGGAACGCCAAGAGCGGTCAGCTCGAGCCGGATACCGATCTGAGCAAGTATACTGTTGGGAAGGATCTTTGAACGCTGCTGCTTCACATCTTAGAGGCTGATCGAGTGACAATGATGCACGCCTTGCATGCTCCCAGCTGCAGCCGAGACCACATCTGCCTCGCCTTTTAGACACTTTTACAGCACTGCAATTGCATCTATTCAACCTCCGAGATCTCATCGTGTGAGCTCGAGCCTCACAGAGCGGCTTCGTCGTATGAGCAGGCGGCAGAAACTGGTGGATTTGTTATGCCGACTCATAACCAAGCTTATAAAAAGTGGCGATTCAGGGTCTTGTCACGTGCGTTGTCCCACTTTTTGAAATTTTTGGAAGTTCACCGGGGCTGCATGGGCAAGCTGCTCTCACAGCTGCTGAGTTGCCTTTGCTCCACCACCAAAACTACGACTTACTCCTTGTCACCATCCATCTAGCGTTTCGAACATACCCAGCATCCAACATCTACCAGCACTCTCACACGCATCGCATAGTAATCTTCCGACCTTCGATCATTCCATCGCTTTCTCCGAGCGAAGCAGACCCACAAGTAACGCCGTTTCCAGCAGTCTAAACTAGGCCCGGTTGTACCAGCCGTAACTCTATCGCCATCCCGCACTTTGCAAGCAGCATCCGTCCCCTTTCGAATTCACAAACATGTCGGGCTCCTCACTACGCAACGCCGTGCATCGGCGCAACCACAAGGAGCGCTCCCAACCCGTCGGGCGCTCCAAACTAGGTCTCCTCGAGAAGCACAAAGACTATGTCCTGCGTGCGAAGGATCACCACCGCAAGGCGGCCCAGATCAAGCGGTTGACCGAAAAAGCAGCCATGCGAAACAAGGACGAGTTTTACTTTGGCATGATCAACTCCAGCACCAAGAAGGGCGTTCACCAGCATGCGAGGCCGGGGGATAGTCTGGACAACGACGTGGTGGCGCTGCTGCGGACGCAGGACGTGGGGTATGTGCGACGGACGATTGTGGGCGAGAGGAAGAGGGTGAGGGGGTTAGTGGAGAGGTTGGCGCCTGCTGTGGGGGGATTGGGCGCGGAGTGGGTGGATGCGAAAGCGGGGAGGAGGGAGACGCTGGAGAGGGCGGGGCTGTTGAATGTTGGGAAGGGGAAAGGCAGCGGGACGACGGGCAAGAAGACCGTTTGGCTGGACGACGCTGACGCTCTCCGAGCATACAACGCTCCATCAGCATCACAAGCACCACAAACCGAGGAATCGTGGATAGATGATCTCTCCGACACATCCGACATCGAAGACGACGACTCCCCTATCCCATCTACAACCAGCACATCGTCAAAAGGCGCAAAACACTACGGCTACCTCGTCACAGAGCTGCAATCCCGTTACGCGAGACTGGACCAGCTCCAGAGCGCTGCGGAGAAGCTCGATCTCGTGCGCGCGCTCATGACGCACAAGGGCGGCCGAAGTCAGGTGGTCAAGCAGAAGAAGAAGGATAGTCTCACGGACGCCGTGGCGAAAGGGAAAGTGACCAAGAATGGGTTGGCATTGGTGGATACCGATGATGAGGACGAGGATGGGGAGAAGAAGGGGAAGGTGGCGAAGGTGTACAAGTTTGGCAAGGAGAGGAAGCGCTGAGTGTTTCAGACTGATGGCAAATGTACTTATATTTCCTGTACGCAACAGCATCTCGATCCCTTTGCTGCGGACGCTCGGAGCCGGGTGTTGTCCTGTCAACGCTATGTGGCGTTCATGAAGTGCTCAATGAGAGGCTGCGGCCCGCCTCTGCGACTCGTCGCGGATTAGATCCACGCACGCGCTTCAAATTGTCACATCCCATCCCGACATTCGGAAGATGCATAGCGAAGAAGGTACCATTACTAAATCTGAAGCACATCACGAAACATTGCTATCCCTCTTCCATCCGATCACGCCTTGTGCTTGTCCGAGCTGGAGTCGTCGCCGTCGGCACTGGTCTTTCCTTGGGCGGGCAGGGTGTAGGTGTTATCCTGAACCTTCTCCTCCTCGATGGCGTACCTGCCCATTGCGTTCCTCTTATCGCGCCTCTCCAGATAGACAATAGCCAGCGCGACGACGGTAACGAACACGCTGAGGGGGAACATGCTGATCCAGCCCTTGGTGTACCTCGGTGCATCGGTGGCAGCAAAAAACGTAAAGTTCCACCACGAATTGACGATGTTGCTAAACACGTTCATGCCTGCCAGCACCATGGCGCGTTCCTGGTCGTCCTGCGCGCAGACGATGTTGGCCCAGGCAAAGTTGGTCGCCTGCCCCATGTAGCCCGCACCCTGGATGGCAAAGGCAAAGAACTTGGCCCCATACGGAATGTCCCACACGAGCAGCATGATGGAGGACACACTGACAATGACGCCCATCAACGGGTTGACCCACCATCGACTGCCCACGTAGTCCGTCATGTACGCCGCGAAGATCGTCGTGAAGATCGCAATGCTGATGAGCGACAGCGGGTAGTAGTTGATCTGCGCCTTGCTAAACTTGAGACTCTTGAACCAGAAACCCATCACGCTGTTGATACCGGCACTCTCGAGCATGGATCCAAACCCGAAGAGCAACCCGAAGAGATAGATGTGCCATCGACCAAAGACACGCTTGACGAGGTTCCACGACATCTTGGTGGGTTCGTGCTGGGGGAGACGGTTGACGGCACACTGACGTTCCTCTTCGCTGAGGAACCAGGCCTTGGTCTTGCGCGGCGTGTCGGGGAAGAGCAGGAAGCCGAAGATGGCGATAGGCATAGCGAGGGCGAAATCGATCAGGAAGAGCCACTGGTAGCTTTTGAGGCCCAAGTGACCATTCATGGTTTGAGAGATACGTCCCTGCATAACACCGGACCAGAGCGAACCCATCTGCGCAAAGGTGGAGAAGATACCGGAGCGCTTACCCAGCTCCTCCTCCTTGTACCACGAGCCGAGGATCCAGTGACAACCCGTGAAGGTCGAAGACTCGAACAGCGCCTGCAGGAAGCGGATCGCCATCACCTGCTGCGGCGTCTTGGCAGCAGCCAGGGTGGCAGAGAGGATCCCCCACATCGCACCGCAGAAGGGCAACCAGAACCGCGGCGGCACCACCTGGAGGATCAGGTTGTTGGGCCACAGACCGATGATGTAGCCGGCGGTGAAGATGGACTGCACCTGGTTGAACTGTTTGCCGTGGAACTTGAGGTCTTCCTTCATGCCCGTAAGGTAGGCGTTGGAGAAGTTGGCACGGTTGAGGTAGTTGGAGAGGAAGAGGAGCGTGCAGAAGGTCATGACGACGCCGTCGATCTTGTAGAGCAGACGCTGTTCGAGCTTGGTGGCGGGCTTCTCGCCCCAGAGGAAGACGCGCGCTTGGTGAAGGGCGCCCATGGTGAACGATGACTACGGCGCTAAGAGCCGGGTTTGGTGGATGAGGGTGGGGGGTGGGCGAGGATCGTGACGACGACCGGGGACAATGACGAGCAGAGACCGGAGGCTGTCGAAGCGGGTCCAGACTCAAGTGGGAGGGAAGGCTCGGCTAGAAGAGAGGGGAAGTCCCAAGACGATGGATAGATGTGCGCGGAAGGGGAGGGAGCAGGTGATGAAGGGAAAAGTTCCGAGTAGATATAGGCGATCGAAGAGGGCGCGAATTGTCGAGGTGGGATGACAGGTGCAGCAGCAATGAAGTGAGAGGGAATGCAACGCTGGACGGCAACGACCGAATGCACGTCACGAGATTGTGGGTAGAGATGCAATGCGATGCGATGAAGGCCAGTGTGGCTCTGCGTTGCAGTGTATCAAAGTACGACGCTCGATAAAGGTGAGCGTCTCGGTATGAAGCGCCACTGGAGCAGGGAAGCCGTGCCGGTGATACCGTTTCAGGGGCCGATCTCTAGACACTAAGGAAGGACCGTACTACAGGGCGGACGGTGAGGATGGTGGACAGGAACAGAGGTGTGGGAAGGCGGTATCTGCGAAGATAGGAGATAGTCCACCCTGGTTTGCACAAGTTTTGCGGGGTAAGAGACCCTAATCTAGCAGTCGAGGCCCGCGATGATTAGAGAGAGCGCAAGAGAGCTCAGAGGTGAGTCAGAGCGGCAAGACCTCTGAACACTTGGTCAGGTGGCCCTGTCCGTATTGCTGCTCCGCCGCTCGCTCGTCGATGCAGGATTGAGTTCAAACTCGGTATGGTTCGGTACGACGGTCGAGTCAATGGTCCACTGCCATGGTGCGGCGTGATTGGACAGCTTGGCACTCTGCTCTCGCGCCATCTAGACCCTGAGAGGAGAGTGAAATGAAGAAAATCTTAAATTTTGTTTGACAGCTCTCACGCCATGAAACTGCCTTTTGTCTTTGTGTTTGCGGGCCAATCAACTCTCGGCCAAATCCATCAACGCCAGCGCCGGCGTCGTCCTTGCCGAGGTGTACCATCAAGGCTGTACGAGTCACATAAGTGCCTGCTGCCCCTCCCATCGCATTTCACCTTATCTCTGCTATCTTGTCGAGTCTTGATACGATCATCGTCAAGTTTGTCAGCTGAATGACCAATCACAGCCGCAAAGAAACGGATGAGAAAACACGGAACCCGAGATAGTCGGGCTGAAGGACGGACCAAAGATTTGCAAATTGTCGTCGGAATAAGGAGCTTGTGCGCCACAAAGGCAGACCAGGTCGTGGCGGCTACTTGGGGGATCGCCTCGAGTTGCGGACGCGGGAAGAGAGCGGCTGATGGCGGTCTCGGCTCTGGAGAACGACGGATGTCACTTATTCCGCCTCCCACGAAAGTTGACCGGTCATATCGCCGAATTTTGACCGAATTCAAGATGCCTTCTCTTGACAGTCGCTGGCTGCCGAATGAGGCTTCTGCCATTACCTGTCGAGCCGGCTTCGGTATGACAAGCGAGCGAGCCGAGAGTTTGGCCTGATATCAAATGAAGACGAGAGATGACTGTAAAGGAAGTCGGCTGCTCTGGTTGTAAGTTCACTCTTGGTACGGTCGTCGGGGTTACGGCCTTCTCACCACGGTGTATCAGTAAGTAGGCGGATCTCCATCTTTTTGAGGAACCAGAAGGGTCGGACTTATGCTCTCTCCACTCACGCCTGACCGAAGCCCTTCTACGACCTCAAAGCCGACCATTCTATGCTTCTGCGACGGATTCAACCGCACATACGCTCTCGTCGCGAGCCAAACCCGATCGTCACGCGACCATGTATGTCATGCCCTAAATCCGTCGTACAATGGGAGCCAGACCATGTGGTCATTCGATGAGACAGGCGGTAAGATCCGCAGCGATACCCCACATTCCTGCCTGATCGCGATGAGCCAATCGCATGCACCGCAGATAACACTCAGGGTGGGCAGCACGGACGTGGGCAGACATTGATTTGTCGGCCTTTTGTTCAGAGAGCAGCCTTGAATTGAGTTTCAACCACCGTGGGCGATCAGCAGATAGAACGCCATGGTGACAAGCTCGATTTGTGTGCGTGCCAAAGCCGATAATCGTGATACGGCCGTCTTGTTGAGCAGTGGGCAATCGGGTGATCACCGAAGACAGATCGCAGATTGCAAAAGTAAAGAATGTTAGAGTTTGACTACTTTTGTCTCTGGAAAATGCTTTCGGAAGCGCACAGCATGACGTCAGGGCAAACGATTTCGCCATATTGGACGTTGCCGCCGTCACACGCAAGTGGCTCAATAGATGCCGGGGCCTGCGCCGTGTGCCTCGATCCTTTCCGCGGAGTACGACCTGCTACTGCGCCATGACACTGCAGTGACGGTGGTGACGGCTGTGGCTCCCAGCTTCTGAATCCTTCCGGCACGCCTTTTGACGAGCTCAACCGATCTTTCCGCCCAAAGTAGACCTCCGTCTTTCTTGCTTGTAATAATTGTGCTTCTTCACAGCTGTGTTTGGCGTGGATCCTTCTGCATGTCATAGCATGATCCGTATGGAAAGAAGAAGCGCGGTAGCTGGGAATCGAAGCCGGCAAGCCGTGAAGAGGGGAAACCACGGCGTTTTCGTTTGGGACAACCGCGCATGAAATCAAGGCTCTATGACAGACGGGCCGGCATGTCTCACATCCAAATCGTTTCCCACACAGGCCACACAGCCCGTTTGTGGACCGTTCACCGCCGGCAGCCTCGTCAGTGTGACGGTGCACGGTGCTCATTCATTGTCTCCCCTCATCGCGCGGCGGCGCCAGTGTCATCTCATAAAGGTGGAACCTTTGCTGCCAGATGCGCGCATCATCTCGGGGCGGACTGAGATTCCACGCTCAAAACCCCCCACATGGGCCGAGACTTTGGTGGCCGGGGTTACTCATCATCCCCGTGTTTTTGACGTGCCGACAGCACCGCACAGAGCACTGCTTTGCCACGAGGTCGTACGCAGACTTTGCCCCGTACTTGGGGACGTGTTGTCCTGGTCGCTTGAGAGTCTGCGGAGACAATTGCAAACAGCATCACAGGACGCAGCCGAAAAGGAACGCACGACGATCATGACTTGTTGGTACAAGAATCGGGTGAAGCAGCAAGGGAAGAGAGTCGAGGAGGGGCAAGTTGTCCTGTGAATCAAAGGACAAGCGAATCTTGCCGACCGACGGCTGGAGCTCTCTTACACAGCCTGCACATCACCGTGCATGGTCTAGCTTTGTCCCCGTTTCGTCAGCTCTTCTTGCCTCCGGCACCCTGTACATCGGTTCTTCTCGATCTTCGCTGCATCTCAGCCGAAGACTCTGACTGCCAATCTCCTTCAGAAGTATATATACGCAGTGGACCATTCCTGCATCCACCCTCACACCCCATCACCCACATCCCGCACTTCTCAAATCATGAAGCTCACCACCTCCTTCGTCCTTGCTCTCGCCGCAGCCTCGTCTGCCTCAGCCTCGCCCCTGCTGCGTCGCCAGGATCAGAGCTCATCCTCGGATGCTCTCCCTACTCCCTCTGCGGCTGTCAGCAGTGCCTCCAGCGCCCTGAGCTCAGCCACTTCCTCGTCGACCTCCTCCGCGACCTCATCCTCGTCCGCAGCGGCATCCACTTCCACCGGCAGCGTCAACTCGACCACCACCACCTTCAACGACACCCAAATCCTCCAGTATGCTCTCACGCTTGAGCACCTCGAGGCGACCTTCTACAACCAATCGCTCTCCAAGCTGTCTGCCCAGGACTTCGAGGATGCTGGCTACAACGCGTCGGTGCGCGATCGAATTTACTCGATTGGCCGAGATGAAGCCTCCCACGTGGAGCTGCTCACCACCGCACTCGGCAACCAGTCCGTCCCCGCTTGCACCTACAACTTTTCTAGTGTCCAGGACGTCTCTAGCTTCCTCACCACGGCTCGTGTGCTCGAGGGCGTTGGAGTGAGTGCCTACCTCGGGGCGGCTGGCAACATTACTGAAAAAGAGTACCTCACCGTGGCTGGCAGCATCTTGGTGGTGGAGGGACAGCATCAGAGTTATCTGATCGCCCAAACCGCCGACGGCGGTAACTCGATCCCTAGCCCCTACGCTACTCCTCTCGACTTCCAGCAGGTCTACTCGCTCGCTGCGCCGTTCATCGAGTCGTGCCCTGAGAACGCCACTCTGCCTATTACCGCGTTCCCCCAGTTGACCCTGTCGGGTGGTGCGGCTAACGGCTCCTTCACCCCTGGTGAGCAGGTCACTGTCAACTACAACGCTACCAACGCTACGCAGACCAACTACCTCGCCGTCATCCAGGGTGTCACAGGTCCCCAGTTCTTGCAGCTTTCCGGCAACGGTTCCTCGGTCACTCTGCCCAGCAACCTTACCGGCGGCCAGATGTATGCTGTGGTCACGAGCGACAATTCGGCTGTGACGGACGACAACACGATCGCTGGCCCCGCAGTTGGGTATGTCAACATCCCCCTGCCCGCTGCGCCTAGTGCTACTGCCGCTAGCTCCGGCGCCAGCTCCAGCTCCAGCGCAAGCGGAAGCTCCAGCTCGAGTGCTTCGTCGAGCTCGTCGACCAGCTCGAGCTCTAGCGCTAGTGCCAGTGCAAGTGATGCCGCCTCGTCGTCGGTGAGCATCGCATCTGCCATCCCCACCAACGCCCCTGACGCTCAGCCTACCGCGGCCCTGCCTAGCAGCGTCGCCCCCAGCTCGTCTGCCTAAGCATTGGCATGAAGTTTGCCCTTGTGGACTCGTAACCCTACAACACTCGCTTTCGTCTTCCACTTCTCATAGCCAATGTCGATGGACACTCCCTTATGCATCGCAATCCCATTCCATGAAGTTCAAAAGCTTTTACGTGTGACTGCGTGAAGGAAAGAGTTAGAATTCCAGATCTTCCGCGCGGGAGTTAGCGACTCTGTTCGGGGGCTTTGCTGTGTGTGAGTGCGACCTCTGTGTGGCAGTATCCATTTCCACTGCGTACTCCTTCTGTCCTCCAGCGGTAGCGGCGACAGCGAGTCCGCGCTGCCGTAACGACGACAATCCGCCAAACTTCTTGGGTCCCTTCTCCACTTGCCCTGCAGTCGGTGCTTCTGTTGGTCTCCGAGCCGATGTACCACCAACCCCACCCGTACTCGGCGCAGCAGCCGTCTTGTTGGCCGTCTCGACCTCCACCCCTTTGGCCGGCTTGGTCCGTCGTTCGCTCACCCCGCCCTCCACATCCAAATGCAGCGTCTCGATGACCACCCGTTTGCGTCGCACTTTGAACGCGAGATTGTTCTCCCCTCCACCAGCGCCGCCTTCCCTCCCACCGGCCGGGGCGCCGCCCATACCTCGCAACACCGAGGACCGGATGGAGGGGTTGGTGAGCGTGCCCACAGAGGGGGTATTCAGGATCTTCACTGCGCCCGTGTACGCTGGGAAGGCGCTGCGCAGAGCGGGGGAGGGGGAGAAGGCCGACAGCGAAATGGCCGCGTCTACGCTGTGCACCAGACGATGGGCTAGGTTGGTTGGCGGAGTGGTGGGGCGCAGGAGGTGCGGTGAGAGTGTAAGGATGGACATGCTGGGAAGGGGTGCGGTGGGAGAGAGCGAGTGTGTGCGGAGCAGACGGCGGAGTCGGGAGAGGAAGCGGACTGACTCGACTGCGCGGGAGCGACCCCGAGGGACGACCCAAGAGGGCGAACCGAGTGAGCGGATTGCGATGCGTAGTACGGGTGGCGCTGAGGTGGGTGATGCGGATGCGAGCTGGCGACAACGCGACGCGGCTGCTTCAATAGCGGTGTACGCGAGCTCGTATGAGTTGATCCCGCTGCTACCGGATGACGAGGCCGAGGTGTCGACCAGCTCGAGCTTACCAGTGTCCATCGCATGCTGAATGATCCGTGAATCGATACGCTTGCTCAGATCGAACGTCTGGCAGAAAGGTATCGCTTCTGTGCTGGGCTCGTTGACCGTCGTGTTGAACTGCTTCATGCTGTGGTAGCGCCATGCGATCTTCATCTCCCTCTCGCGCTGCTCGCTTCCTCTCCCCCCTTCGGCCCCTGCTTCCAGAGCGGACGTGCTGGCATGAGGCTCGACGTCGTCTTCATCAGCGACGGCATTGAGATGGTCAGACGGTCCCGCGTCCGCCTCCTCGTTCGCTGTGGCCTTCGACCCGAGTCGAGCGACTAGCTGGTCATCCAGATCCCCTGCTCTCGCCATCAGTCCGTTGACCAATCCCCACACGTCCTCGCCAATGACAATGTTGATGTGATCCGAAGCGATCCCCTGCGCTATCGAGTAGCTCAGCAGCAGCTCGGCGTACGGCTCGGCCGCGGCGCGGGCAGCGTGGTCCGTCTCGGCGGACGCAGCGGGTGTCGAAGAGCTTGAACCGATCTGCGCAGCTGATTGAGCGGCTGTACCGGTCGAGGGAAAGACGAGCAACGAGGAGGAAGAAGAGAGACCGCCGCCGGACAGGAGGTCATCGAGCGCAGGCACGCCGGTCGAGATGAGCGGGACGGGTGAGGAGAAGGACGAGGGTTTGACGCCCGCTGGCAGCGGCAAAGACGCAGAGCTGCCCGAAGAGGGGTTGATGCGCCGCTTGAAGGACGACATGACGCCCGCAGAGATGGCCTTCGTGCTGAGAAGCTGTTAAGATATTGCGCAGTGTTGGAGCAAAGGTCAAGAAGTGAGGCAACAGGGTCCTAAACATGAAAGATGGCTTCGAGCATGTCCAAAATTTCGAGGTGGAGGAGTAGCAATAGTCAGCATCGCATAAGCGATTGACGTCTGTATTAGATTCACCTTCTGCCGTCGGAGTGTATAGCCGAGGACGCCGAGCATCATCGTTCGAAACGCTTTGACCAGCGCACCGGCTGCCCAATGCAGGACGGCAACTGTCCCGGCGGCAAGAGCGAGCAGGGTGGGACTGCTGGTGTCTATGGCGTGACATCTCTTGCATAGCAGCTGCCTCGACCTCCACTAAACCGAGCGCGCCACCTCCCCTTGCCTCCCGACCATCACCCGCCACCCACACCAATCCGCATCGAAACTCAACAGGTCTCACACCCGAAATGTCGTCCACCGCCGCCACCCCTTCGCCCAAGACAGCCGTCAAGATCGTCTTCGGGTGCATGACATTCGGCGCGCCCGGTGCAGAACAATCCCGCGTACACGACCTCGATGACTGCCGTTCCATCCTGGACATTTTTGCCTCTCATGGACACACCGAGCTCGACACAGCGCGCATGTACGGCCTCGGCACCTCGGAGGAGTATCTTTCCAAGCTGGGCTACACCACTCCCTCCGATTCGCATCACTTCCAGATCGCCACGAAGTCCTTCCCGTCCGCGCGCAAGCCGGATTTTCCCGCCAAGTCGCGCTACACATTTGAGCCTGCGGACATTGCCCGTGCGATCGAGGACAGTCTGAAGGCGCTCGGCACGGACAGCTTTGACCTGTTCTACCTGCATTCTCCCGATCGGGAGGTGGAGTTGGAGCGCACGCTTCGGGCTGTCAATGAGGCGTATGAACAGGGCAAATTCAAACGTTTCGGCGTGAGCAACTACCGCGCCGACGAAGTTCAAACGATCGTCGATATCACGACCAAAAACAACTGGGTCAAACCCTCCGTCTATCAAGGCCTCTACAACTCCATCACCCGCTCAGCAGAGTCGGAACTCTTCCCAGTTCTGCGCAAGAACAACATCGCCTACTACGCATACAACCCCCTCGGCGGCGGCCTGTTCACCGGTCAACTAGCCAAAGACACAACGCCAGAATCAGGATCTAGATTCGACCCCGAACGAGCCCAAGGCAAAATGTACCGCGCACGCTACTGGAACGACCACTACTTCCAGGCGCTGGACAAGCTCAAGCCCGCTGCGGACAAACATGGATTGACGCTGGCAGAGGTGGCGCTGCGATGGATGATGCACCACTCGCAACTGAAGAAGCAGCATGGCGATGCGGTGATCATTGGTGCCAGTAGCAAGAACCATATCGAGGGCAATCTGAGGGATTTCGAGAAGGGAGAGTTGCCGGAAGATGTGGTCAAGGCGGTGGATGAGGCGTGGGAGATCGTCAAGCCCAACGCGCCTGCTTACCACCATTGATGTAGACTTTGAGGTTAGAGAATGATTCATACGGAAGCAATCTCATGCTCAGCCGTCATGCTCATGTGCAAGAATGGAAAGTGTGTGCATTCCGTACGTGTCTGAGCGATGCAAGTCCACAATCTACGGCGAGAACCGATGACCGGAAGGCAGCGAAGGAATAGGTCTCCTCGAGGGCGGCCTCATCGTCCGATCCCTGTCCGATCCCTGAAACTCATCCACCTCTTCATTCTCATCCTCCTCCATCTGCGCCCTCCTCGCTCCCACATCCACCGACGCATGCAACGAGGGCACCTTGTGCAACCTCTGCTCCTCTGCACCCGCCAACTGCGCATACGCCGCTGCGCGCTTGATCTCGTTCGAAATGCTTCTCACCCTCGGACTCATCCCCCTCGACAGTCCCAGGTGGGCAGAGGACAGCTTCTTCTCGTTGCCCGGAAACGATTCTGGTGAGCCCTCCTGCGGTGCTTTGGACCCGAGCTGCGGCTGCGAGTTCTGCCGGGGTCGCACAGCCTCGCCTTGCGGGAGCGGGTCCATGGTCGTCAGCGGCGAGGTGCGCTGATTGGGACCCACGAGTTCGCGATTTGGTGTGATGGAACGTCGCGATTGGCTCAGCCTGCCGACGAGGTTGCGCATCGCTGTGCTGCGCGCTGCGGAGGGTGTGCCTACCATCGAAGCGCCAACGGAGGAGGAAGGAGAGGTGCTCGAGATAGATCGCTCGTGAATGATCGAGTTGGCGACGCTGTTGGACGACACATCGCCAGCGTCGCCGGCGGTGCCGTTCGAGATCTTGCGCCGGTACGGAGCGGAAGCACGCATACCGACCAGCTGACCGAGAGCGGCACTGGGAAGCGGAGGAGGCATCGAGCTCGGACTGCTGCCGGAAGTGCGAGTGCCATCGCCCATGTGTGTATCCGACGACGTGCGTCTGACGTTTCTGCTGGCCTCCCGCTCCACGTGTCGCTGGCTGAGAATGTCGCGTGCCAGCTCCTTGACCAGCACTGCATTGTCCTTGTTGCTCAGCTTCTCGACAACGTCGTACACCTTGAGCTGCTCCACCAGCGGCGAGTGCGAATCGCCCTTGAGATCGCAGACCATCTTGGTGATTCTCAGCAAATTGAGCCGGACCACGGCCTTGGGGTGCGACAAGCGTTCGAGCAACCGCTTGACAAAGAGCGTGTTGCGCGCCATGGCAGCCACGATGCCGCTGGAGAGCCGACACATCTTGACGAAGGGCTCCAGAAGGTTCTCGAACGAGTTGGCTTTGCTAGTTGCAAACATACAGAGCAGCGACTCGATCGACGCAGACTGCAGCAAGACTTCCTCGACGCGCGCAGTCTCGTCTTGCAGCCAGACGAGGATGCTCTCCAGCGCCGAGACTTGCCAGTAGGGATCTTCGAGCAGCTTGAGGTAGAAGTGGAGACCGCGGTGCTGCCAGAACATCTTGCGAGTCGCTTTGCCGGCATGTGCAAAGTCGCACAGAATTGGCAGCGCAAATTGTCGCAGAGGCGAGTTCGTGCGAGCCACACGAAGCAATTGCGGGATGATGCCAGCCTGTGCGGCTTCCTCCTGGCGTGACTTGGACAGTCGACAGAGATTGTACATGGTGTTGAGCACCTGGTTCGACATCTCGGTACCATGCGGGCCACTGTGGTGCTGTGCGAGGACGTTGGTGAGAATCTCGATCGTGTTGGCGTTTTGCATCTCATCGAGGATCGTCGGAGACATAGACAGGTTTTTGACGATCTTGAGCATGAGACTTAAAGACTCGGCGTCAAGTCTGGACGCTGAGCGCAAGATCCGGCGAAGGACGCTGCGTGTAGCGACCTGCTTTTTCAGGTAGCTGTCCGACTGCGAGTAGATCAGCAGGATCTGAAGAATGTTGGCACGAGCTTCCGAGGCGTACTCGTCTTCGTCGTCGTCAATGACGCTCTGCAGCGCCGAAGACAAGGGCTCCAGTAGACCTTCCTGAGCAAGCATGCGGCAGAAGTCGTTGCGAGAAGCAGGGCTCTGCAGTTCCAGCACACTGCTGACGCAGCCAACGCCGATCCAGACCAGATCCTTCTGCTCAAGGTAGTCCTCGTCGATGAGATTGACCAGCGTACGGAGACCACGGCAGCTCAGGACGAACTGCAGCGTGAGCCGGGAGGTGGAACACATGGCAAAGACAAAGTGCGCCGCCTCAAGTCGAAGGTCGTGCGGCCATTTCTTCGTGGTAAAGGTCATGACGACTGGAATGGCGCCGATGAGACAGAGGCTTTCTTGCGCTTCCGGGTCCTCAAAGATGATGAGGTTAAGGATGCCAAGCAATCGTGTCGCTAGTTCGCGATCCGTGGCTGCCTCGAGCAGCTGGATGAGAGCCAGAGCACCGTGTGAGATCAGAAGCTGAGCCTTCATGTCGGGCATGTCGGTCAGCACCTGGTCGATATCCTCGCACACTTGAAGCAGTTCTTCAACGCCTGAGCCAGTATCCAGCGACTCGACCAGTTCGGAGACAAAGGCGCACATGCGGGCATGCTGGTCGCGCGCCACGTTGGCTTCGAGGTCGGCTTCGGCATTGAATCCTTCGTCGATCTCAGCGAACGGATCGTCCTCGTCAGCCTCGTCGTCGCGAAGCCACGATCGATTCGAGAGCCGAGCCGTCAGCTGGAGCGTGTTGCCGCTGCCGAGTGAGTCGTCTTTGCTGTTGTTGCCTTCGTCGCCTTTGCCAAAGAGATCCGAATAATCCTCAGCAGACTGGTCTTCGGAGTACTTGCCCAAGGTGCGACGCATTTGCTTCCACTTTTCATCCTTTTCGAAACGCATGGTAGTTTGCGGGCTGGTAGGATTGGAGGGAGCGCGAGTGGCTGAGGCGGCTAATGAGCTGCGAAGTGCCTCCGACGATGCCTGTCTGCGTCGATCTGTGGGTCGAGACGGCGAGCCGAGCCCAAGATCGTTGTGGGCGGAAGACTTGCCACCGGCGCCAGGGCTAGCGAGTCGGGCCAGATCGTTGGGATGGAAGAGTCGCTTGCCTGCGCTGTTCTTCATCTGCAGATCACGGATGCGTCGATTCATGACATCCTCTTGACCATCTCCTACGAGATCCGAATAGTCATCGCCCTCATCGATATCGTTGGAGAAGCTGGCAAGGGGCGAAGATGCCGAGCTGTCTTTAGCGGCCTGTCCAGACCCGCGCACCTGTGGGGATGAAGCAGCATTGCGCAAGATGGGGCTGGCGACGGGTCGAATGGTGCGCTGATCGAAGTCCGCCTCCATCGCCGTGCGGGCAGGTGCTGAAGGAGGAGTTCCATCTCTATTCGCAGAAGGCGGATCAGGTCCAGACTCAGCTTTCGGCTTAGCCGACAGATCCTTGCCCTCCGAAGATGAGGACCTTTCAAGAGCTGCAATCTTGGTAGTGGTGATATCTTCTTCAAAATCGTTGTCCCAGTTGTCATCGACGCTCTCTGGTTGTTGCAAATCTGCCAATTTGACGCGATGGTCCATCAAGGATGTCGCAGGTGCAGCCCCAGCGATGGGCGTGCGGAAGCCTGATCCATTAGCCGGCGATGGAGAAGGAGGTTGTCTGATGTTCGGATTGGGCGAAAGATTACCAGGCGAGCCGGCGCTGCTCCCATGAGCAGACCCTAGCAGCTTGGACGATGGTCGTAGACCACTCTCGGCCATCACATCTTTGCGTGGCAGTGCATGTGGTGGGCTGAAGTCGACAGGTAGCGTAGGACGGCTGTTGTGACGCTGCTTTCGGCCTGCCAAGGGCTTGGCTGTTCCGAGCTCAGCAGCGATGGCATTGACTCGACGAAGGCTGGGCTGCATAGGAGCTCGAACCGTCTCGGGTTCTTGCAATCGCTGAACTACTTGTTTGGGCGGTTCCTTGAGCGCTTGGTTCCATTCTTGGACACTCTTAACCGCTTCTTCATGTGGCGTGTTGGAGGGAGCGCCCCCGCCGATGCGTAAGGAGCCACCCGACTTGAGCTGCTGAAGCTGCTTGCGGGCGCTGACCATCCAAGGATGTCGAAGAAGCTTGCGAGCTGATACTCGCAGATTGGCGTCTTTCTGGAAGCAGTGGAGGAGGAAGTCCTTGACGACAGGGGATGCACTCTCGGGCAATGGTGGACAGTCATCCTGAACGATGCGAAAGAGAGCCGGCATAGGAGCAAGGAAGTGGTAGGGCGGCTTGCCCTCGAGCAGCTCGACAACGACACAGCCAACACTCCAGATGTCGCTGGCCGTAGTTGCGCCGCTCTGATCGATGACTTCGGGTGCCATCCAATAGGGGCTGCCAACCACGGCGAACTCGCTCATGGCCCCTGTCTTGGTAGCGACACCAAAGTCGGCTAGCTTAACGGATCCATCCTTGGTAGTGAGAATGTTGGCGCCCTTAATATCGCGATGAATGACACCCTGATCGTGCAGATAGATGAGACCTTCGAGGACTTGCGAGATGTATACGCTGACCAGGCCTTCGGGGAACTTGCCGAATCGTTTGCAGATGTGGTGGAGCGAACCATTCTCGCAATACTCGAGGATGATGTAGAGATGATCCTTTGTCTTTTCGGAGCCCTTGTACTTGACGATGTTGGGATGATGGAGGTTCTTGAGGAGGTCGATCTCGGACATGATCTCACCGAGCTCTGCTTTTGGTATGTTACCGAGCTGGATCTGCTTGACGGCGACGGTCTCGCCGTTCATGTAGTTGAGACCTCGATAGACGGAGCCGAAAGCGCCACGACCGAGACAGTCACCGAGCTGATAGTTGCCGAGCGTTGTGTTGGAGGCGACAGGAGCAGACTTGAGTGCAGGAGACATGTGAGCCGAGGCGGGACCAGCTGGCGAGTCGCTGTGTCGTGCGGGCGGCATCTGGTGCGATAATGGCTGTGCATAGTCCACCGAGGACTTGCGTTGCGCTGCCCCTGGTGCAAGGCTCTGGCGGCGGCGATCAGGCTGCGATGGGTACGCTGCTATGTTGGCATGGATGGGCGATGATCTGCGACGCGCTTCTACTGGTGTCAGGTCAGGCGGGCAGAAGGCGGGCGGGTTGAAAGCGGGCGATGCATGTGATGGGAAGCGAAGAGTCGACTGCGAAGGAGGCAGCATGTTTTGGCCGGACGAGGAAGGCGATGGCGCCGATGTATCCGAGAGACGACTTGACGATGCCGCGCTCGAGTCGGCTCCGTTCAGAGACGGGCGCGAATGATGCATGGTGAGCACCACCTGCCCTTAAGCGAACGGACGGGGAAAGCAGTATGAAGAGCCTGCAATCAAGTCGTTCGAGCGAATTGCATACTAGCGATCGGCGGGTATATGCTCCGATGCTGAGCGGACGGTGATGACGTGAAGAGAGTGCTGTCGGCGTGTCTACCGGGATGATTGGCCGCTCAAGTCTATGAGGTAGGTGTGCCGACGGCTTCTACAGTGGATGGTAGACGGCGCCGAATCCAGTCGACGAGGATGGTGATGGTCGAATTGATGAAGCCAGGGGACCTCACGGCGGCGTGTGCTGATCGCTCGTTGTGTTTGCAAGCTGCAGGTCCAGGATGGCTCGGATCGCTGCTTGTCCTCTGCCAAACGTCACACTTCAGTCTCAGAGACCAACACTTTTTGTCACTTTCCAAAGTCAAGAGCAGCACAGCGGCACGCAGTCACAGTCACTCTGTGCAGCTGCAGGCGACGCGTTCGCGATGCGGAGGAATCAGTTGAAATTGTTACATCGCTTTTCTTTTGGGAGGTCTCTTATCTTTCCGCCCGTGCACACAGAGCTGCTGGCTGAGCTGCACTGCCTGTCAGGGTCAACCTGCACAGTGACCTGCCGAGAAAGGCAATTCTGCTGACCCCGCACTCGAAACAGTCACATACCGACTCCAACCTTGAGTCTCTTCTCCTCTGCTTCATCTTTCCTTTTCTCCATCACACGATCACTTACTCAGGCTCAGCTACTGTCAGGGCTGCAGACACAACCTGTCGTTTCAGCTTGCTGTCGAGAGCTGTTGGCCAAGACTACGCACATTTATCGGCATACAACCTCAGCCTTCCTCCTCGGCTGATCTCACCTCTCGTCCATACACGACTATGGCCCCTTGATTCGTCGAATAGGCTACCACTGCGGATCGAAGAGCAGTCATCCCAATATACCCATCATGTCGGCCAATCACTCTCGATCCTCGACCCGACCCTCCAGCGAGGTCGAGCGAAATACAGAGGAAAACCGCAAGAGCGGCCACAAGCGACAAAGATCCAATACCGCCAGCTCCCTTCGCTCCAATGGCACCGTTCGCGCCCCACAGGTGTCGATGGACCACGACACGTCCCCACTTGCCAAGATCGGGATCAAGGGTGACAAGCTCATGCTCTTCGTCACCTGCTTCGCCTCGTTAGGCGTCTTTCTCTTCGGATACGATCAGGGCGTCATGAGCGGCATCATCACGAGTCCTTACTTCAAGGCTTACTTCGGTCACCCTGACTCCTATCAGATCGGCACTCTTGTCGCCATCCTCGAACTCGGAGCGCTTGTTACGAGTCTTGCTTGTGGTCGACTCACGGACATTTTCGGTCGCAAGAACATCCTCTTCTGGGGCGCCGTCATCTTCTCGGTCGGCGGCGCCATCCAGACCTTCACGTCCGGCTACGATAGCATGCTTTGTGGTCGCCTTGTGGCAGGTTTTGGAGTTGGAATGCTTTCCATGGTGGTGCCCACGTACCAGAGCGAAATCTCGCCAGCGGAGAACCGTGGAAGGCTTGCCTGCATCGAGTTCACTGGTAACATCATCGGTTATGCCAGCAGTGTATGGGTTGATTACGGAGCATCCTACCTCGAAAGCGACCTCGCATGGCGCTTCCCTCTCAGTCTCCAAGTCATCATTGGTGCCACGCTAGCTTTTGGCTCCCTCCTGCTCCCTGAATCTCCTCGTTGGCTTCTCGACAAGGACATGGACGAGGAAGGCATGCGTGTCCTCGCCGACCTACACGGCGCAGGTGATCCCAACGAGCCTCGTGCCAAGCTCGAGTTCCGCGAGATCAAGGAGAACGTCCTCTACCTCCGCAAGCAAGGCGACAACTCGTACAAGCGCATGTTCACCCAGTACCGCTACCGCACGCTCATCGCCATGTCCTCCCAAATGTTTGCTCAGCTCATCGGCATTAACACCGTCTGCTACTACCTCCCGATGATCCTCGAGTCGGCCGGCTGGATCGGTCGCGATGCGCTCTTCATGGCAGGCGTCAATGGCATTATCTACACGCTCGCCACCGTCCCCACCTGGTACCTGGTCGACCTGTGGGGACGTCGCAACATCCTTATGTCCGGCGCATTTGGCTGCGGCGCCGCTCTCACCGCCTGTGGGTACTTCCTCTACCTCGACCAGGATTACACCCCCAAAGCCGTCGTCGGCTCGATTATCGTGTTCAACGCCTGGTTCGGCTACAGCTGGGGTCCAATCCCCTGGCTTTATCCGCCCGAGATCATGCCTCTCGCCTTCCGCGCAAAGGGTGCGTCGCTGGCGACCGCAACCAACTGGTCGTTCAATTGGCTGGTCGGCGAGTTGACGCCCATCCTCATGGAGAAGATCGGCTGGAGGCTGTACCTGATTCTGGCGCTCTTTGCACTGCTGGCGCTGATCACAGTGTACTTTGGCTATCCAGAGACATCCGGTGTGCCGCTAGAGGAGATTGGGGCGCTGTTCGGCGACGAGATCAACGTGCCTCAGGACGAGGACAGCTCCGACTCCGACGATGATGACGAAGAGAACACCGACGGTACCAACAGGCGACGTCGCAGTGCAAGCGCCGATGGCTCAACCGATACGCCCTTCACGCCTCGTCCCATCCGCCGCTCGATCTCGAGCCACCCACGTCTGCAATCGGAAGAGGAACGCGCCGCACGAGCAGCAGCAGCCCGCGTAGCCGCCGAAGAAAGACGCGCCGCCCAATCCTTCTTCGGTCTCGGCGCCGTCGGGCCCCTGCGATGGGTCGGAAGGTTGTTCGGCGGAGGCAAGCGCGAAGCCACCCCTGACCGAAGCCTGTACGAAGAGGTGAGACGGGATGAGCACTAGGAATTTGGCCCTTTCGAATCGACGCGAGCAGCCACCAGCAGCAGTAGGAAAGGCACCTTGACCATCAAGGACGGGGATAGTGACGCGATCCCGCTGAGGAAATTGCGCTATCAAACCGAGGACGAATCGGCCTTTGTGGTCGGCGATGAGGGCGAAGAGGACGACATGGAGTGGGAGCGATAAGGATGGCTGCTCGGTTGCGGTAAGTTGTCCTCCCGATCGAAAGGGCCTTCCTTTGATGAGCGATTGCTCGTTCCTCCTCTTCCGGCTTATGCTCGTGCGGTTTGTTCAGCCCACTCGTTCCTGCTTCCTCGTTTTCGCTCCTTAGTATAGCATCAGAAGATAGCATTTCAGTCACGGACCTCAATCAAGCATGCATGATTCGTAAACATTGCCAGGCTGTAGGGAGCTTTTTCTTCGCTCCAAGTCGGCGACATCGGTGTGTACTGCGCGCAAGATTGGCAGCGCAGATGAGTCGTTGTGATGCAGGACGTCAGGTTGAGCATCTGTTCCACAGTCGTCGAACGGGCTAGGAGGGAGTAGATGCGATGCAAGAACTGTGGATTGAGCAATTCGTTCGGTGCTAATGATACAGGTGTGTCTTCTTTCGTTCTTCTTATTCTTATACTTCGACGACGTTGATCTAGGCGTTGAGTGAGCCGTCGGCGTTCCTGACGCCCTCCTTGAGCTGCTGTGCAGCGCGGTGCTTGCTACCTTTCAACTTGTTAATCTCCCTATCTTCACCGACATTGATGGTGGCCTTTCTGGAATCGCGGTCGGAATGGCCGAAGAACCACCATCCAATAAACCCAGCCATGAGGGCGACGGAGGGGACGAGGACGCGGACGGTAGAGCGGGTGCGGGCGACGTTGATCTCCGGGTTGGGGTGGGCTCCCGGGATGGGACCAGAAGCACGGTCTTCTCGGAAACCAGAGGCTGTATCGGGTCGTGCGGAGAGGAGGCGGGGTGTGGTGTGGATGCTGCGGATCGTGGGGGTGCGCAGACCCACACGGGTAATTCGTGCGGTTGAAGACAGCATCGTGGGTTTGTATGGGGTGCTCGTGTATGTGCGTTGAAACGTGGAAGAAATGTGTGCGTGTGTACGTCGATGCGTGCGAGTGCTTGAAGTTGCTTGTAGAGGGTCGTTGTGCGTGATGGTGAGGAAGCAGACTCGACACGGAGGGTTATATACAAACGGCATACTGCATGACAACCCCTTGACAGCTCTTGACAGCACGAACCCACCGTCGGCGCACAGACATCGTATTCTCGAAAAAGTGTTGGTCAGCGGCAGCCTCCCATGTGACGCTCAATTTAGACAAGGTGGCTTTGCTGCCGAGATCCTCTCCTGGGCTACATCACCGGTGTGTGCTTGTGTAACGAGCCTTGTGGAGGCGTTTGTGGCTGCAGTGTGGGGGATGCTCGCTTCCTCGCCAAATACGTCACTCGTGCGCGCATTCCACAGCGAGAAATTCGCCGACCAGGGGCGGCCTTTGGATCATGTCAGGAAAATTCCACCCAAGGGTCTTCAGCTTGTGACAGTCCGAGAGTCTGGTGACGAGCAGACTCGGCACAATGGAGAGATCACTAAGGCGTGAGTAAGACGTGCTGGTCCAGCCACTTGCACCATCTTCACCTCTCTCTCGTGCGACTCTTCGATCCGCTGGGTCGCTGTGACATCTCGTCTTGCTCGTCTGAGCCTCTCAACTGGATCATCGGACATGCCATTGAACGGGCTCGATCCGCGCCACTGCGGTGTGTAAAGCATAAGCGCCTCGCTGTTGCAGTATCTGCTGAACCTTAACACCCAGTCTAGCTGCGGTGACGGCGCATGTGATCGTAGCTCGTACAATTCCGTTCGCAGCTCACACGCAACCGCCCTTGCTCTTCTGGAAGCAAACATCGATTGAAAGAGTATCTAACACGCAATAACTACTGAGTGAGAGCCTTGGGCGAGACGGGCAGACCCATGTTGGCCGGGAAGGCGTAATCCGGGTCCATGTCCTTCAACCTCCTGCCACCCACGAGCACAGGACCGTTCTTCTCCTGGTACAGCCTCATCCTCTCCTCGATCTCGGGCCTGAACCAACGGAGCAGACCCTGGATGGGCCAAGCGGCGGCGTCGGCGAGCGCACAGATCGTGTGACCCTCCATCTGCTTGGTGAGCTCGTAGATCATGTCGATCTCGCGGTTGTTGCCACGACCCTCCTCGAAGCGCTCCATCATGTTGGCGAGCCAGGTGGTGCCCTCACGGCACGGCGTGCACTGACCGCACGACTCGTGCTTGTAGAACTTGGCGAAACGAGAAATGGCCTGAACGACGTCGGTGCTCTTGTCCATCACAATGACCGCACCGGTTCCAAGAGAGGATTGGTTCTCGCGAAGCGAATCGAAGTCCATCAGCACCTCGGCGCACTTGTGCTTGGGCAGGATGGGAACGGACGATCCACCAGGCACAATGCCGAGCAGGTTGTCCCATCCACCACGAACACCGCCGCAGTGACGCTCGATGAGCTCCTTGAGCGGGATCGACATCTCCTCCTCGACGACACAGGGGTTGTTGACGTGGCCCGAGATGGCGAACAGCTTGGTGCCCTGGTTCTTGTCGCGGCCGAAGCCAGCGAACCACGCCGGTCCACGGCGGATGATGGTGGGCGCAGCAGCCACCGTCTCGACGTTGGCGACGGTGGTGGGGCAACCGAACACACCGACGTCGGCGGGGAAAGGCGGCTTCAAACGAGGCTTGCCCTGCTTGCCCTCGAGCGACTCGATGAGCGCCGTCTCCTCACCGCAGATGTACGCACCCGCACCCTTGTGCACGTAGACGTCAAAGTCGTAGCCCGAGCCACAGGCGTTCTTGCCAATGAGACCGTCCTTGTACGCCTCCTTGATGGCGTGCTGCAGGTGAGCCACCTCGAGGTAGAACTCGCCACGAACGTAGATGTAGGCGGCGTTAGCGTTCATGGCGCGACCAGCGACGAGACAGCCCTCGATGAGCTTGTGCGGGTCACCGCGCATGATCTCGCGGTCCTTGCAGGTACCAGGCTCACCCTCGTCGGCGTTGATGACGAGGTAGCGGGGTCGAGGGTCCTTCTCCCATCCAGGCTTGTTCATGAAGCTCCACTTGAGACCCGAGGGGAAACCAGCACCACCACGACCGCGCATGCCGGACTCCTTCATCTGCGAAATGATCCAGTCGTGGCCCTTGAGCAGGATGTCCTTGGTGCGGTGCCAGTCACCACGCGCCTTGGCGCCCTTGAGACCGTGATCGTGGCGCATGTAAGCGTTCTGGAAGATGCGGTCCTGGTCACGAAGACCACCGTGGGAGCGAACGGGAGTGTCGGTGACGGTTGCAAGGCCACGCGACTGCGAGGGGGCTGCGCAGGCGACCTTGGCCACATTGTTGAGGCTCTTGGCCGAGCGAGCGGCGCTTCGAGCGACCAGACCTGTCATTGCGACGATTATTTATGGCGATGCGATGGGAGTGTAGTGTCGAGTCGGTGGAGTAGAGTAGAGTCGATGTGAAGGCGATGATTCATGAGAGTGGTGGACGATTGCGTTGAGGAGATAGCGTATCGGTTGTCAGTGATCTGCTGAAACAGGTGCAGGATCTCGTGACTGCTGCTTGCGAGTCTACTTACTAGCTCTCTGCATGATGTATGGTTGATGCGATTAGGGTATGGTGAAGAGTCGTCAACAAACAGCGATGGCGTCGACTGACATTTGAGATTGTCGACGGCTGTCTCTGGCGGTGGCACTGACGGCGACTGCCTTTCTGGAAGCGCTATGCTAAGCTCGAGAATTTCCAATTTGACCCGTACGTAGCGAGCTGCTGACCAAAGCACTCTCCCTCAGAGCGCGCGACTGTCTCTGCCAATCACCAGAGCTTCAATTCTCACCTGCAATTTCGGAGCCGCGCGATTTTCCAACTTTCGACAGCTGAAGGTCTAACAAAGTGGAAGATAATCTCGCTGCCTCCCAACGATTCTTACACCACACTCTCTCATGCTGCCTGAATGAGAGCCCTGGCGATGTAGACATGCTCGCTCGATCGAAGCCAATAGCTACGTTCAACATCATGACCATATCAGCAGAAGCTCTAGTAGGATGCTGCATTGGGCCTTTTGAAGATGTTGGTACATGGAGAGTGGTGTGTATTGCGTTTCTTGCTTAACCCATCTGTCCTCGCTGCTCTTGCAACTTGTTGACCTGCGGAAGCCGTATCAGAAGTTTTAGTCGTATCAGCTATCAATATGAGCTGCCGAAGTGAAGATCGTTTGACTGACGAGCTGCACACTTACGATGAACAAGCTGGTATCTAAGAAACGCTCAACGCAGTTGCTAAGGCACGCCTCTTCGCCACGACCGAAGCTCGAGCCGATGGACGACTTGATGCACTGGTCCCAGCATCGGTCTGTGAAGGTGTGGATCGACGACTGCACACGGGCCTTGGCCTGCTCTGCGTCGAGGAACGATTGCAGCTCTGCGAATGCGACCAGTGAAACGATCGTCACGATTTCGTCAGCTGTCTGCTTCCGATCGGACCTTTCCTTTGCCTGTCAGCGGCGAGGACTGAGGTTGACTTACCCTTCTGATCAGCTTCTGCGAGTCCGGACATCTTGTCTGTGTGATCGTGGATGATGGTGGGTGCGATGAACGACAGACAAGCAGGACGATGTGGAGAGCTTGGACCCCTCGAGGGAAATCTTCTCAGACTCAGCTGGATTTGTCATGCTTAGGCGAGGCAGGGGCGTGGAGGGCCGCCAGCCAAAATTTGCCGTTCCCTTGCAGCTGAGAATTTCTCTTGAACCCTGAACTTCCTTCCACTCCAACCCTGCTCCCATACTTCGAACACTCGCAGCATTATCATCCTCATCCTCCCCCTCATTGTCCCGTCGTCAACTCGACATCAAGGCGGACTCGCAAAAATGGCTGGAGAAAAGCTCACAAAGAAGCAGCAGAAAGCTGCCCAGTTCAAGGCGGGCAAGCGAGGCAAAGGATCGGCCGTTGAGGATCACCCCGCCACCCCTGATGACATTCCCGAGGACATTCCTGCCTCCAGCGCACCGGAAGCATCCACATCCACATCGTCATCGAAGTCATCAAAGTCATCGAAACCTTCGAAGCCGTCGGAAGAGGCAACTTCAACGGACGCACCAGTAGCCGAGGCATCAGCAGCAGAAGCACCCGTCAAAGAAGAGAAGCGCAACAAGAAGCGCAAGCGTCTCGCAGCCGAAGCGGAAGCGCTTGCTCAAGCCGGTGTCACCCCTGAGCAACCAGCACCGGAAGCGAAGAGCAAAGACGACGTCAAGGCCAAATCAACCAAGTCCAAGTCCAAGTCCAAACCAGATCCTGCGGCTCCTGCGAAGAAGACGACGTTCGGCGACGACGGCGAAGTAGCCGCCGAGGAAACCGTCTCGTCCGCCCCTTCAACATCCGAACCCACCGCCAAGAACAACAAGTACATCCTCTTCATCGGCAACATGGCGTTCAGCACCACATCCGAGTACATCTCCAAGCACTTTGGTCAAGCGTGCGGTGAAACCCCCACCGTCCGTCTGCTCACCCGCAAAGCCGACCCGAACGCGCTCGCCTCGCTCCCCGCGTCGAAGCGCAAATCCATCGCCAAAGGTAAAGCGCTGGACCCGACCAAACCTCAATCGAAAGGATGCGCTTTCGTCGAATTTCAAACCAGCGAGGCGCTACGAAAAGCACTCAAGTTCCACCACACGCTGCTCGAGGGGAGGAAGATCAATGTCGAACTCACCGCCGGTGGTGGAGGCAAGGGCGAGGCGAGACAGGAGAAGATCAAGGCGAAAAACGCCGGATTGGAGAAGGAGAGGGCTAAGTTGCATGCGAAGCACGTAGCACCCAAGAACGAGGAGAGGAAGAGGAGAGGCGGTGCGGAGGGTGGGGAGAGGGAGAACAAGAGGAGGAGGCCGGTGGAGCAGGAGAAGGAAGAGGGGTGGGGAAGGAACGCGGGACGGGAGAGGAAGATGCCAAGATTTATGGCGACCGGTGCGAATGCGGTTCGTGTCGCTCCGACTTCGTAGGGTCTGCATTATTCCAGCTGCTCAATCGATACCATCATCGCACACGATTTGATGCATGAACACTGTTTGGAGCTGACAACGTTCTAAGAGCACGACGTTACGCGAGTGGACATAAACAGTGAGAGTCAGAATCGTACGGTATACCTAGTTCGAACTGGCGTCCGCAGCATCGTCGACATTCCACAGACACATTCCATCATGGGGCTCCTTGACCTCTCCACCTTTGGCCGTACAATCCGCCTCGAACGCCTTCCTCGCCTCGTCCCTCGCGCCATCATAGTCCAACTGACAGAACCCGTACGTGTAGCTCATCGCATTGGTCCACATGCCACTGCACTTCTTCTTGGTCTCATCATCGACTATGTCCCCTCCATCGCCATCGATCGTCGTGTAGCCCTTGAGCTTTTTGCCGTTCGTGATGGTGGGGAGGACCTTGGCGCATTGTTGCATGAAGATCTTGCGGGTTGTGTGACGTTGGGCGCACTTGTACTTGTTGGGCTTGACAATGGGGGACGTGGTGGCTTTGCAGCAGGTGATAGCGCGGGTGATGGCGTAGTCGACGAGGGTGTAGTGGAATGTGCCCGCGTCTTTGAAGCCAGTTGGATCGTTGGTGTCCTTGCCGTCCTTGTCCGGTGTCACGGCTGGAGCGGGAGCAGGGGCAGGAGCAGGGTCTGCTGCAGCAGCCGGCGGTGCAGATTTGACATACTTCTCGTCGTAATTCGGCCACACTTGCGGACAGTAGCCCTTGTCGGGCGTGATCAGCTCCCCCTGACCCGCCGAACAGACGGATTTGAACGCTCCAGAGGCGTCGTCAGGCGTAGACCCTGGAAGGTGGTGGCAGAACTGTAATCCGAGTCGACGCGAACCAGGAGCATCCGACATCTGCATCGCCTGCGAAGGGAAGCATTTGTACTGACCCACCGAGGGGATCTCGTTCAAGAGACCCATGCAGCACGAGAGGTCAGAGACCTTGGTGTTGTCCGTGAGGACAATGTTGAATTGGCGGATGACGGGCAGGTTCGGGTCGCTGATTTGGTCGTCCGCAGTGACGAAGGGGGGAAGAGCGAGGGTGATAGCGCCAACAAGGGCAAGCCATGGGTAAGAAAGCTGCATCGCGAAATGATCCTTGTACTGACAGGTGCAAGAAGAGATGGAAGAAAGAGAAAACCGTTCGCTCTTCTTATACTGCGTCAGAGGCGTCGGCGTCGACTCGAAGAACGCCCAACTCTGCTCACTCGAGCATCTTGATGAAGCGTGTCCGGTTCAGTCCATCGGCGTGTGGGACAGCCATCCTGCCCGGATGAAAGTGGGCTCGTCGACCTCCAATTGTCAACCTCAAGCAAGCACACACCGAAATCGCAGCGTTAAAGTGGGTGACAACGAGATGAAATTGCGACTAGCTAGAGGGGCAAACCGCAGATTTCGCAGTCGGAGGCACTAGGCTCATTGTGGTAGGTGCAGTGGGCGCAGACCTTGACACCAGCGGGACCGTCATCGGCCGAGGCAGCTGCGATTGCTGCAGCGGTGGCAGCGTCCGTGTCGCTGGTATTGTTCCTGCTGGCAGAGGCACGACGAACGTGGGAAAGCTGGACGGAATCGTCATCGTCGCCATCGTCAAAGTCTTCGTTGGCATCGTCGAAGCCGATGTCGTCGTCTGAGTCCATGCCGCCATCGTAGGTGAACTGGTCCTTGGGCGGCTCGGCAGGCTTGTTTGCGTTACTGGATGAAGGCGCATGTTCACGGGCTAGCGCCATGAGTGTCTGCCATCCAGGGCGGAGGAGTAGAGCATCGAGTGCGGCGCCCGAGTCGTGCGTGGTGGCCAGACGGCAGAGGGCGGACATATCGTCTTGATCGAGGAAGCCGCTAGTGTCGAGGAAAGCGAGCAGGTGCCAGTCGCTCAGAGCACCGACCAGCTTATCCCGCACCTGATCATCGTCGGCCCGCGACTTGCCCTTGGTGCTCTCAACACCGTCCCCAACAGGGAACAACTCCTTGTGCCCAACAATCTTGCCGATGCTGGTCAATGCAACTGTGAGGTCCTGATCATGCAGACCTGGTCGGTTCTCGACGGGGAATTTGGAGCTGAGGAAGGTCGGATTGGGTGCGTTAGGGAAACCGTGGGTAGCATTGACGATGAGGTATTCGACGGGGAAGGTGGGCTTGGCGCTCTCCTTAACGTCGATCTTGTACTCGTTTGTGTAGCGGTAGAAGACCTCGGGGACGTATCGCTCGCCCTCGCTGGGTTTGACACGGATGATGTTGGGGTTGACACTGGCCTCGATCATATCCGCTTGGACCATGCCCATTCCTTGCTCGCTGATCTGGTAGGCTGATACATCGATAGCTCCTTCTTCGGTGCCGCTCAGGATGCAGGTGACGAATTTGGAGTTGAAGCGACCGGAAGCGCTGAAGCGGGATGAATTGGGGTTGCCGAGTTGAAGTTGAGCGGCAAAGACGGTCTCGATGCCAGAGAGGAAGAAGCTGTCCTTGTGTCGTTTGCATACGACCTTGCCGGCCAACGAGGGATCCTGGTGAGTAGGATCGGCAGGGCTGAGGTCGGAATAGATCATGCCGACAAATTCGAGACCGCAAAGCTTGGCGAGCTTCTCGATGCGGGGCTGCTCTTCCCAAGGCACACCCAGCGTGAGACCGTCCAGCTCTCCCTCCTGTGGTGGCTCGTGAATGGCCTCTACGACGGCTTTGATGCCCATAGGCACGTCTGGATAGGCTTCGTAGCGTCCAAGCAGAAAGCCAAAACGCTGCGTGGCTGTGCTTCGCCAGAAGGTGAGAATGTTCTCGATGAGATCTGGATGCGCAAACTCGACGTGATCCACCATGCGGTAAGGCTGTCGTTGCAGTGTGATGGCGGAAGGCTGGCATTTCGTGCAGATGCCTGCGGGCCAGCTTGGATGACTTCCAGACGGGCAAGGCTTCTTGACGGTGTAGTTGACTTCTTCAAGTGGCGGAATGAAGGACTGGCTGGGCTTGTTGGTGGCGATGTCCTGCTTGCGCAAGTAGGCGTGGAAAGAGAGGTGCTTGATGCTGTTTTCGGACTGATACTTGGAGTCGTAGGGCTCGAGAGGCATGCAGTAGTCACACATGCCTTTGGGACCGTGCTTGCAGAATTGCGAGTCCTTTTTGCGGGTGATCTTGCCCTCTTGTGCCTCCCAGTAGGTGTCGACACTGTGCTCCTTTGCGAGCTCCCATGGTTTCTTAGGTCGTGCTTGAGCTGATGAAGGCAGCTGCGACGATGATGAGGCTGCGGAGGTGGAAGGAGCAGAAGACGCGTCCGTTGACGGAGCTGATGGTGCAGCAGCATCGCCATTCGAAGCTGCGGAGGCGCTCTCTTTGTACGCAGCAAACAGAAGGTGACCATGAGCAATGCCTAGCTCCCCGAGGGTGCTTCCTTTGAGACCACTGGCGGCAAATTCGCCGCCCCTTGGCTGATTGGAGAAAGTGAGCGACTCTGGGTCCGCACTCGGCATGGTCTCGAGCACTTTGGCGATGAGCAGGGATGCATCGTCGGTGGGCTGGAGCTCGAAGCGGAAGTTGCCATCCTTGGAGCGTACTCGAATGATCATGATGGCAAAAGGTGAGAGCAGCTGGATCCCAGCGGCTGCTGTTCCGAGGCTTTCTGCTGTCGGATGACGGTAGTCGACGTTGTTCGTACTTGCGTCGAAGGCTGAGTCGAAGGTGAGAAGGATGGTCGATGCGAGGTGAGAAGATCAAAGTGGAGGTTTTGGCTCGTCAGAGGAAGCAGCTGCGCCCAAAAAAGGGTCCACGCGTCGACGATCACAAATTTCCAAAATGTTAGGTCAAAAGAGACTTTGCGGCTTTTCGGCATGGGACGCTGCTGCCCTAACATCTTGCAAAAAATCGAGCTCGCCGAAGAGCGCTCTGCCAATCATGCGAGGTCGGAAGAGGGACATCCGTCTGCGAGAGAATGAAGCCGGCGATGATCAGGTGCTTGAGCATGCCGGTCGAGTCACGGCACCAGCAGATAAGGCTGTTTGTTCGCAAACCCCACGACGAGCCGGCCACATGACGTTTAAGTGCAATACGGCTCGCTGCTGCCAGAAGGCAGGTCGGTCAATGTGACAATGAGAGCAGACGATGTCTCTCTTGTACGAATGATACATTGAATGACAGCTGGGAGCATCGTACAGACAAGCAACCAAGTCGGCGAAATGACCGCGCGCTGATTGGCAGAAGCACGGTTTTTGGCGATGCCAGATGTTGGTCCGCGGAGGTTCGTGAGTCGAGGTTCTGCATGCGGGAAACTTAGATCGGCCGCCTGCCTATCAGTTCTGGAACGCTATTTGACATTGAACAGAGCCTGACCGAGGCTTGCCTGGCTCAATGAACATTGTCTGTCTGCTCGAGGAGAGCTCGAACAAGAGGCCCCGTGTGACAGCTCGCACAAGGTCTCGTCCCACCATGAGCTCACTCATCCCTAGGCATTGCCGGTAAATTCAATTTAGCCGCCCTCCCGTGCCTCGATTTCAGGATGAGCTCTGCTTACAATGGCGCAGTGAGCCTCGTAGGCTGGCTTACCAAGAGGGAGGTCGTTCAAGGGGCACAGTCAATCATGAGAGCATGATCACACGGACGACGGACAGCCGAATGACCTCGCCGCCGCCTTTTGTTGGTCAGGGACGAGGCACGCTGCCAACCACGCGGTCGCTTCTCCCCCACTTTTGGCAGGCTCAGATCTGAGGACCGCCGGTGCATCGGCAGGCGCTCAGGGTTCGAACGGGAAATTGAATTTCCTTTTCTTACGGGTTTTGCACAGAAAAGCGCGCCGAGCAGGCTGAGCTGATCTCGATCCCGGCGAAAGTGCCAAAAACAAACGTGGCCCAACACAAGCACGTCGCCAAGCACAACCAGCCAGCCGCACCTCTCCCGAATGCTGTCTTCATTCGTTCATGAGCAGAAAGGTGAACATGATGAGAGACTGGGGACCGCTTTTATTAGTAAGGTGACAATCAGCTGCGATGCGCAGGACTCGCGCGCTGGGGGGGTTGTGTATTCAGCGCTTCGCGTCCTCCGCGGGAATCCCTGAGCAGGTATATTGCCGGCGCTTGCCTTGCTCCTCCTACGCTGCCTGCTGAGCCCTGTACTGCTCGCTCGGTTTGTCATGTTCACCGGCTCGGCTGTGTGTGTGTGGTTTCTTGCTCTCCCTTGCCTGCCGACTCGATGCGAAATGATCCCGTGGACCTTCTCTCTCTCCCCCATTGTCATCTCTCTCTCTTGATCAAGGCCGCCTCATCCTTCCTTACTACGCCTCCCTCTTTCACCATCACATCCACTCAGGGCTGAGTTGACTGCGACATCTACACTTTACCGCCGGCTCCTTCGACGCAAAGACTCATCAGTGCCGACCTCTACAATACATAAGCCTCGCCCTCCTCGACTGTGTTGGACCATACTGGCTCACGCTGCACCACATGCTGAGCTCTCTCTAATCCGGCGACCCAATCCATCGCGCCTCTCTCTGGCGTCTGCCCCTCCATCTGTTTGGAAAAGCCTTGACTTGCGGTAGCAACTGCGTTTCTATCATGTCGGCGCCGTCCGCCAACGCGGCGCAGCCGGTCGCGTCGTCACATGGGGCAGCCGTACCGCAGCCTTCTTCGTCCTCCTTCTCAGCTGCCCCCTCAGTTGCATCCGCCATCATCCCGGACAACGAAGATGAAAGCCACAGCGAGTCCTCCAGAAGTGCAGCTCCCTCCAGCGAACAGGCCGCGGCTTTGTCATCGGCTACCGAGGAGAAGCCCGGCTTCGAGTACAATCCCGGTGTGCGCACCTTTGTTGGAGGCAAACACAAAGAAAAGTGGTACCAGGTCTGGCGCCCCAAGAATCCACCACCCGCGCCTCCAGCCAGCCTCGACGACGCTACCCTCATCCCACTTGCCAATGCAAGCATCATCAACCGCATCTTCTTCCAATGGATGACCCCCATCATGGTCCTCGGCTACCAACGGCCCCTCGAAGCGACTGATCTCTGGGCCCTATCCGAAGATCTCAGTGCCAAACAGCTTGGCGGTCAGCTCAATCGCGATTGGGAGCGACGCGTTCGCGAAGCCAAGGACTACAACGCCAAGCTCGAGTCGGGCGAGATCCAGCCCGGATGGAAGAGGCGCACCTCCTGGGCGCTCCGGTACACGCTCAATCCCAAAGGCGGCAATACAAAGCAGCGCGAAGCCAGGTGGAGAGCTCCGCCCAAGCCAGCTCCGGCTACCGCTGCGCCTGCTGGACCTCCCAAGCCAGGCAAGCCCAAGGCGCCAAAGACCCCAAAGGATCCGTCCGGACACAAGAAGCCTTCGCTCGTTTGGGCCATGCACGACCAGCTCGGCTGGAAGTTGTGGTCCGGTCTGCTCTTCAAGATTGTCGGCGACGCTTCGCTCATCACCTCGCCCTTGGTGCTCAAGGCCATCATCAAGTACGCCCAGGAACTCTACTCGGCTCGCGCAAGGGGCGTTCCGGGTCCCAACGTCGGGCATGGAGTCGGTCTCTCGTTTGCCCTCTTCTTCATGCAGATCATCTCGTCGCTTGGTACCCATCAATTCTTCTGGCGCTCCATGTCGTGCGGTGTCGAGTCGCGTGCCGCGCTCATCACTGCCATCTTTGACCGCGCCATGAAAATGAACGGCAAGGCCCGTTCTAGTGGCAAGCTCATCAACCACATCTCCACCGACTGCAGTCGTATCGACTTTGCCTCGGCCTGGTTCTCGGTCGTCTTTGCCGCTCCCATCCAGATGATCATCTGCATCATCATTCTCCTCACTCAGCTCGGTCCATCCGCGCTCGCCGGTTTTGCCATCTTTGCGCTCGCCACTCCGCTCCAGCTCCAAGCTATGAAGGCTCTCTTCACCATCCGAAGAGGTTCCATGAAGTGGACGGATGCGCGAGCAAAGACGATCCAGGAAGTGCTCGGAGGCATGCGCATCGTCAAGTCGTTCTCGCACGAAGCTAAGTTCCTCGATCGCATCTACGACATTCGCAAGAACGAGCTCAATGGCATCCGCAAGATCCTCATCCTCCGATCCGCCAACAACGCCATCGCCTTCAGTCTGCCTATCTTGGCTGCTGTGCTCGCCTTTGTCGTCTACAGCTTGACCGGTCACGAGCTCAACCCTGCCATCGTCTTCCCCTCGCTCACGCTCTTCCAGCTCCTCCGAATGCCGCTCATGTTCTTGCCTCTCTCGCTTTCGGCTACCACCGATGCCAAGAACGCCTTTGACCGTCTCTACACTGTCTTTACCGCAGAGCAGCTTGAAGATACGGTCGAGCACGACGAAGAGAGCAAGTACGCTCTCACCGTTCGCGACGCTTCGTTCCGCTGGGAGACCGTCGAGGCCGATGAAGCGCTTCAGTCCAAGTCCAAGCCCAAGGGAGGTGCCAAGGGTGCCCACGCAGACAAGACGGCCGGGGCTGGAGCCAAATCTGCATCCAGCCATGGCATGTTTGGCAAAGCAAAGAAGTTGATGAAGAAGTCGGCTGCTCCTCCCGCCGCCAACGAGCCCGGTCTGCCTACGCCGGTGTCCGCAAAAGAGCCCAACTCGGACAACGCGCGACGCCTGCAACAGATTCAAGCCGAACAGAATGACACGACGGCTGACGGCGACAACGAGGCGATCGTCACCGAGGCACAGCTCGAGCCCACGCTAGGGGACGCGACGGAATCCGAAAAGGAAGTCGCCGAACCAGTGCAGGAGCCCTTCTCCATGTCTCACGTCAACCTCTCCATCCCCAAGGGCGAGCTCGTCGCTATCGTCGGCCCCGTTGGTTCAGGCAAGTCGTCCTTCCTCCAGGCTTGCATCGGCGAGATGCGCCAGACGGGTGGCTCGGTCCAGTGGGGCAGCGAGAGGGTCGCCTACTGTTCTCAGAGCGCCTGGATCCAAAACGCTACCCTACGCAACAACATCCTCTTCGGCCAGCCTTTCGACGAAGAGCGCTACTGGCATGCCGTCAAGGTCGCCGAGCTCGAAGCTGATCTTGAGATCTTGCCAGCTGGCGACCTGACCGAGATCGGTGAGAAGGGTGTCAACCTCAGTGGTGGTCAGAAGCAGCGAGTCAACATTGCGCGTGCTCTTTACTACAACGCCGACATTGTTTGCCTCGACGACCCGCTCTCGGCCGTCGATGCGCACGTCGGCAAGGCGCTCTTCTACAATGCCATCATGGGTCTGCGCGCTCGAGGTGCCACTGTCCTTCTCGTGACTCACGCCCTGCACTTCCTCCCAGACGTCGACCGCATCATCACGCTCGAAGACGGCCACATCGTCGAGATGGGCACCTACGACCAGCTCAACACCGCCAACGGTCCCTTCCAGCGCCTGGTAGTCGAGTTTGGCGGTGAAAAGGAGCAGGAAGAGGAAGTCAAGAAGGAGGACGAAGAGGGAGCCATCGAGGACGCCGCGGTGGACGGCAAGAAGGCCAAGAAAGTCGATCGCGCCCACCTCTCCGGAGGCAAAGGCGGTGACAAGGCCGGTGCCCTCATGCAGGCCGAGGAGCGCAACACGGGCTCCGTCTCGATGCGCGTCTACCTCTCGTACCTCAAGTTCGGCCGCGGTGCCTACATGGTGCCCATCTGTGTCTCGAGCATCGTCTTCATGCAGGTGGCCAACATCCTCAACTCGTACTGGCTGATCTGGTGGCAAGAGAACCATTTCAACAAGCCGATCGGCTTCTACATGGGCATCTACGCCATGCTGGGTGTTGTCATGACCATGTTCACCTTTGTCATGGGCTGCGCCATGGGCTTCCTCAGCTACTACGCCTGCAAGCGTGTTCATCACGAGGCCATCCAACGAGTCGTCTACGCTCCCATGGCTTGGTTGGATGTGACGCCCATCGGCCGCATCATGAACCGATTCTCCAAGGACGTCGATGTGGTGGACAACCAGCTCGCCGATGCCGTCCGAATGGCCGCCAACACGCTCGCCTCCGTTGCTGGTGCCGTCATCCTGATTACCATCTTGACACACTACTTCGTGATCGCCGTCGCTGTCGTCCTTATCTTCTACTTCTACGGCGCGCTGTTCTACCGCTCTTCTGCGCGAGAGGTCAAGCGCTTGGATGCCATTCTACGATCTAGCCTCTACTCGCATTTCTCCGAGACGCTCTCGGGTCTTGCTACCATCCGAGCCTACCGCGAGACCGACACGTTTATCAAGGAGAACCAAAAGCGTATGGACGTCGAGAACCGCGCCTACTACCTCAGCATCACCAACCAGCGCTGGCTCGGTGTGCGCCTTGACATGCTCGGTGCGCTCCTCGTGCTTATCGTCGCCCTGCTTACTACGGCCAGCTCGAGGCCGATCACAGGCGGCAACGCAGGTATCGCGCTCACATACATGCTCACGGTCGCACAGGCCTTCTCGTGGATGACGCGCCAGATCGCCGAGGTCGAGAATGACTCGGCGTCGGTCGAGCGTCTGCTGTACTACGCGGAAGAGCTGGAGCAGGAGAAGGCGCAGACGCGACCCGACAACCCGACACGCGAGTCGTGGCCCGAAGAGGGTCGCATCTCGTTCAACGACATCTGGCTCAGCTACCGACCTGGACTGCCCTCGGTGCTCAAGGGCATCTCGTTCGAGGTTGGAAGCGGCGAGAAGGTCGGCATTGTCGGCCGAACCGGTGCAGGCAAGAGTTCGCTGTTGACCGCTCTGCTGCGATTGGTCGAGCTCAGCAAGGGCTCGATCGAGATCGACGGCATTGACGTTGGCAACATTGGTCTCGAGGATTTGAGACGCAAGCTGGCGATCCTGCCCCAGGAGCCACTGCTTTTTAGCGGCACACTCCGAACCAATCTGGACCCCTTTGGCATCTACGACGATGCACGACTCAACGATGCGCTCAAGCGTGCCTACCTCATCGGCGACGACACGCACACGCACGGTGCGACCACTCCGGTCATGCCCGTTCTCGAAGCAGGTAGCGAATCCGCCTCGATCTCGGACGACGAGAAGAAAGCGCTCGAAGTCTCGGGCGATTCGACCCCCGGCCGCGCCGTCTCGCGCATCAGCCTCGACACGGTCATCGAGGAGGAAGGTGCCAACCTGTCGGTGGGTCAGCGCTCGCTTGTCTCGCTCGCCCGTGCGCTGGTGAAAAACTCGAAGATCATCTTGCTCGACGAAGCCACCGCATCCGTGGACCTCGAGACGGACGCCAAGATCCAGCAGACGATCCGCGAAGAGTTTGCCAACCGAACCATCCTCTGCATCGCCCATCGTCTCCGGACCATTTTGTCGTATGACAGGATCGCCGTGTTCGACAAGGGCGAGCTGGCGGAATACGCGAGCCCGCTCGAGCTGTTCGATAGGCCAGAGGGCATCTTCCACAGCATGTGCGTGAGGAGCAACATCACCCGCGAGGAGATCCTGCGCAACGTCAAGGCAGGCTCAACGACGGCTTTCGCTTGAAGCACACTATTCTTACGACTTCAACATTAGCATTCACATCATCTTAACGCTCTGTATACACGCACGGAGTGATCATGGAACCTCAACCGCACTCGAAGCTTTAGACGATGGTATGCGATTTGGCCGATGATAAAATGAGTAAAAGTACAAATGCAGATGAAGCGCTCCGACCTGAACCCTCTGTCGCCCTTGACTAACCGTACGAGCCCATCTGGTTGCCGCTCTTGGGCTTGCTGATCTTGCTGATGTTTTTCTGCAGAATGTCCCACACGACGGCGTACATGTTCCTCAAGTCGGTCCAGTGCATCCTCATCCTGTACAAAGTCTTGCGATCATGCTCCCGGAGCGCCTCTTCGTAGTCCTTGACTCCTGGAAACCTCACGAGCTTCGCTGCTAGATCTCCGCGCGCCGAGTGATAGGTGAAGGGAGTAGCGAGGAGATTGTAGGCCGAATCCTGCGTTCGTACTATCTCGTTGAGCGCCTCTTCCTGGATCGAAACGCCAAAGGTGTCACCGTCTTCGATCTGAGGCATCTGCATATTGATGTACATCTTGAGCGCGTCGGTGAGCTCGATGAGCTCGTCCCATTCGACGCGAAGCTCGGCAAAGGCTTTTGTCAGGTATGCTGGTGTGGAGACGACGCCGGTAAAGACGTGCGCCGATTCCTCGTGTGACGCTGTCTCCCCGTTGACCGCATTCCCATCGGCCGACTTGCGCTTCTTACTGCTCGTCCCTTCCTCCGTCGCTGATGACGACGCAGGGTGGACGGTCGTATCGGTACCAATTGCGGTAGGATCGAGGTAGTGTGACCTCGAGAAGAGATGGGTCTTGTCGCTGTCGATCTCGGCGATCTTGGCGTTGAGCGCGAGGATCTTTTCAGGAAGGGTCTTTTGAATGATGTTCACAGCATTGTCGCGAATGCTCTGCTGCCACGCTTCGAGCGCGTCCGTGGTGGACTTTTCAAATTGCAGCTTGACCGCTATTGACATCGTGACGGCGATGGCGAAGTGTGAGTAGGACGGTGGTGGGCCGGAAAGAAGGACCTAAGAAGAAAGAGTCGATGCTCATCCTCACGCTGTGCAGCTCCACTTTGTGTGACGTGCTGCCTGAATTTCAGATGTAACACTTTTGGGCTGAGCGGCGCGCACCGACCAACACCGCCGGGACCCTGACCACGCTTTCTCCCTCTCAACATCATCTGGTCCACTTTCGAAACTGTAACGTCCCCACAAAACCCACTCGAGCGCTCGGCGCCAGTCAATGGCTTACTTGTGCTGGTCACCGCGCTCCAAATGAGCACATCACCGTAGCCGACGTCCCTCGTGCTGCTCTTCACCGAGCGCTGACACTCACGTCACCCCCACAATGGCTCTCCAAATCGACGAAGCCGAGCTGCTCAAAGCATACAACCTCGACACGCTCGAGCCCACCACCTGGCATACCACCGAGATCGAGGCCGGCGACAAGGACAATGCTGCATCCACCGGCGTCGCTGACGAACCCGACCCGCTCGGCTTGCGTAACTCGATGGCAGCCTTCCGCGCGCTCCCCAAAACGGTCAAGACGCAGACCTCCATGTCATCCAAAGCATTCGACGCAAAGATCTTCCTCTCCACAGTTCATCCCGATGCAACCTTCGCGGATCTAAATCGCGGCATCCAGCACCTCAAAGCAAGCATCGGCCAACGCTCCGAGGCGCTCAAAGTGCTCGTCGAGGACAACTTTGACCGCTTCGTCGCGGTCAAGGCCACCACCGATGGCGTATATCGCGAGATGCGCGAAACTGATTCCGGACCACTTCGACCACAGGCTGACTACGGTGTGGCCAATCTCAATGGCATCCTCGCCAATGCATCGGCCAAGGCGGACCAGGTCTTCATGCCCGTGCTCGAGAACAATCTCAAGACGATCAAGCTCCGGTCGACGCTGGGCGTGTTTGAACGGTCCAAGTTCTTCTTCAACTTGCCCGGGTCGCTATCGGAAGCGGTCGAGCTGGGCAGGTACGACGTGGCACTGCGCGACTACAAGAAGGGCAAATATCTGCTCGACAGCAGACCGGGTCAGCTGTTGGCCGTAGGCTCTAAGGCCGAATCGGCGGGGGGCGCGAGAAATGACATTCAACAGAAGCGCGTCTTTGCCAAGGTGTGGGATGCGGTGGAAGCCACCATGAAGGATATGCAGTCCAAACTGACGGCTCAGCTGAGGGAGCCACGGCGGAGTGTAGACGAGCAGGAAAAGACGATCGAGATCCTGCTCGAGCTCGATCCGACCGACGATCCGGTGTCGATCTTCCTCGAGGCGCAGCATCAGCATCTCCGGAGTGTCATGCGTAAGACGTTCGATGCTGGTGTGGCGCGCATCGAGACGGCGAAGTCGGCATCGCGGCCTTCCAGCAGTGCCGCAGACCGCGATCATGCGAGGGACTTGCAGAAAAGCATGCGGCTGACGGGTCGATTGGACGCCTCTTTCGACAAGTGCACGGGCGCCGAAACCTGGAAGGCCATCTACGATCTTGTCAAATCGCTCTCCGAGACGATGCTAGCCTCCCTCCCGAGCTTCTGGAGAGTCGCCAAGAACCACGCCGAAGGCAAATTCACGAAAGCCAAAATCCGGGTCGGTGCCCCCTCCTCCTCCGCCACCCCCACCGGCATGTCAGCTCAGAACAAAGCCTGGGCCTCCGAAGCCCTCGACGCATATATCAGCCTCATCTCGCATCTCTTCTCCCTGACAGATATGACCATCCTCATCCGTCAACCCCTCCCAACCGCCCTCCCGGACTGGGTTCCATCGGGCACATCCTCACCCACCGCCGCGCACTACCTCCGCGAGACGCTCACCCACCTCGTCGAAGCCTGCAACGACCTCGCCTCGCTCGGCATCGTTTCTGCGAGCTCGCTCCGCAGCTTACTCACCAACACGCGGTTCAGCTTTGTGCAGGCGCTCTGCATTCTCTGGCAGTCGGATGCGAAACTCATCCACATGCTCGAAGACTGGACGTTGAATCCGGACGAGCCGGCCACCACCTTGCATCTGCGCGACCTTGCGGCATTTCACAAATCCAATGCCCGGTCAGCGTTCCACCTCGCCGGCGGTCGATCACCGTCCACACCCGTCTCAGCGCTGGAGGCGACCCGCAAGACGCGCAGCGAGCAACCTGTCGCACCCGAGTTCACGTCTCGCATCAAGGGCGCGTTTCTCGATGCGCTCTACGCCTTCCTCGACGGGCTGGTGCATCTGGCGTTTGCAGAGTACGCACCACTTGACCCACGAAGTGCGCTGTCGACCCTCCCAACAGGGGCAGGCGAGGCGGTGGACGTACGCGACCTCGACACGCGTGTCCTACTTAGCGTGGCCAACCTCGCCCATCTCTCGGGGACCATCATCCCTTCCCTCGTCAAGCAGTTCTCCGACGCATACGCCACCCCGATGTCCGAAGACCTGTCGACACTCTCCGAAGTCTCCATGCAACTGGACGGGATTCTATTCAGCGACTACCTCGGACGCAAATCCTCGCTCATCGAGGGGATCTTGTCGCACGGCATCGTGCATTCGGACTGGTCGGCCATTCCACGACCCACGACACTGCACACGTTCGTCTACCAGTCCCTTCTAGCGCTGGTTCAAGTTCACGCACATGTCCGGGCCACTGCGCCACCCCTGGTGACGCGCACCATTACCGCTCTCGTCGACAGCCTGACGAACACCACTCTGTCGTGCTTTCGTGACATCTCGCAATTTGGAATGGGCGGAATGCTACAAGCGACCCTCGAGATTGAGTTTCTCCACCAAACACTCAGTGCGTATATAAGCCCCCAGGCGGAGACGACGCTCAAGGAGGTGTACGAGACCATTTCGTTGCGCTACAAGCGTGCCGGGGAACGGGAGCAGGAGGAATTGACGAGGGAGTTGGAGCGGGTGAAGGGCATTCTGGTGCAGAGCAGGAAGGCGACCGCGTTGGAGTTTTTGTGCTTCCGACGGACCAAAGGGAAGGAGGACGGCGTCGTGGGGTGAAGCGTGCAATGACAGACAGGAGTGTGCACGGAAATGCGATGTTTGTGCGAGTGCGTGTGCGATCCTGAGTGGGAGTGTGAGACAGTCGTTCGAAGCACCACTGAGACTCAAGCGTCAAGCATCCGTCAGAAGTGTCCTGAAAGCGTGTGTGCATTGCGAAAGAAAAGAAAGACGTGGTCCATCTGAGGGCACCCCGTCTCGCCGACAAAAAGTGGTGGTGATATGCGAGCCGAGCAAGCTCTTTTAGTGTTGTTCCTCGTCTATTGCGCAGGCAACGCCGGCGCTCCTCCCGGTGCGGCGCCTGGCAAGGTATCCGGAATGATGGGTGCAACCTGCTTATTCCCCTCTGCCATGAATCTCTGCATCAGTACGCCTACACCCTCGAACACACCTAGCAGGATGCCGCACATGATGCCGGAGCCAATGGCGGTTTTGGGTCCACTGCGAATGGCGAGACCGCCGCCGGTCATGAAGCCGGCAATGATGGCGTTCCACGGATCCTCCTTCTGTCGAATTCCTTTCACTGCGCAGTCGAACGAGGAAAACATGCCGCCCCAGACACCGAAGTTGCCGCCCAAGACGGGGGCGCGCGCCTTGATCGCGGAGAGAGAGCCAGGAAGTCGTTCCCCTCGAGGGCTGTTGCGCGCTCCCTTGATGCCGTGCCAGATGGTTCCACCTACTGCGCCCATCGCGAAGGCTCCGCCGAAGTCATTTAGGATCACCCAGGGGCATGGGTCGCGTGTGTGGTCTGCGTGCGCCATTGTGTGGTGCTATGTGAGGTTGGGATCCCGAGTCGATGCCGGGGGTGCTCGCTGTGAAATTGGGGAAGCTTGTGTGGTGAGCTGCGTGCGACCTCCACTGCTGGTTAATGGTTAGGAGGCGTTACTGGCGTGGAATCAGGGCGTTCCTGAGGCTGCAAATGAGCGTTTGACGCAGCGGCCGTCTGCTGAAGAGCTTTCGAACGCTTTTGGACTGAGCTGACCGCAATGGTAGGTCGACGAGACGCTGCCTTTCGCAATTTCAATCCTTCCTAAGAATCCTGCTGAGTTGCTGAATGTGTCCAGATGTTTCCCGAGTTTAGCTTTGTCCGGGTTTCAGCGCTTCCGTGCTATGCGACCTCTTTAGCCAATGTCTGCGCTGGTTGCTTGAGCCGAAAGTCCCGCGCTATGATGTTGCTTTGCGCCGTGAAGAGGTTGGTGAGCGATACGTAAGGATGATGAGAAGGTCGACAGCTCCACCCGTAAACCATCAAATTTGTCACACACACGAATTTTGCTTTGCCCGACTTCCAGCCTTCCGGAACAACGAGGAAGGAGGAGGGAGGGGCTGAGCCAAGCTTTGCGCAAATTTCGCGCGAGTGAAAAGTCCACTCTTCATCGCGCTCTAACATCCTTGCACTCCTCGCTCATCTTCACTCGACACCATGGCGCTCACCACTCACCAACGCCACAACGTCGACACTGCTCGATGGTCAAAAATGAAGCATGCATTTCCCGTTAGATCTATACAGACGTCGAACATTGTTCTAGGCATCCATAGCAGCCCGGTTGATACTAGGCGTCTCCTTCGGATCCACATACTTGACGTGTCCCAACCCGGCCCAATCGCCCCATCTCTTCCACCACGGCACGCCCTCGGGCACCCTCCTGCCCCCCTTCAAGCCGGTATACCTAAAGTCGTCCCATTTGGGGAAGGTTGCTCTTAGCATATAGTTGATCTGCCAGTCGGGTTGCATGCTTGTCACGCGCCCACTCTTGGCGTCGATGTACCAAGATTTGCACCCGCTGGTGAAGACGAGTTTGGACATGCATTTGGCGATCCAGTGCTGCTCGTCGAGTTCGGCTTTGAGTTTGACCTCGAAGGTGGGGATCTTGTGCAGGTCGAGTTTTTGGTCCCCCGAGAGGGTCGTGGAGGGGTAGTGTTCGATGGCGAACTGCGGTGGGCGGGCGGAGGCAAGTACGGGCTTGGCTAGCTCGAGCAAAAAGTTGACGGTGCACTCGGAGGCAAAGATGAGACTCTGATTGCCGGTGCCGGTGTTGGCGGCGTTGATCTGGCCCATGTTGGGGAAGCCGCTGTTGAGCGAGCTGCGGTAGGCAACCATTCCACCTTCGCCGTACTTGGCCCAGTGCTCGTGCAAGGTTCGGCTGACACCGACGATCTTCATCGGTGCCCCCGCTGCAGTCGGCTCGAAGCCGTTGGCCATCACAATCACGTCCGCCTTGATCTTGCGTCCATCCGCCAACACGACGTGCTCCTTCTCGATGCGCGCCAGCTTGGTGTTCTCCACCTTGACGTGCGGTTGTCGCAACGTGGGCAGGTAGTCGTCGTCGATGATGCGACGCTTGCAGCCGACCATCAGCTCGTCCTTCTTCGGCAGCAGCATATCCCAGTACTCCCGTGGGGCGTTCTTCTTCATGTGCGCCTCGCACTTGCGTCGCCAGTTCCAGCGGAACAGCCTGCCCAGCGGGTTCTGGAGCACCATGATGAAATGCGATTCGAGGATGAGCCAGATGAGGAGGCGCTGGGCCTTGCGAACGAAGACCGAGCGTTGGAGGAGCCACTTGAAGCCGGGGATGCTGTCGAAGGGTTGGTGGGGATGCGGGGCGATCCAGTGTTTCGAGCGGACAAACTGGGTGAGCGTCTTGGAGTGTTCGGCGAGGTAAGGCACGCATTGGGTGGCGGAGCATCCGTTGCCGACTAACACGACGTCTTTGCCGGCGAGATCGACACTGTGATCCCACGCGGCCGTGTGGAAGATCGGTCCGGCGAAAGTGTCCGCTCCGTCGATATCGCATTTCTTGGGCTGGCTCAACCCGCCCACTGCGCTAACGAAGAACTTGCATACGAAGTGGTGCTTCTCACCTTCACCGTCCTTGGTCCAGTCGGTGCTCCACAGGTGCCACAGCCCCGTATCGCGATCGTACCTCGCCTCGTTGACTGTGGTCTGGAAATGAAAGTTCTTGTGCAGGTCGTGCTCCTTGGCCACAGTGCCAAAGTACTTCTTGAGCTCCTTCTGCTGCGGGTAGAACGTCGACCAGTCGCCCTTGGTGGCGAAGGAGTAGGAGTAGACGGGCGCGGGCACGTCACATGCGCAACCGGGATACGTGTTGTTGGTCCAGGTCCCCGAAGGATCGGGCCCGCGCTCGAGGATCTTGATGTCGTGGATGTTCAACTTGCGCTTCAGCTGGCAGGCCATGGCAATGCCAGAGATGCCGGCGCCGACGATGATCACATCGTGAAATTCCGGGGTGAGCTGTGGCTGCTCGCAGGGTGGGAGTGTGTCGGGCATCGTGGGTGATCTTTCCTGATGATGCTAGGGATGGTGGATGTCAATCGAGAAGAGCAGATGAGGCAAGCACTTTATGGCCATGCCCAAAAGCGGGGTAAGCAGCGTGTTGCATGCACAGCTGCGCGCAAAAAGCGCCGTCTGACAGCGGGTCTCCACCCGAAACGGAAAGGTGTCCACCGCGCCCCTTTTCACAAGCTGGAAAAGCTGGTTCGATTTCCACTTTCCAATGCCGCTCATTGTTCCCTTCGCTCGGCTACGGCCATATCGACACCGAATTGCGCCCTCCTCACAGGACGATTCAGTGCACTGATATCCTGCTAGAACTTTTCAAACCTTCATGAGCAATGCCGAGCCATGGATCGAAAGGACAGTGTTGCAACAAGGAGAATAAAGCTGGATCACAGATACATAGGAAATGTTCAGTTTACGGGACGTGCCGAGGCCCTGCTATCTAGTAAGCCAAGGCCAAAAGGAAGGACGCAAGAGGAGAAGGAAGCACAAAGGAGCAAGGAAGTCTTCGGCAAGCCAGTCTAGTTGTGCGAGGTGAGCGACCACTGGCTGAGAGGAACCGACTTGGGCGTGGTCGTGTCAGCCGTCGAGAGCGAGTCCCACTGAGGCTGCCACCAGACCTGGACAGTCTGCGAACCAGACTGGGTTCCGCCGAGGTCGATCTGGAGTGCCGTGACGCCAACGTTGACCTGATCCGAGTCCTCGCCGGGTGGCGACACGGTAGCGGTGCCGAAGATGCGCTGAGCGGGAGGGCCATCCGAAGTGAAGACGGCGTTGGAAGGGCTCAAGATGGTCACCTTCATCGTCTTGGTGCCACCGAGACCCACCTTGTAGTTGATGGCAGCGTTGGGGTCCGTGAGCTGACTCTGAGTCAGCGTGGCGGTCTTGCCGTCCGACGAGATCGAAACGGTGCCGTTGGTCTGAACACGCCACTTGACGTCGGTGATGGAGCTCGATTGGCCGATCTCGTCCTGCACGAGCACCTGTCGTCGGCCGTTGAGCATGCGGATACCGCGCTGCACGGTGCCCGAAGCCTGGTTGTAGCAGCCGCTCATGTCCGTGATGAACTGGGCAGCATCGGTGGTGGCGGGCTTGAAGGTGAGGTCGCCGGTCTGTGCAACGTTGGTCGAGGCGAACGAGTTGGTGGGCTGGCAAAGCACATTCTGGTTCTCGTTGTTGATGGTGAGCGTGTTCTGACCGTCGGTGGCCTTGCGGTAGTAAGTCCATCGGTCCGAGCCCTGGGTCTCGTTGGAGAAGTAGCCCTCGGAGAGGTAGTTGCCGTTACCGTACTCGCCGGCCCAGCGGGTTCCTAGCGCATCGATGACAAAGTCACCAGCATCCAAATCACCGTGCGTCTGGTGGCCCGTGAGGTTGGAAGCCTTGATACCGACAAAGACAGCGCTGGGATCGGTCCACGAGCTGCGCATGCTGGCCCACGAGCCACGGACGTCGTCAAAGTAGCGGTCGAGAGGAAGGCCGTTCCAGTAGGCACCCTTGGCAGTAGGCTCGTACCAGAACATGCTGAGCGGGTCGAACGAGGCGTCGGCTCGGTCACGCTGGTAAAGCGCGGGGATAGGATCGCCCGAAAGCTTCGAGTAGAGCATGAGCTGGTTCGAGGTGGTGGCGAACTTGTTGGGACCGTTGTCACCGTAGGCAAAGAGACCACCGGGACCCGAGACGTACATGTGGAAGTACGAAGTCTTGTCCCAGTTGGCGTTCTCGGCCATGAGACCCTGGTCGGTACCGGTAGCCGAGATGAGGGCGGCAAGCGCGCGACCCTGAGCGTTGGTGCCGAAGTACCAGTAGTTGGGGGTCTCGGTCCAGGTGCCGTCATTGTAGACACCGGTCATGCAGTTGGCCTTCATGTTGGTGAGTGCCGAGTTGATGATGCTGTCGGCCGTCTGGGTGTCGTTAGCACTGCCGTCACCACGGATGGCGAGCGCACCGGTGAGCATACCGCCGTTGCAGACGCAGTTCCAGTTGCCGTCTCCGTTGGCGGTCTCCTTCCACCATCCGTTGCCGGTGGCGTACTGGTCGAGGCCGGGGTAGAGACCGTATTGGAGAATGGCGTTGCGAATCGTGGTCCTCTCGGTGGTGTTCCAGTCGTCGTAGAGCCAGTCGTAGGCCATGGCGAAAGCCGAGGTCATCTCGGCCACATCGAGGAAGTGGGCAGCGTTCCAGCGAGTTCCGTTCTGGCCAAAGTTGTTGGGACCGTTGCCAGCCGCGTTGTTGAGCTCGCGGTAGAGACGGGTCTTGAACATGGTGTTGTTGGAGAGCTTGTAAGCATAAGCCCACGCCTTGACACGCTGCTGAATGTCTCGGCTGACATCGAGGATACCGGAACCGGAGAAACCACCGTCAGCAACGTAAGCGACCAGAGGCTGGTTGGCCCAATTGGTGGCGTTGTTGAAGATAGTAGCGTTCCAGACGGTGAGGTAGGCATCGTTGGCAATCTTGTTCGGAAGACAGTCCCACTGAGCCTGGGTGGACATGATACGAGGGTGGTCACGCAGGTTGGTGAGACTGCCGCCGGAGAACGAGTCGGAGCAGGACTGGTTGTGCGAGACACCGTTGTAAGCGGGAGCCGAAGTGTCGACGTTGTCCGAGACGAAGGAGGGGTTGCCGTAAGGAGTGGTGCCCTGGTAGAAGAGCATGTTGTTGCCACCGTTCTTGGCGGCCTGCTGGGCGGCGGTGAGGGCAGCGCCCTGAACGTTGGGCGTGGAACCGCTGCCGGTACCGCCGCTGCCACCGCTGCTGCCACCGGACGAATTGTTGTTGTTCTTGGATGCGCGAGAGCCAAAGATGCCACCAAGAACACCACCTGCGATGAGTAGGATCAAGAGGGGGACACCGATCAAGATCCATTTGGAGATCTTGCGCTTGGGCTTGGCGTACGAGTAGGTAGCGGCGTTTTTCTGAGCAGCATTTTGCCTTGTCATGTATGCACCACCGGCACCAGCACCGGCACCAGCACCAGCGCCGTAAGCACCAGCGGCCTGGCTGTTGTAGAGGCCCTCGGAGGACTCCTTGTAGGAGTGCTGGTAGCCGGAGTTGTGGTCAGGGTAGTCACGGTAGCCAGCGCCCGACTGGCCGCCGTAGCCCTGCTGCTGGTAAGGCTGTTGGTATTGATCATCGTACTGCGATGCGTTGGAGTGCATGTACGTGTCCTGTGGGCGTGCGTACGACATGATGGGCGGAGCTTCCTCTTACGACGTTCGATTCCTGAAGTAGAAAAGGAGGCAAGAACGAGCTTGAGGGTGAGCAAGTGGAATGAAGAAAGCGATGTTTGCGCTGTACGAGTCTACCTTATGACACAAGGAATGAACGAGCGAACAAGGTTGCTAGGGGTGAGGTTGATGAAGGGATGGTGATGGTGATGGTGGTGATGATGGCGAGAACGGCAAGACGGAGGACAGTCGAGGATAGCTGCGCCAAGCAGGGTCGACAGATGAGTGAGCCAGAGCCACACGCAGGAAGCAGAGCAAACCAAGCCAAGCAAGCAAGCAAGCCATCACCCAACGCACCTCTGACAGCAGCCTTCCGCAGCACAGTCCCCGAGGGCAAAAAAGGGGGCAGCACACACTCCTCACATGCGCCTCGGCCTGCCCAAATCTTAAGAAAATTAATAACTTGGAAAAATTTGGAGCCGAGCGCGATGCTGTGCAAGGTCGAACTGCGACTCGAGATGACCTTGTGCCGAGCGCAGATCATCAAGGTTGACCTGCATGCCCCGCTGGGACACAAGGCCATGATCAGCCTTCTTCAAGCCATTCTCAAGCCAATGCAAGACCGGCAGAGAAGCAGAGCCAGCATGCATCCTACCAGACCTCCCTCGGCGTGGCGGTTGGATAGAATCAGCTGCTTCGGCCTTCGGGGCGGAGGTGATTTTTTAGCTCGCGGCCCTGCAGATGATGACAAGAACAACACAGCGCCAGCGCCAGCACAGGAGGGGTTCCAAGAGAAATTGTGAAAATTACGCGAGTCCGATGGCTTCGTGCAGACGGCAAGCAAAGCTGCAAATCTTGGCAGCCAGCAGCCGACCCCGGCGCGCCGGCAGAACGAACGGCTTGTATGATCTTCCAAAATGGAAGCATGCTTGCCGTCGATCCTCATCAAGTGGGTCCAAAACACACGTGTGATTGCCGTGCGTTTAGGATAGGATGCTGCACCGATGACACTAGCCGCCGAGCTGCTCCTTGGTGCTGTCTAACCATCACCAGGGCGGGGCATGCTCAAAGGTCGTAGCCAAGAACAACGGCAACTCTGGCCTTTTTAGACGCGCAATCCACGGACTTCCACCGTCTCATGCTCGCTTTCAAGAAAATCGATTCTTCTTGATCAGGGTCTCAAGGGTGCACCTTGACCGCCCGTGTGACACTGAATTTTGCAAACAGAGTCGCACGGACAATCAGACATGCGGCCGCTGACCCACGTCATGCTGCGGTAGTCGTGCCGCGTCGCCAGCTGAGATGGCAAAGATCATCCAGCAGAGAATCTCTTACCTTCCTGAGAAGGGCAGCGACCGCACTGCGGAGAATCGGCATCTGCAACGGCTTGTACGTCGTACGAATTTGCGACTTTCTGCGAATCAAGGGGCATTACAGTAGTCGGAAATGCAATCATTCCCCTATGCCGCTGGCACCGGAAGGCAAGAAGACACACACATGGTATGCCGGGTCATCAATCCTTCTTGATCTATCAAAGACTGCACGGATACATCTACGCCTTGAGCTTCCGTGTGACACTCAGTCGTGCATACGCAAACAGTGCCGCGCTGACGATCAGGATACTCCCGCCGAACCAGCTCATGCTTCTATAGTCTTCCCTCCTCACCGGCTGTCCCCCTGTGCTATCAGCGAGGAGTCTTCCTGCGATGGGATTCCCGCCGAGTGCGCCGAGGGAGGCGACCGTGCAGATGACGGCGATGTACGTCGGCAGCGCCTTGAGCTTTTCCAGCCCCTCCCCTGGGACGTTGAGCACAAGCGCCGGCGTCTGGAGCGAGATCGAGGGGCCGTAGAAGAGGCCGTAGAAGGACACCCAGGTACAGAGGCCGGCCATAGAGGTGATGCTCGACCAGGCAAAGACGAGGACGGCAGAAATGAGCGTGGTTAGCACAAGAGTGTTGGAGTGGCCCACACGATCGGATGCCCAGCCGAAGAAGAAGCGCCCCACCACTGTGCTTCCACTCAGCACCGAGGTGAGGTAGAAGGCTGCGCTAGGCGATGCTCCCAGAGTACGTGCAAGCGGAGCGACATAGAAGTTCGGGATGTAGATCCCGGCGAGGTTGAGAGCACAAGCGAGACAGTACAGAGCAACCGGTATGCTCTTGAACGCCTGCGCGAAGGGATAGGGGCCGACCTTGATGCCTTGATTTTTGGTCCGAGGCACGTTTGGCCTGACCAAGAGCACCGCTGGCACCAGACACGCCAACTGTATCAACCCAATCGCCCTCTGCGTCCACGCATACGACACACGATCATGATTGACCATGCGGTTGAACACGACTGGCCATACGACCCCTCCAATCGAACTCCCTCCCAGCGCCACTGACACCACCACCCCTCTATACTTCGCAAAGTGCTGGTTCGGCAGTGATACGGTCGGCAGATATGCGATCCCGATGCCCAGCCCCGTACATATACCATGGGATAGCAGCACCTGGTAGTAGCTATGCGCAAGGCTCGACATCATCGTACCGAAAACGACAAAGAAGGATCCAACCGCGAGCGTCGTTTGAGGACCAAGCACGTCGATCAGGATGGCCGCCGGGATGGAGAGGAGGTAGCCAGCGCTCAGCATGATGCTTCCAATCCAGCTGATGTTGTCCGGCGATTCGGCGGGGAAGATCGATTCGTAGTAGGCTTGATAGGGGCCGTAAGCGGCGATGTAGCCTTGGGAGGCGAAGAGGGCCAGGAAGCAGCCGGCTGCTGTGCCCCATGCTCCGAAGCCGCGATCTAGTACCAGCAGCGGTGATGCGACGACATCAGCGGTAGCATTGGAAGCTGCCGATGTGTTGTCGATGGTATCAATCGCAGTGTCCGGTGGTGATCGTGTGCTCTTCTCCGAGCTGGGACTCTCCTCGCTATGTTGCTGTGCGACGCCCACATCTGTCGATGGGCGTGTACGTGACATGGCGGCGGCGGCGGCGGGACGGCCGGTAGACGGATCCCAATGTTATGCCTGGAGTGTGTCCATGGTCGCAGAACGTGTAAAGGTGGCCGTTGAAGAAAGTGTTGTAGTGTGTCAGAGACCTCCCTCGATTCATGTGCGCGGGGTGAGTAGCGTTCAAATTGTGCGGAGGTGACACCGCCGGCTTTGTCTTCGGCGAAAAACGCGGGGACTTTGGCCCAGCAATCACAACTCGCAGGTTTTGGCACGACTTCTCTCAGTGTCTCTCTCACACCTTCGTCCACAGTCACTTTGCGCTTCTTGATCACATTTTTGCATTGGTAGACAGATTGATACGACAAGGCCGCGATAATCACCGGCGCCCGGAAGTACCACGCATCGATCCCGAAAGCATGCTCGGATCGACCGATGCTGGCATCACATGATCCTCCGGAACCGGCGATCGAATGAACGGGCTTGGACTGGACGACCCCCTACTCAGATGACTCGAACCAAAGTCCATGCCCGACTTGCCCTCCGACGCGAGCGCAAAGCTGTCGCCAAACGGATCCGGGCCCACCAGTCCGCTCGCCGCCATGACCGAAAAGCTATCATCGTCCCCCGAGCTCTGCGGGATGACCAACGCGTTGCTGCCGTGCATCGACGCCTGCGCCTCGTCCTCCTTGCGCGCCTCCTCCTCCTTCGACTTGTCTTCTTCCGCCTCGATGATCGGCGGCGGCGCCACCTCGGGCACCACCAGTCGGCCCGCCTTCCATCGCGCTCCGCACGCGTTGCACAGCTGCGAAGGGCCCTTGGGTCCACGTCGCCACATGGGCGTCTTGGTCTTGCCGCACGCTCCACAGCTCTTGATCGAGCCGTCCGGGTTATGCGTCGCGACGTGGCGCTTGCGCTTGGGTGGCTTGGCCGGCTCGGCCCCTGGCTCCGTCTTGACACCGTCGGGTCCGATGACCGCGAGTCCAATACCCTCGTACGAGAAGCTCACGTCGTCTTCGCGCGCACCCGCTTTGCGCTTCACCATGGGTCGACCCTCGATGCACTGAGGACGCACGGCAAAGCGGTCCTGCAGATGATCCTCCAGTCCTTGCGGCAAGTGGATCGGAGCAACGCGCGGCAGAATGAAGCGACGATCTGGAACTTGGCTGTACAGATCGACAAAGGCTTCCGTTGTCTCCTTCTGGATTTTGATCTCCTCCATGGGCAGGTCGAGCAGGTGGTATCGAATCTCGGGCACCAGGAACTCGGCCACGTCCGGCTCAAGCTCGATCTCGGGCTCGCGCTTGACGGGCTGGCACGTCATGGTGCCCGGCACGCGACCGAACGCCTCCCAGAGACTCTCGGTGACGCCGCCCTTGATGCTCCAGGTGAGCGGATAGACTTCGTGCTTCTTGCTTTGCGGATGATCGAAGGACATGGCGTCCGGCACTTCCTGCTTGACCGCTTTGCTACCCTTCTTGCTGCCAGTGGTGGATCCGGCCTTCTTCTTCTTGGCGTGCGTGTCGGCCTTGTCGTTGTCGCCAGTGGCAGATGCGGGAGTTCCGGCCTCCGGGGATGCAGTCGACGATGACGCACCAAGGGCAGCGCCGTCGCTCGGTGAAGCCGTGGAGCTAGCATTCACAGCGTTGAGTTTGGCCTCTTCGGCTGCTTTGCGTTTCAGCTCCTCCTCCAATTCGCGAAGTCCACTGCCGTCGGCAGCATCCGAGCCAAGCGAAGGAGCAAAGAAGCTCAGCTTGAGCTCCGGCTCGATCCTCTGGCTCTCCTCGTCGTCCGAGTCGTTGTCGAAAAAGCTGCGTCGCTCCTTCTTGATCTTGGGTAGCGATGGTCGCTCGAGCCCCTCGGTGCGTTCCACGAGGCACTTCCACAGCGGAAGAATGAAGCGCATGCTCGGGTTTTCCCGAAACTCGACAATGATGACGGGCGGCTTGGGTGGACCGTCAGTGGGCCAGCCGGGAGGAGGATGACGGAGCTTGCCCGAAAAGAGCGGCAAATTCGGATTCTGCTGCTGCTGACGGAGATGCTGCTGTTGATGCTGCACCTTGTGCTGCTTGTCGGTGTGTGACTTGCGCGCTTGCTGCTTGTCAGCCTGCGCCTTCGCCTTTGCTTCGGCCTTGGCCTTCTTCTTAGCTTCGCGCTCTTCAATCTTGGCCTGCTTCTTGCTCGCTTTGGCTGCCTCGTCCACCTTGGTCTTCTTCGTCTTTTTGCCTTCAGCTGTGGTAGTCGCGGCATTTGCGTTGCGAGAACCCGACGCGGCGGCATTGTTGGCGTTGGCTGCGTTGCGTGCCTCATCCTGTCGGAGCTGAGCCGTGATGGCCTGAATCCAGACGCCAAGCGCTTTGAGCTGGTTGGGATTGGCCTTGCCCGAGGCTGCGATGTGGAGAAGCTCCTGTAGTTCCGGATTGAGCGCTGCAGTGGCATTGACGCGCGAGACCAGCACAGCGTCGATCGCTGGCGGAGGTGGGACGCCTGTCGGGCGGGCCGGCGGTTGTGGGGCGGCTGCATTCGCAGGGGCAGCTGGCTTCCCATCTGTCGATGCGCCAGCAGCGGTCGGCGCTGCAGATGTCGCCGAGGGAGCTGCAGTGGGTGCCGGCGTCGCGTTCGAGGGCGTCGACGGCGCCGTGGAAGCAGGCGTGCTGTCTGGCTTGGCTATGGATGCCGCGGCTGGCAAAGGCAGCTTGGGCGGCGCGGCTGTAGTTCCCGTCGACGAAGTGGAAGCGTTGACACCGGCTGCGTTGTTGTGCTGGTTGATGCTGGGTGGTCTTGGCAGGGACGGAGTAGTCATCGGCGGTCTTGGCAAGGAGACGGGCGCGGCGATGGGCTTGGGGGTCGGAGCGACCGCGGTCGATGCCTGGCTCGTCGTAGCTGACTTAGCTTCGATACTCCCGGAGGTGGCAGCAACGGCAGGAGCGGCTGGCTTGGCCACATTGGTCGCTGCGCTGGCTGAGACCGGAGCTGGCGCGGATGCAGCGCTGACTGGAGCTGGCTTGACCACGGGTGACGAAGCTGGTGCCGACGTCGTTGCCACTGTCGGCACAGGTGCGGTGGACGCTGACGCTGACATCGTTGGGGTCACTGCAGGCGAGGCTGCCGGCTTCGGCGTGACTGAAGGCCTAGTTGCAGCAGAAGTCTGACTCGGGATGGCGGGCAACGTCGGCAGTGTGGTTGGCGGCGCCGGGACAACAGGCTTGACAGCAGCCTGACTGGCGGTCGACGCTGTGACTGGTGTTGGACGCACCGCAGACAGTTGCACCGCTGGCAACTTCGGCTGTGGCAAGCTGGGAAGAGGCGCAGCACGCGGCGAGGGCAGCTTGGGAGGCTGAGGCTGGGGCAAATGCTTTGGCAGCGACTGCGGTATTGGCATGCGCGGATAAGCCGATGGACCTGCATACGAGCCTGGCGCACGGATACCGCCGACAGGACTCATGGAAGGCGGCATCTCGTAATCGGGTCGGACCTCCCAGAACTTGGTCTTGAGAAAGACGTGCGGCCCGACGTGGATGTCGGCGCGACCGAGCTGGATGAGAATGTGTGGGTCTCGCGGATTGAGGCCGTGGAGGAGGCTGAGAGGCAGTACATTCGGATAGATCATGCCCGATTTGACGCGCTGGCTGAATGGGGTCAGCAGCGACGAGAGATGCGAGAGACGCGATTGGCGCAGCGACTGAAGCAGAACGAGGCTCTCTTCGATGGTAGCGGGTTCCCTTTTGCGTCTGCGAGCCTCTCTGCGGCTTTCCTCTGCTTCGCTGTCGAGGTCCGAGTCGTCCGACATGACCGAATAGTCGTCGCTGTCGCTTCCCGTGTCGAGCGAAGAGGTTTCCGAAGCTCCCATGGCCATGGCCGCCTGCACGCTCGTATTGTCCAGCATGGGCATGTCGGGGCGAAGATCGGCGAAGGGCAACTGGAAAGGCAGAACCAGCTCGGGCATCGGTTTGCGACCCCCGCCGGCTGCTGGAAGGAGGGTGGGCATGGTCGAGTCCGGTGCCGCGCCAATGGTGCCGCCTGCGGTGCTTGATGCTGGACGATAGACAAACTCATCCTGCGGGCCAGCCTGGTTCGCTTTTCGCTTCTGCTTTGTCTTGGTGAGGCCAGGCGCCTTGCTAGCTTTGGGCTTGGCAGGCTTTTTGGAAGAGCCATCGTTGCCAGCTGTGCCAGTGGATGCGCCTGTCACGTTGGCTTGCGCTGGAGTTGCTGGAGTTGACGAGGCGGCTGTTATCGACTCGCCAGCTTGAGCTGCTTTCTGCTTGTTGGCAGCAGCAGCAGCAGCGGCTGCATGAAGACTGACCGCACTCGCAGGAGGCGGCGGCCGTGCTGGAGGTTGAGGGGGCGCTGCGATCGTTGGAGGCTTTGCCAGGACGGGAGTGGCTACCTTGGAGCTCGGTGCGGAGTCGGCATCTTTGGGAGCTGTCGATTGCGGTGTCGTCTGTGAGTCTTGTGGTGAATGCTGCTTAATCTGCTGTTGCTGTGTTGAGGACTGCGAGCTCTGCTGCGTCGTTTTGGTAGGTAGTGGTGGTGTAGGCGTGCGAGGCACCGGTGGATTGGCAGAAGGGTCGAGTCCGGCCGCAGCAGGGCCAGGACGAGCCTGGATGCTATCTGAGCTAGCCTCCGCTGACCCGATGCTCATGGTCGTGCTGAGCTTGCGTTGCTCAGCCGTTTGTATCCTACCGATGAAGTGTGATTATTGTAAGATGGGCAGCATGCAGAGAGCAGGCGAGGACCGATGTCAAAGGAAAGATGTGGCCATGCTATGCGCGCTCGTTGGGCGAAACGAATGCAGTTGAGGCGAAGCCGAGTCTCGTTACGATTCTTGAAGAGTAGTGCGCATCTCGAGAGCAGACGATCCTGGCATGAGTGGAAGCGAAGCGAGAAAGAAGGAAGTCAAGACAATGTCGGCCCAATCATCTGCTATACGATGTTGATGCAGAAGATCCGAAGGGCGACGCCTGCTGAAGGATGAAGTGAAAGGAAGGCGACGAATATGCTGTCCAGAATGGACGGGGCCGGTCGATGAGGTTGGTCGAAGACGATGGTGAACAGCTTTGAAGCAAAGGTTGCGAAGAAACCAAAGGCCGTGCTTGGGTCCGTTGCGAGCCGGAGAGCGCAGAAGTGTGAGTGCCAAGGCGCCGGAGCGTGATGTCCAGCAGAGCGAGCAAAAGCAAAGATGACGAAGAAACACACGCACACGCACACGCCTTCACAAATGAAATCGGATAAGGCCCAGCGCGGGCCAGCAGCGAGCAAGGCGTGGGGATTTTAGAAGAAAATCAAGAAAAGCTTCAAAACAGTCATCAGAGGAGAAGAAAAGCGAGCTAACCCTCTGCGAGAGGGCATTCACGTTGCGCTGTTGCTGCTACAGCTCGCTGTCTTTCTTTTGTCCCGCTCTGTGCTAGACCCGAGGCCAAGAAGATGCTCTAGAGGATGCTCGCATCGGTCAAGTGAGTCAACGTCTGATTGCGACCTGGAACATTGGCGATGCTCGGTCTCGCGCTTCCGACAAATGGCGCTCAATTCGACCGTCTGCGTCCACTCTCTTGCGACATGAAATGCGCAGAGCTCTGTTGTTGGCGCAGCGCAGCGCCGTGAGCGACTGAAGCCCGCCATTCAGTATCGAGAGGTGCGTGGTAGACCCAGCTCATGGGAGGGCCAGGGTCCTTTGGGGCCATATCTGTCTCGCTTGGCGGACACTCGCTACCAGCACTCTTCACTCTGCCTCCTTTTGCCGGTGAACCGTCGCGTCTCTTCGAAAAAGTCCCTATCGGTGATCCCTTGAGCCGGCCATCAGAGCATGCAGGAAATCGGCTGCTGCAGGGGACGCCCTTTCTTCTCAAAGTGCAACCGTGCGCGCCAATTCTCCCTCCTGCTCCTGACAACCTCGGCTTTCTCCATCCGGTGGTACCGACGTGCTGAAAGGAGGGACATGCACACTCATTCAAATCAGCTCGCAGCTGTTGTCGTGTTGCCTTAACTTAACGTGAGCTCCAGAATCGTTTCGGAAGGGCGCTGTGGCCTTCGGACGATCCGCAAAGCAAAAGCATTATGACGATGTGGGTTCGACGCGGATCCTTGGGCCGGAAGGGCCGAAGCTGTGTCGATTCCCCGCTTTGCATGTCCACTCTTGGTGTCTGATGCTCGTTCCCATCATCAGTGCCAGAGGGTGGTGATGCGCTCTCTTGCCGGGCTTCACTCGTGCAGGTCCTGCGTTGTCAGTGCGGGGCTCTGCCGACAAATCTGCACGTCGATCGGCCCTGTCCCTCGAGCGTGACACTTCTCAGCGTCGTGAAGCCTCTTTCGACCTCTGTTCCTCTGGCGAGGCTGATAGCGAGTGCTGTAGATCATCGCATTTTGAGATGAACACCCACCAGAATGGCTCTGCTGGCACACTCGAGCCTGTCTCTTGAAGCAAGGGCCCACGGCGGTCGGACCGATGCCTTTCCGTCGTGCCACGGAAAAGCCGGGCAGAAAAGGCAGCTCGAAAAATGAGGTCGGAAAAAGGCGGAGGACTCTGTGAGAATCGCCGATCCGGCCGAATCTCTCGCCCCGATGCTACAGGGTCCACCTCGAGAAATTTGGTGAGTGCGTGCATGCAGCTTTCTTCTTGCTCCTCCCCTTGCCAATCAAGACTTCCACTCCCATTGCTCGCTCGCCGCCCACAGTCAAACCGGATCAGCTGGCGTATCCGCGGTCGAACGGAGCCCAAAGATGGTGTCGCAGTGGACAGATCCTTCACTTTGCTTATAAGCAGCTGTCATGGCGGGCCCTCTTATACCGCTGCCAACGATGGTGAGGGCTTCCTCTCACTTGGCTCGACGCCTCCAGTCCGCGGCATCTACTCGCATAAGCTCCCGCAGTGCGTCATCTTCAAGCACAATCCAGCATTTCACCGACATCATACGTGACGACCGAGAGACAAACGAAGCGGACCGTGAAGCTGGTACACCTCCCCGCCAACGCCCGAAAGATGCCACCTTCTCGCGCTTCTTCGATAAGCGTATGCCAGCTCCGACCGCCTCGATAGACACACCGTCTAGGAGACCGAAAGCTTCCCACGAGATCGTCGCTGCATCTCGCCATGCTCTCCAGATCTTCCGCGACGCAATTGACGCCCGTAACCCAGACCAAATTCTCCGTGCATACGCGTTCCTCGTCCAAGCACACCGAAAGCATGCCCAAGACGTTCAGGCCAACTCGTCCAAGACCGTTGAAGCCTCCGATATAAGCTTTCCCGCTCGCAAAGGCGATATCCAGACCGCCATCAGACACCTCATCCAGCACGCACAGGGCGAGAGACACATGAAGCATCATCTCGTCGACGCATGTCACGGGATGTTCCAGGACATGAGCCAGCTTTTTGGGTTTCGCGTCGGTCCCACAGATCTACATCGACAGCTGCAAACCTATTGCCTGGCCAAGAGCCCGCTCTACGACCCAGTTCAGGGCTTCGAGCGACTACGTGCAGGCCACCCCGAATGGCAAACCACCTCCGTCGACTGGAGCATGATCATCTCGTATCTGGCCCGGCGTGAACAATACGACCGGGCGGTCACGGTCTGGAATGACATGCTCGAGTACGGAGTGCGTCCGGAGACATCGCTGCGCAGTACAATGGTCCAAGTTTATCTTGCCGCCGAGAAACCCGCCGAGGCTATCGTGCAAGTACAAGAACTAGCAAGGGAAGAGCCGAAGCTCGGTATCGATACCCTCACCACAACCGTCGAAGGCCTCTGTAGGCTTGCTGAAAACAGGAAGCTGGACAACAATTTGACGAACGAGCTAGACACCCTTTCCAGCCATCTGCGGAAAGCGCTAGATTCCAGTCGTCAAGCTGGCACGGATTCATCGGCATGGCAAGCATTGCTGCACTGCGAAGCGATCGTCAACGGTCCCGCACATGCGCTGCAGACCGCCAAGAAAGCGTGCAAGCCGGGCCTGCTCGGTAGCAGCGCCGTATGCATGCTGCTGCGTCTGCATGTGGACGAGCTGAACGATCTCCAGAGCAGCGACGAAGCGCTCGAGCTGCTTGATCGAGTTCAAACCGCAGCCGACCCGAAACGCACAATCAAAGTCGACGACAATGCGTACAGCACCTTGATGCTCGGGCTGTTGAACAAATCAGAGGCTCAGGGTGACACGCATCTGCTGTCCAGCGATGACGGCAACGGGGGAACGCTCGAGCAACTGCGAGCTCCACCCTCTCCAAACCAGATCCATGAGGCGCAAAACCTCTACAACCATGTTCGCGCACTCGGCGTCGCCGCCACCCCTCTGCTGGTTAAGCCGCTGCTCACGGCCTACTGCGACGCATTTCTGCCATCCTTGCCATCAGCTATGAAGCTCGTGCGGGACATGTTGGACCATCGCTCATCTTCGACCTCTGTGAGCCGCCGAAGCAAAGACGCACGAGCATCCACGATCGAGATGACGACGATGCAGCCCGTCCTAGACGCCTGTATCAAGCTCAAAGACCTCTCCAGCGCACGCGATCTGCTCTCTCGGCTTTACGACGCCAAGATCCCCATTCACGCCAAGGACAAAGCGCACCTCATCCGTCGGCTCATCACCATCGCCACGTCCTGGCCGGAAGCATTCACCATCTATCGCTCCCTGATGCGCTTTCCCTCACCCACGGGCGCCCGTGGTCTGGACTTCCACGGCTACCACTCTGTCCTCTCCACTTTCACGACCCTCTCCTTCCCCTCTTACCCCGCTGCGCCACCGGAAGACCTCCTCTCCATCCTCGTCGACATGCGCTCCACCACCACCCCTCCCACGTGCAGCACCTACACCCTCCTCCTCGACTACTACGCCAAGCTCGCCATCCCCTCCTATCTGGGTGTGCATCTGACGCACGAGCACCTCAAGCGCGACACATCGCTCGAACCCGATCTGCCGCTGATCAACGCGCTGATGAACGCATACAACTGGGTGGGGGAGCCGGCGATGGTGGTTGCCATCTGGGATAATTTGCTTGCAACGCGGCAGGGGGTGGATGGGGTGACGCTGAGTGTGGTGTTCGATACGGCGGGGAGGCATGGGTTGTTGAGTCTGGCGAGGAGGGCGGTAAGGGATGGGAAAGGGGTGATGAGCAAGGGCGCGTGGGATTCGTGGTTGGAGTGCTTGGCGAGGTGTGGGAGGTTGGAGGAGGCGGTGGAGGTGGCGTTTGGCGAGATGAGGAGGACGTTGTTGCGAGAGGCGATGGAGAAGGGCACTCTCCCGGATCAGGATGGAGGGCTGACGGTGAATGAGCTGCTGATGAGGTCGAGTCAGGCAGCGGTGAGGGATAGGCAGGGACAGGTGGTGGGACCGGACGCAAAGACGCTCAGCACACTGCTCAAGTTCGCTGCTCGCGAGAGGGATCGGAGGAAACGACAAGCAGGGATGCCGCTGCTCACAGGACCAACGACAGCAGCATCGACCGCGAGGTCAAAAGGCACCTCGATCTGGCACACTTTGCGTGCGAGGATCCGCGAAGACTTCAGCTGGCTCTATCCTCAGGTCAAGCACATTGGCGAGGACACACCCGTCTAGACTCCCGCGCCATTTCTGTACACTGTTGTATTTCGCTGTGATCCGATACTACAGCTTCTTGTCAAAGTGACTGCCTCTCGCCTCGAGTGCCTGTTTGATGTCTTCTGGGATGTCGCACTTTTTGAGCTTGGTGTAGTCGTACGTCACACAGTCCTGGGCTGAGACAGCGACGATGGTCTTCTGTGCCAACGAGTAGGCTGCGCCTCGTAGCATGAACCTGTCCTTGCCGAGGGGAAGCTCGCATGCTTGACCGACCAAGATCTGTCATCGATTGCCAGCACACAAACCGAACGGGTCAGCACGGGTTGTCTCTCTCTTCGACCGTCGGGAAGGTGTCTACTCACTGTATCGGGATATACAACGGGTCGTCTGTATCTCACATTGATCCCAGCCAAGATGAAGCTCTTTCCGGTTCCCCTCTCGATCTCCTGTCTCCTCGCTTCGGGGAACTCCTTGGCGAGGGTGGAGGCGAAGAACATGCGAGCGCTCTCGAACCATCGGACGAAATGGACGTTGTTGACGTGCTGAAACTGGTCGTGATCGCCCCAGACTACGCGCTGCTCCCATACGGTTGAGGCGTCGTACCCGGCTGCGCTCAGGGCTGCGATGCCCGCTTGAACGTCCGAAGGTGTGAAGATTTGCGAAGAGGCCGGTCGGTCATCCTGGGCGTTCTTGAGCGCGGAGGCGGTGGTGAAGCATCGTGCTGTCGAGTGGACGCTGGACGGTGCGATACGTCGTGCGCCAAGCCCCACAGTGCGCGCCAGAGACGTCGAAGCCATCATCGCAACGAAGGTTAAGAGAGTGGACAAGACGAAGGTGATGTTGAGAAGAAAGATGGGCTCACGCAAAGAAATGATAGCCGAATTAGCCGGCAACACCAACACACGTCCCCCGCACGGGGCAAATACGTTTTGCCGCCCCGCTACGTCGAGAGCCCCTTTCCCCAACCTCATCACATCGAGTCAGACTCACGCTTCGATCTCAGACCAGGCATATCGCCCGCACCGCTGACACGCAACACAGCTGCTAGAATAAGCACAAAACGACTGTGTGTATTGACAATCAGAACAAGACATGAAAGAAGGGAAAACCCGTGTCGAAAGGTCCCCATAGGCCTCGAGTGGACTGGATGGAAGCAACGCAAGTGCTCCTTTGACGCAGACCATGAGTGAAGTGGCAGGATAATGCTGGGCAGGAGGGGAAAAATGCAATGGAGAGATGGGTGACGGCGGATGTAGCTTTTGAAAGGGATAGGGTGGGAGAGACGAGAGATCGTTGGCTGGTCCACGTCGTTGCGCGTTGATTCCTGGCTAGGCTGAAGTGGACAGGCCCGGAGGTCACGGATTGTGCAGATGCGGAGGGTATAGGCCAGACCTCGTCTCAGTGTGGACGATAGAGGGATTCGACGCGGGGACAGCAGCCGCTGCCATTCGCGCCATCGCTCAAGCCCAGATGAGAAGGCGCGAGTCCCAACTGCCCGTGCACAGCGCCATACCATCGGCGCTGACACCCAGACACGACACACGGTTCTCGTGCGCAGCGAGCACACCCACGCGCTCGCCCTTGAGCGTGTCCCAGACGTTGCACGTGTAGTCATCGTAGCCGGCAAAGAGGATACGGCCTGATACGGAGAAGCCGACCGAGGTGATGCCGCAGAGGATGTTGTCGTGGGTGTAGGTGTTGAGCTCACGGTCGGCTCGAAGGTCAAAGAGACGGCACGAAGCGTCGTCGGAGCCAGTGGCGAAGGCATCACCGTTGGGGAAGAACTGGACGGCGTTGATGTCGCTCTCGTGGCCGGCAAAGGTCTGCACTGCCTTGCCACTTCGGATATCCCAGACCTTGGCAACGGCATCGCAAGCACCCGAGACAAAGACGTTGGGGCTGGAGCTGAGCGAGATGCTCATGACATCACCAGTGTGGTCGTTGAACTCGGTGATGCGTGTACCCGAGTCAATGTCCCAGAGGATACAGCTCATGTCTCCGGACGAAGTGAGGATCTGCTGGTCATTGAGGAAACGACAGCAACTGAGGTATCCGGTATGCGCCGAGAGCTCCCTGCCGACCTTGATGTTGTTGGGGTCACGGCCACGAAGCGAATAGATACTGCAGATGTTGTCAAGACCACCGCAGGCGACCGAATTGCCCGAAGGAGCGTACGCGCAGGTCATGACCCAGGACGAACGGAGCGGGATGGCGTGAACCTTGTTGGTAGTGTAGGCGTCCCAGACGATGAGCTTTCCGTCCTGAGAAGCCGAGACGAGGTGACGCTTGTCGTTGCCCCAGTGCATGGCGTAAATTTTGGCGAGGTGGCCCTTGAGCGTCCGTCGTGGCTTCATGACGATCCTTGGCAGAGGCTCGATATCGTTAGCCATGGCGCGAAGGCTGGTGTCGGCCATCTGATCCTTCTTGGCGCGGATCTTCTCCTTGAGGCCATCGGCCTCGCGACGAGCGGCGGCGATGCGCTCTTGCAAGTCAGCTCCTGGTGCCGACATGGTGAGGTTGGTATTCGGAGGATGGAACCGGAAGGCTAGGGTTGGAGGCTGAGGTGCAAGGCTGTTCTAAACTTGAAGAGTGGATCGATCAATAGTGAGCCAATGAGGTGCCCGTGACAGTTTGATGCTAGTGGGATGGGTGCGGACGCTAGATCGAGACTCCCAAGGAAGGCAGGCAGTAGCTAAGCGTGGTGTCTAGCTGGGAAGACGAAGTCGTGACAAGGGGGTTCGATGAGGTCGGAAAGGATGCTGAGGGTGCTAGCAGCCTCTTTGGGATTCCGCGGATCGATGAGAGATGAGGGTCCGATTGGCCAGACTACGATGATGGGCGGATGGAGGAGGGACGCGGACCGCCCGTGATGTTGTCGAGGGACGAGAAAGTGGGTGGATGGATGGTAGGATGTCAGATCTGACCAAGACGAAGGTGAGAGGAGGAGGATGAAAGGGAGTGAGGTGTCGACTAGGATGGATCAGAGCTTGATGTGTGTCGAATGAATGGAAAAGCGCAATGGCAGAGAGAGACGGAAGCTGAGCAGCATGTGCTTGCCAGACGCGGTCAAAGCGAGGCCGAGATGAGAAAGGGGTCAGACAGCTTTGAATAATAAATTGAGCGAAGATCAGGTTAAACAGGCAGAGAGGCAGCAGAACACGCTTTAACCAAGGCCTGGTTCAAGCGCCGCCACGTTCAACGCCAACGCTCAGCCCTGTCAACCAGTCAGCAGCAGTCAAGACGCAAAGGAAACACTCGCGAGGGCCCCAGCGTCGAATTTCTCTTTAGAATAGGCAAGCACTGGGCAGCACGCAACTCAAATTTGGCGCAAAAGAGCAAAAAAGGGTTCGTCTCGACTCGACTCGACTCATGTCGCGGCGCTTGTCACAAGTTTGGCTTGGCTGCGCTGCGCTGCGCATCCACTCTCAGCCTGCCAAACGAGTTGGATGAGACTCGACCACACAGCCTTTTTTAGACTTTAGAAAATCGAAATTCTGTTTCCAAAGCAAGACGCAGGGCAGCCAGGCGCTTGCGACGACCGTCTCAGCGTGAGCTAGCCAGCCGGGCCCCAGCCCCCGTCTACACCCAAGCCAGAGGCCAGAGAGAGGGCCAGATGATCTGCGGTCAGCCCAGACAGCCAGCCCTGGGGTTTCGGCGTTTGCATTTGACATCAGCCATCCTTGCTGCGCTGCCCCACACCTTCTCCTGGGACTCGCCTCTCCTCAAGACGTCGGCTGAGCGAATAGGGTTTACCGTCAGAGGCAAAAGCGACTACAGATTCGTGTACCATTGGCAATTGTCCTTCTTTTTGATCATCTCGTGGGACTCTGTGACAGCGCGTGTGACGGCGCGAGACCGTGCTTGGCGTGAGAAAGAAAGGGGGCCGAGCGGGATGCTGTGACGGCTGCGATGGTCATCCTGGCGGCTCGCATCCGGGTGACCCCACCTTGTCGAATCTTCCGATCCATCTGATGGTCTAACATCTTGTAGCGCGGCCCACCCTCCACAGTCATAGTCACGTCTGGCTGGTGCGCAGCCCACCTCTCCCACTTGCAGTCGGTGCGTGAAATTCTCAAAGCTGGAATCCAAAGAAGCTCGAGACCATCACCTCTCTCTCTCTCTTTCTCTCTCTCTCTCTCTCCCCATCACACGACTTCAACCATCCGTCACACGGCTGCCTTCTGATCAGGAGAATATATGTGGGTCCTTTCTCAGAGCCACCATTCTCGCTCAGCTCGACATGTCCTCATCAAGTTAAGTTTCCAAGACAAGCTCATCCGGCAGCCCTGCTCCTAGGACTACAAGTAGCATCGCCAGAACCAGTCTCACCAACACACTACCCGGAGTGCTGCAGTCATGGCTCCGTCCCATGGACCGTATGGTCAATCACCAAACGCCCAACAGCGCCCAATCTACCTACCTGCCTCAGCCGCCAACGATCACCACGACCGAACACTATCCACACCCACGCGACCTTCGAGACCTTCCTCCGCCCTGCACAGCACATCCCGCAACAGTGCGGCGGCTTCCATGCTCCCCGCTCACAGTACCAGGATGGACGTCAGCGCATCTGGCTCCAGAGCACCTCGGCTGTCCCACGGCTCTCCTTCCGCCTATGAGCGCTTTGATGAAGTCGCTTGGATCGTCGACCTGAGCTCCCGCATTGGCGATGCGCTGGTCTCTCCAGCGCACACCTCTGTCAAGCCTTCCGATGTTGCATCCTCCTCCTCGCCGCACACACCACATGGACTCGTTCGCTCACAGAATCGCGTACGTCTGCCCCGACCCAGCAAAGAGTTCCGCGAATTACAGCAGCGCGTGCAGCTGAGCCGTGGCTCGGAGCCTTCTCTGGCGGCTGCCGACACCAGCATCAGCTCAGCCGCATCTCTCCGCTCCGACGCCCCCGACGCTTCCGCCATACAGTGGGCACTGCAGGCTCAGCAAGATTTTGATCGCCGCCGCGCTGAGCTGCAACGTTCACGACGAGGCGTCTTGAAGCATCTCGAAGACGGTCAGGAGGATCGGGACGAGGACGGCGATGAACTGCAAGCGGAAGCCGCATCAGAATCAGCTGTAGATCCAGCAGTCCAACGCAGCATGCTCGCTGCTCGCTCGCTCCAAGAACTGATCAATGTTGGCGGATTCCAGGCAGAGGACGACGATACCGCAGAGGCTGGATTGGCAAGTCTGCTCGACAGCGCCGAGGCACTGCCAGGAGGAGCTGCTGAGCTCGGTCCGTCCTCTCTCTTCGAGTCGAATCGAGCATCAGATGGCTCACTCGACATCGAGTCCATTCTGCAACAACGCGCAAGAATGGCCGCCGTCGACGATCAAGCTCAAGCCAGCACATCACGACCCACCTCAAGCATGCTCGATCTCTCACAGGCTCCTTCTCATCCAGTCAAACGACCCGTCATCGAGATGCTTGACCCTGAGACTTCTCCCGGAATGAGCCAAACTACGCGGCCAACCGACAGAGAGGCATCTGCATCCGGCGAATCCAGCCCGTCTTCATTGGACTCTCAGGGAGTGACCAGCGACCACCAACAGGAGCTCGTTCAGGCTTCACAGCAAAGATCTGTGCCACATCCGATGGATCAGATCGCAATCGTCGATGGAGTCTTCCAAATCATTCCAGCGCAATCGCATGCGTCTTTCGACCCGCGACAAAGTCCTGCCCCAGCTCTTCACGATGCCGAGGTGAGCGACGTTGAAGCTGCATCGGATGACGAAGACGAGGACGCAGTCGGGCACAGCCAAGAAGAGGAGAGGGATGATGCGTCGGAAGAGGATGGCTCCGACGAGGACGAGGACGAAGATTCGGAGGAAGAGGAGGACGACGAGGACGAGGACGAAGAGATGGATGACAGCGCGGAGCGGGGCCGTGCAGCCCCTTCCGCATCGCGACAGTATCACGACGGCTTCGGAGGCGTAAGCACTCGAGATCTGCTGTCCGAAGGTCCTGCTGGTGATGCCGACGAGCCCATCGTCTTGTCCGACTCGGAGGACGAGCCAGAAGACGACGATCCAGCCGGAAGCCAAGGCAAAAGCGAAGAAGACGACGAACAAGTCTCCGAAGAAGACGACCCAGATGAGCTCGCTCAAGACTCGGAAGACGAATCCGAAGACGACTCTCAGAGGTCAGCTGAAGCCGAGCAAGGTGACATAACTGTCCCGACGCACTACCAGAGCCCGTCGCTGGCGCAACAGACCCTTCGCGAGCAGGGTGATCAGGACGAAGACATGGCGGAAGACAACAGCGCGGAGCAGGCAGTCGGCATGGAAGCTCAACGGCCTGATACCTCCCACCCCGATGTCGACATAAACACCGTCGCGGACTTCAAATCGGACCGTCCCGGCGAGCTGATTCAGAATTCAATCTCGCCAGCGGCTGTCTCCGCCCTTGCTTCCGGCCTGCCAAACGGCTTTACGAGCGGAACCATCACTCAGCTGCCTGCTGATCTCGAAGGCGACGGTGTGCCCGACAGCGAGGTGGAGCCCGAAGAGCTGGACGACGATCTGCGCTGGTCTGACATCGAGGCTGACCAGGGCGATGACGACGAACCAACCGATGCTGAGAGTCTTGACCGGCTAGCATCCGCGGACGCTGCCTACCGCTCGATTCAAGGCTCACAGACCATGCCCGGCTTTGTTTCCGCCGCCCACATCTTGGCCGATATTCAAGCTACAAACGCTGAGGCCAAGATCGAGGACCCAGCAGCGGCGAACGACCTCCCGAGACACGATGAGGGTCCCATTGATCCGCAGTTGCTTGCCGACCTTGACGTCGAGGCAATCGCAGGTACGACCTCCACCGCCGACGATGCTGAGAGCGCAATTCAGGTCGAAGTGCAGGGCAACTCGGACAGCCAGACAGAGGCCGACATTTTTGACGCCTTTACTCGCCAGGACGCAGCATCAGAGCTTCGCGAGCCTCTCGACGAAGGCCAGAAGGACGGCGAGGATACGGCGACGGCGAGTGTCGACGCGGATCAGGAGAGGGACGTCGATGCACCGGGAGAGGCTGAATCGATCGCGCCGGTAATTGCCTTCCAGCCTGTCGAGGTCGCCCAACATGATGCCTCGGTCGCCGCTGGTGACGGAGAGGAGATCTCTCAGCCGGCAAGGGACGGCGATCAACCGACGGATATGATCAGCGAAGAACGAGAACAGCCGGATATGTCTCTCGACGCGCCGGTCCAAGACGAAGTCGGAGAAGTTCCGGACGGTCAGGCGATCGACAAGGTGGACGGTGCCTTTGTCTCAAATGACGAGGCCGTCGCGGCTGTCGAGACCCAACAGGTCTCCAATGCTTCTCCCCCTCATCCAGCACAAGAAGAGGACAGAGCCTCCACGGACCTAGAAGAGCCCGCCCAAAAGCCGGTCCTCATGCGCATCGAGAGCACAGATGTGCAGGAGGCGGACATAGAAGACAATGGCGAAGAAGAGGCAGCTCCCGAAGAGGCCATCATCCAGATTCCTAGCGCCTCCTCGCTCGCTGCCATCGCGGCGAAGGCTGACTCGGAGTCTGAGGCGGACGTGGCCGAAGCCGGCAAGATCGTAACGAGCGTGACCGTCGCGGACGACGACACGAACGGGCCCGCGCCCCCCGTCGACAACGAAGCTGCTAGCGGTGAAACCGAAGCCGTCCATGTATCAATCCCGCTCGAGGTCCTTGTCCAGGCGCAGGAGGAGGAAGCCATTCTCAGCGGCGATCTTGCCGATCGAGACAGCAGCATCGAGCGACAAGCGGTGCCTGCGGCAGTCGAGTCTCCCGTCGCCGATCAAGACGACGAGGCGCGAGTGCAGAGCGACCAGGATCTCGCTGGAGAGCCTGTCGAGGCGGATGCTGAGTTGCTGACAGAGGCAGCGACCGAGACAGAGGAACGCGCGCCACCATCTACTCTGGACGAGGTTGTTGCAACAGTGACAGGTCAGGAGAGCGTGGATGAGGGTTCCCAGCTTGCCGACAATCACGCACGCGACGAAGTTCCCAGCGGCGAGTCGCCAACAAGCATTGCCACTGCGGCGCCGACCGTCCCTGAAATCGAGGTGGAAAGGAAGGACGCCGAGGAGACGCCCGCCGCCGTCCACCCTATGCATTTGTCCCCAGTCCGGGTCCCGCCGTCGCCGGCTTCCTCAGATCGCCGATCGACCTCCAGCTTCACGCCCTCAGCCAATCGTCAAGGCAATCGTCACTTACACGGCACTGCCAAGCGCAGCTTCTTTGCGCAGGTCACCGAAGTCGCATCTGGGTTTGCCAGCAACCTGACTGCGCCTCTTCGTGCCATCCCATCTTTGCTTCCCATTAGCGAGAAGCGGTCGGAGGAGACTCGCGAGAGCAACGAAAACGCAGACGACGCGGCGCCCGTAGAGAACGTGGCTCAAGACGATGTTCCAACCGAGAGCCAACGACAGACGACCCGCTCGCGCAAACCTGCAGAGGCTTCCAAGTTCACCATGAACACGCGCTCTCACTGCATCTGCCGGAAATTGCAGCTGACCAAGGTAGAGGGCGCTCCGGTCTTCATCGTTCCAGGCTGCTCCATCGACTACCAAAAAGCGCAAGCCGAAGCCGCCACAGACCTCGGTCCTACAGACGAAAGCTTGGCTGAAGAATGGCTCACCGTCGATCCGGACTTCCTTCCCATGGACGTGCACCACATGCTCAGCCGCGTCATTGGTCTCCAGTTTCTCAACGAAGGCATTTGCGTTGAGCCGGGCTCCTCGGCGGCCGAGATGGTGTTTGCTGGATGGGATCTCGACGAAGATCTCGTCTCGTCTCGTGATGAGATTCAAAAGCGCGATCCGGACATGGAGCCTGATCTTGTAGCTGACGAGCAGGCTCCAACGGACGCTTTGAAGCAAAAGGCGCTTGCACACCAGACGGAGGATGACGCTGACGATGCAGATCCGACGCAGACAGATGGTGCTGCCACAGTGGAGGCCGAAACTCTCGACGATGATATGCAAAGCCAGGAGCCCGAGACACCTTCGCGAGCCATGAGGCGAAGTGCGCGTCACCGACGAAACAGCAGCGTCGCATCGACGTCGTCACCTCATCGGGCACCTCACCACCCAGACGCGAATAGCCCCAATGCCGACTATCTTCCTGACGACGAGAGGCGTCGTCTGCTCAAGGATAGGCACCCAGCAACGCCGGCGCGTGGCGATGTTTCCATTGCATCGCTCGAGGAGCAATTCCAAGCCGACGAAGACACGGAGGACGTCAAGGCAGATGGTCCTGATTTCACGAGTGGGGCCGAGCAGGAGCTTTCGTCGCCCAGGGCAAAGGGGAAACGCAACCGAGGCCGAAAGAGCCAAGCCACGACCAAACAATTCGCACAAGACGAGCGAGGGATGGAGCCAGGTGATGCTGAGCTGCCTTTGGAGGGACCCAAAGCCAAGAAAGCTCGCGGCCGTACATCAGCCGCTCCTGGAAACGTTGCGGCTGACGAAGCTCCTGTCGACGATCCCAAGGACGTCGAAGAAGCTGCGATGGTTGAAGATGCCCTCGAGCGCGCGGTTCCTCCACCGAAAAGGCCTCGCCGTGGCCGAAAGACGCAAGAAGCGGCCGATGCAAACGGGCAGAAGCAGGAGACGAAGACCGGCGGAGAAGAGGAGTCAGACAAGCCACAGAACGGGTCGAGGAGCACGCGTTCCGTCAAGGCTAACGAGGAACAGGCGTCGCAGGAGACCGACAGCAAGCCCGAAGACGAAGCTGGATCGGAGGCAAAGCAGCCGCAGAAGGGACGACAGAGCGGCAAAGGAGGGAGAAAGCGCAAGCAGTCTGTTGATCAGGAGGAGCCCGATACCGCCACAGAGGCAGCGACACCTGTCGGGAAGGTGGCCAAGGCCGACGATGCAGACAGTGTCAAGGCGCAGCCACGCCGTAGTCGTCGGTCGCAGGGAGGCGCGTCTGCGCAGAGCCCGAGCCCTAGCAAGGCGAGCCCGGGCAAGGCCTCGAAGCGCAAGAACATCCTGAAGCTCAGCTGAACGCTGGCGTCAGATCTCAGGGACACAGAAGTCTTCCAACCATATGCACTCAATGCACCTTCACATGCGCTTCTTTGTCGAAATGCGAGCACGAAAGGCGGTTGCTCACCACGCCTTGCTTGAATTTTCTCCTCGAGGTCCGTGCAGTGAAAGCTCGGTCGCCATGAGTAGCTGGAGAGCATGCGAGCGTTCCGGACCTCGGACGACCTTGTAAGCCAAGCAAACGGCTAAACATCGTTCCTGGCCGTGTTTTCCGGGCGAGATCGCTTGGTTTCGAGAAGCTCGTGTCTCTGTGACTACAAGTTTTACGCCGTGCGACGATGTGACGATCGGAGAGGAGCGGAGCCGGCAGCTTTGGATGGTCTGTTTCCACTTGGCGTTCTTGAAGACAAGAAGCTACAATCTCCTTCTCTATGAGCACGATGGCACGCGACGCCAATGGCTACCATCTTGTCACATCCTTGCCTCGTGCCCCGCACTCGACTAGTGTCGTGCCCCTGACACTCTTGTTCTTCCGCCTTCTCTCTGCGTGTGATTGCTCGAAGAAACTACGCTTGGCAACTCGTCACTTTGGCTTTCGCGGCCAGAGCCGCTAGACTTGAAGGCGTAATAGGACGGCGGATCACAGCGTCATCGCTCTTGAAAAGGAGCCGGCAAAACTTCGAAGCTTGGCACACAGCGAGAATGCTTTTGGCTCTTCAAAACGACGGAGAGGATGGGCGTTTTTCTGTTTACAGCGCGTCGCCCTCCTCTACGATTTCGACGACGTGGGCGGATCAAAGCTGGCGAGGCTGAGCATGATATAAATGGATCGAACTTGACACATCTTTGCCTCGCGAGGAACGGACTTCTCAGGCTCCGATCGATCGAAACAGCGGGTCCGCATCCTCATCACCGACAGTGCCTTCAGGCCTGAGCGGCCAACCAGTTGGACTCCACTAGCAGATCATCGTCGGATACCCTTCACCTCTTCCTGCTCGCTATGGAAGGGGATGTGGGACCATGGCCAGACGGCCTTGACCGTACGGCAAGCGCTTCGCAGGGCGATCCAAAGTCAACACCAGCCAAGCGACCCGCGACCTCGATGGAGACAGACCTTGCAGCGTTTTCTACCCTGCCCATCGGCTCCACTCTGGACTTCACGCAGGCTCTTCAAGCCTTTGACAGCGCCAACGGAGCCCTTTGGACACCTCTGGCGGACGACCGTGCAAAGAGCCCACTTGCGTCCGACAGCGAACATTGTGCCCAAGCTGTTGACTGCGAAGGGCCGCAGCATGTGGCATACACAGGACTGCCTAGCGAATGCTTCAGATGCCCTGATCCCGACAAGGACGACACTGACTTGATCCAGACCAAAGTGACAGATCGTGGTCAGCTCACGGAGGGGAAGCGAACTCGCAGTCTTCCGAACGTCATCTTCCCCCTCGGCATGAACCTATCTGCTGGTGCTGCCACGCAATTCGACGACGGTCTCCGCCATGCCCGTTCCTGTGATGCTCTGCCTGGGGGCTCTATGCCCTTTTGCTCTTTCTCAACATACGATGGCCAGCTAGGTCCAGCCAGGCCTGCTGCAGAGCCACTGAGAAACAGTGTAGAAGTGGATACTCCGGAGGCCTATCGATTTGGGTCGAGTACGAGTCGAGTGGCAGCAGGGATCGACCGACAGACAGTCAGGCACGACGTTATCACATCGAGAGTCGAGGTGCTGAATCTCGCCACCGTTCCAACCTCTGCGCCAAATCTCGCAAAGCGGGACCTATGCTTGATTGACGCTGACATCCTTGGAGCCGCTGCGACCCAGCAAGAGAAGCTAGGTACGACCTTCTCTGGCCACTACGGTATGACCAACATGAATCACACAACACAGCTTGACGTCAGCTCGCGCGATGAGCTCATTGGATGCCAAACTTCTGCTGGCATCGAACACAATCCGATGTGGGGCTCGGCAACCTATCACGCGCAGTCTAGTTTCGAGAGCGACACCGCAGGAGCTTACATGGGTGGCAGCAGCGGGCAAGGAAGTTTCATGGCGACTTCGAGTACAAGTGACGCTGATTCGAGCCAATGGCAGCAACACTCGGCCTGGCCAACCACAAGCCCTTGGCAGCACCAGAACGGCGAGCCATCACCGCAGGACGGCCTCGTGGAAGCCAAATTCAGGAACGCCAGCGGCTACGAGACCACCACCAGCGGAACACAGCGCGCAGAATTGTTCGAGTCAAGCCTCGGCCGATACGACGGTGTCATCCGCCCTCGAGAAGGAACAGCTACACCAGCAGTGACGTATCCCTATACAGTCTCTTCCAGCAGGGTCACCAGCGGAAGCCCAGGAGTGGGTCGCATGGAAGAAGGATGCATCGGATCGAAAAAGCGCGTCTGGTTTCGAGCACCGAACGGACAATTTGCCTCTGCGACGAGAGTGACCTCCGAGGTCTTGGCGGCAAACAGTCCCGGCCAAGCAGGACAGTCGGGCTCCGGGACCAGCTCGAGCATCCGACGCATCCGCAGGCGACGAAAGTCGGAAGAAGTTGATCGCAAGTACCGCTGCGACTACGAACGTTGCGACAAGGCGTACGGCACACTCAATCGTGGGTACCATCCACGCTTGCACGCGTGGCGATAATCAAGCGTAGTCCTTTTCTTCCTCGTACTGACCAGCCTTTGCCTTCACTGCTCCTCTTCCTGACGCCGCATCCTGGATACACTTCTCTTTGTGGGCGATGCACCAGATCTCAACACACACCGCGCTACCAACGGCCACGGTCCGCGACTCAATGCAGTGGGTGAGTGGGTGGCATGTTTTCTTTTGGCAGGACTTGGATTGACACGCTGACGCGACTCTCCCTGGTCTATGCCCCGTTGTCCGCTCAGGCTATCGACGGGCTTTCGCTGAGTGGCAGAGTAAGCAGCAAGGAGACCAGCAAAGCTAGGCAAGCCGGGCTCCGTACGCAAGGCGGGTTGCATTCACAGAAGGGCTGATCACGATCAGAGGCCCGCGGAGGAGGACGACGGAGCTAAGCCAAGCCAAGGTGCGGCGATGCATGGAAGGATCTAGGCGGAGTGACAGGAGGAGTGACAGACAGGATATGGAACGCGAGGCACGATAGGCCCATATGGCAGCTGGATGCAACGACAATTCGAAATGATGGCTCTTGTTCATATTCGATGCCTGATCTGTTTGTGGCCTTTGAAGCGCTTCACGGGCCGGATCATGACCGAAGACCGGTAAGAAGTTTTGCCTAAGTCCGAACTGGAAGAACCTTGAGGCGCAGAGAACTCTAAAATTTCTCGAAATTTGGGCTTTGAAGAGCACGCAAACTAACAGCGTCATGTCACACTGAGCAAAGTATAGCCGAGGCACGAGCCTCCACCAAGAATAGCCGCAAAGAAAGAAACGACGACGACCTTCCTCATCCTTCATTGACTGATCCGGCTGAGTGAGGCAACAACTATATAGTACCGGTTTATCTTTGCCGTGCTAGCCACCAATTCTCATCCATCACAACGATCCGCACCAAGTACATCGCACCGCGACAATCAGTTGCATCAAGCACACCACTACTTCATTCTCACATCAAATTACACCGTCTATCTCGGTCCCATCCTCGAAATGTCGCTCCCGTCCTCGCACAAGGCCGCTGTGGTACCCGAAGCCGGTGCTCAGCACCAGGTGACCGACCGTTCGCTCGCCCCCCTCGCTGCTGACGAGATTGCCGTCAAGGTGACCGCCACGGCCATCAACCCGGTCGACTGGAAGATCCGCGACTACAAGATCTTCATCACCGAGTACCCTGCCGTTCTCGGCTCTGATGCTGCCGGTGAAGTCGTTGCGGTCGGCTCCTCTATCACCAGCCACAAGCTTGGCGAGCGCGTCTTCTTCCAAGGCATCCTGGGCAAGTACGACTCGAGTACATTCCAGCAGTACGTCAAGATCCCCGCTGCCCTTGCGGCCAAGACGCCCAAGAAGGTCTCGGACGAGCAGGCGGCCACCTTCTGGGTCGCCGGCATGGCCGTTGCCACGGGTCTCTACCACAACACGGGTCTCGGCCTCCCTGCTCCCTGGGACAAGAACGGTGACGCCGTCGGTAAGGGCAAGACCGCCATCATCCTCGGTGGATCTTCCAGTGTTGGTCAGTACGCCATTCAGTTCGCAAAACTCTCGGGCTTCGACCACATCCTCACCAGCTCCAGCCCAAGTCACTTTGACTACCTCAAAACTCTCGGTGCCACCATCGTCCTCGATCGCTCCAAGGCGACCTCTGCCAAGGACTTCACCGACGCCCTCCCCTCGGGTACGAGCGCAGAATGGGTCTACGACTCCATTTCTTCCGCTTCAACCCAACTCCTCGCCGTCCAAATCCTGCAGTCTCTTAACGGCGGAAAAGTCATCACAGTCATGCAACCCGACGCAGAAGCCACCAAACAAGCCGCCAAGGACGACGAAAAGGACGTGGCGGTCACCAACATCTTGGGTCTCGGCAGCCACCCTAGCTACCGGTACGTGTCGGAACCCCTCGCTGCCCATGTCGGCGGCGAAGCTGGGTATGTCGCCGAGGGAAAGGTGCACTTGAACAGGCCGCAGGTGGTGGCAGGTGGTTTGGGAGCTGTGGAGGAGGCGCTCAGGTTGAACAAGGAGGGCGTATCTGGGGTCAAGGTCGTCATTAGGCCTAACGAGGCGTAATTCGGAAGGTGTGCTGATCAATGCATGCTATTGTACGATTTGGATGTGTGAGTGGGTTGTCAGAATGTGTGTGTGTGAGGTTCATCTCAAGCGCTGAGAGTGTGGTTAGGGGATCATCGTTTGCCCTGTGTATGCCGTGGAGTGGGCGTCCAACCTCGATCCCCGATCCTCCTTTCCCGACTTGTGCTAGTGCGGTTCGACATGGGGCTCGCCACGCCCTGACCAGCCAGCGGTGTGCCGCCTCTCGTGCTTCGATCCAACAGCGCCTTACCCGCAGGCGTCAGCCCTCCCTTTCGAGATTTCGGACTGGCAAATCCTCGCGCCCTCAACCCCGTCAATCCACCATACTTCGCCTGGCCATAGGGCGTCATCCCCCCCTTTGGCGTCGCAGTCAATCCCTGCGCGACCCTCTCCCTCTTGCTGTACTGCGGCAGCTCAAATCCGCCCGATGTCTCCGCACGTCGAGCCTTGATCGCATTGTATACGCGCAGCTCGTCCTCACCGCGGCCGTGCTGCGGGGTGGAGTAAGGCGTGACGAACCCGTATCCGTTCACTTTGGGTGTTTGCTCTGAAGTCGAGAGGGAGCCCGCTCGACCACGTGCGATGGCCGCATCGACACGCGTGCTGCTCGGTGACCAGGAGGGATCGCTTTCGTCGACTTCGCTCGCTGTAGGTGCAGAGTCGTCGAAGCGGAGCGCCGCGAAGTTCGTACGCGGTTTCGGATCGGGTAAGGTGGCAAGGGGAGGGGCACGGAGATGGTCTTCGTTGGCATCTGCGTCGTAGAGGAGCGCATTTCGAGCTGTGTATTTCCTTCGATTGAGGCCGGTCGCTGGTGGACGAGGGTCAGAGCGCGGTTCGGGGACCAGGACGAGATCGTCCATCGGGTCCTTCCCGCTTTGCTTCCGCTTTCCCTTCTCCCCAACGTCGCTGCCTTCGATGAGCAGCGTCGGCATACCCTGCTGCAACAGCTTCGGATGGTCCGGATTGGCTTCGATCGCAAGCTGCTTTCCCTTCAACGCTTCCTGCTGCTCCGTAGCGACGATCCGCTTGCGGTTCTCGGCAGACGCTTTCTCGCGTGCGAACAGGTGGGCGTGCTTGCGTTTACGCTCTTGTTTGTCCCGATCGAGCAGCTGGGCGAAGCTCGCGTTGTCTTCCGACGTGTACTGCGCCTGGAAAGACGCGAGGGAGAGGTCGAGGTTCGGAGTGATGCCTGAGGGCGGTTCTGCCGTGTCTTCGTCGTCGACATCGACCGGTCCGGGAGTGGAGAGAGCCGGTGTGAAGGTGGGGTTGAAGACACGCGATGAGCCCGAGGCGATGGGCGTATCATCCCACTCTCCCTTCTCGCTTCTCGCGCTTGGCGTCGCACGAGGCACATCCCTTCGACGCAATTTCCTCGGCATTCCTTCCGCCTTCCCACCGTCGAACCTCAACAACCGGTCCAACGCATCTCGAATCCGCACTGAATCGCCATCCTCCACCGCAGCCAAATACGCATTCTCCGCCGTAATCCGATCGAGTTCCGGGAAGAAGTCACGCTTGATGATGCTCGACAGCGCCGATGTATACTCGTCCTCGGTCAGGATGGCCTGCTGGCGAAGCGACGTTTGGCCCGCCTTGAACGGGATCAGCGGTCCCAGTGTCGAGGGTGCATGGTTGTGCGAGGGATCGAGACGAGTGTCTACGGCGGCTGTTCTAGGTGTGGGCGGCTCTTTGCGTAGTGGCATCGAGGGATGCCGACCTGCGACTGGACGATGGATCAGGTCATGGAGGGTATTGTGTATGGGTGAAGAAGGATGAGAGGCTCAGCCAAGTTGTTCGAGGTGGAGTGAAGGTGGACCCTGAAGTCGTAAATCTGACATTCGAGATGGATTTTTTGGCGTCCCGCCCGCCCTTCGAGGTGCGCTCGCTTCATTTGCGGACATGCTGGGCTGTTTTGAGGTCATGCAGTCTCACGTTGCTCTCACCGCTCTTTGGTGACTTCTTCCGAGAACAAGGATGATCGCGAAAGCGCTCCAGAGTGTTGGTGCCAGGGATGGTGCGGAGGACGCAGCGACATTGTCGTGCGAGAAAGGTGGTGATTGCAAATGACGCCATCTCGTTAAGCCGCCTCGTTAAGAACCTTGTCGAGGGGTCAGGTGGCCTGCAGGTGAACCTAAAGCTGTCTTGGCCAATTAGAGAAAATGTGAGGCAGCAGAGCGGTCACAGTGGCGAACCAGATTTCGTCAATTTTCTGAGGATTTCTTTTGGGGCAGCAGGTCGCGGGCCATTTTGACTCAGAACTCCACGCCGCACAACGAAGCAGCAGCTCACTAAGGGTCCCCCTCTAAGCAAAGACCGTTGAAAGTCGGGGAGAGAGAGCCGACGAGGCGTCAACGACGATTTTGGCCGTATCAAGTCTATCATCGCCGCTACCTCACTTCCACATCCATCATCTCATACCACTCGATCCCACTCCATCGTCACTCGGCTTCACCTTCGACACTAGCATCCATCGAGCTTCGGACCTTTCAGCCCGTTGCGACCCCATCATAGCCAAGCTGTTCGCCCATCTCTCATGACAATGACCACCAATAATCTCAATCAACCCAGTCGATTCCCCGTCAGCTCCCTCGGCGCAGGTGCTGGCTCCGATGGGGTCCCTCACTCGCGCAACTCCATCGCTGCTGCTGGAAACACTGCTGCTGGCTACCCTCGTGGCCAGCAGCAGTCTACCACGTTGAGCACCGTGGTCAAGTGGTGGTCCTGACGTCCTCAAAGCAGAAATGCCTGGATCCACTCCTTCTACCTTGCAGAATCCAGGTCGAAGTGCACCTGTGAGAGGGGTCGCTTCGCAGCAAGCCTCATCGTCATCATCCCGCCACGACATGGCAACCGCATCATCACCTCGTCGATCGACCACGTTCGTCTCGAATCATCCTTCAACTTGGGACAGGCCTTACAGCAGCGGTGTACCAGCACCAGCTGTGGCTGTTCCCATCTTCCGTGCTGCTCATGCCACCAATGTCTCCGTCAGACATACCAACGCAGCGCATCTTCCCGACTCTCCTCCCGATACCCCGCCGCATTCGCCCGGCCTGCATCCCGTCCGCCTCCCTACTTTCATCGAAGCACGATCCATCTCGCAGCCGCAGCGAGTGTCACCAACGAGGCCCTCTGACATCTACCAGCGACCGTCAAACAGCTGGAGTCGCTCATCCGCTAGTCAGCAACGCGACGCAGACGACTCGATCGACGCCATCTACACTGGCCAAACACCTTGCGACAGCGAACTGGAAAGCGACGCCGAATCCGACGACTCGGACGCCTCCCAAGCCACGATTGACCAGCTCACCCAGGCAGCACAGTCGCTACTTCTTCACGCCGAAGCGAATCGCACCAAGTCACAGCATCCATATGCTCAGGAATCCGGTGTCTCCGCACATCGAAACGGTCTCAACATCGAGCTCATGCCCGCTACGCCCGAGATCAGTCCCGACAACGACGTTCGCCATCACGCAAAGAAGTCCGCCCACGCCTTCCTTCACCGTGTCTTCGCCGACGTTCCTCGCAACCTTGCCGTCGAGGACGCTGGCGTTGAACTCGTCAGTCCTGGCTGGAGTGGCGCCGTCATCAAGTCTGGACCTGCCGGTCCTGTCCAAGCTTCCACCTCGTTCTCCTCCACCAGCAGCAGCGACAGCTCGGCCGACACGCAGCGCACGCTTTACGTCAGCATGCCACCCGTCGTCGATGCTACGCTGCTCCGGGAGCAAGTGCTCGCTGTACTCGATGCTGCTAGCGAGAAGCTCGGCTGCGACTCCGTCATGGTCTGCCTCAACAAGGCCATGCGCGACTTTGCGTCTGTTCTGCATGGGCTCTGCTATGTCGGTGGTGCACTCGTTGCCGCTGCGAAAGGCGCGGAGCAGTTGGGCTGTGATAAGGTGCCCGACACGGATCCTAGTTCGGGCTTGCAGCTCAAGTCAGATCTTGTGCTCGTCGCTATCGAGTTGTAGGTCGATGCGTCTTCCCTCTTCTCGGCGAGCAGCGGGCCACCCGGCGCCGCTGCATCTCTCTTCCCATTCCAATTCCACGTCTTTTCCCGTTGGATCGAATCAATTCTGTCATTGTATCGTCTCTCTTCATTCAGTCAAATTGGTCTCATGTCATCTCTTCACACTCGGTCTGACTTTCTGTTTGCGACTGTCTTTAAGTGTGGATCGCTAGACCGCGCGCTTCTGCCAAATCTGCAGATAGCTCTCGCCCAAAAAGATCATCTGCCGATTCACCTCTTCGACCAGCAGATCCTGGATGGCGAACCACTTTTCGCGCGAGTTGTTGGTGTGCACCTGGCACTTCCAGCTGGCGTCCTGTCGGACTGTGCCTGGTACCGCGTCGTACACTACGTTGGCGACGAGGTCGTACATCTCGGGGAGACGTTTGTCGCTGCCGGGAGTGGGGAGGAGGGGTGCGTACTTGGTTACGTCCAGCCCCTTGATGGGGAAATTGACCAGCGTGGGATTGCGTTCTTCCTGCCCCAGGCTGTTTTTCGTAAATCGGCGGTAGTGGATGATGAGGAACGGCGGGAGCCGACGGAGGGCGTACCGTGTGAGTGCTGTGCGGGTTGGGTGGAAGCTACGCCCATCGTACTTGGCGAGGATCTGGGAGATGGTGATCTGGGGCACGATCTCGTTGTCCGTCGACCCGAGCACCGGGGGTGGTGGCGGCAGGTCCATCGCTAGTAGGAAAAACGGCGTGTCTCGCTTGGTGATGCTGAGAGCGGGATCGAACCGTGCGTGTCCCCTATCGTCCGTCTGCCCGCTCGTCAGCATCCGCTCCCCTTCCGCAGCCACTGACGATGCTGAAGCTGCCCCTTCCTCCGGCTGTGCCAGAGCCTGCGACTCGACCTGCACAACCCCTTGAAAACACCGACTGATAACACTCTCTCCCTCGCCCCGTTTCCTCTTTCCCCTCCCACCAGTAAGGTCGAGGTGCAGACGGTTCAACAACCAACCCAAAAACTCCACCGGATCCGCCTGCTGTCCCAACCTGAACCGGTTCCCGCTAACAATCGCTACTTGCTGCAAGAACTCGTGCGGCGACACTTGCGCCTTGAACGCCCTCGGGTTCCACATTTTGCGCACCAACGCACCGAACCTCCTCACCAGCTCGCTCTGCCCTTCCTCTTGCTGGAGCAGAAAGTAGTCCCTCACCTCCGGCACGTGCGAAATTGCTTGCACCACCACATTGACATAATCGTTCCCCGCGATGTTGTTCAATCCCACAAAGCCAGGCCAGTACTGCTCTCCCGCGAGATCGAACGCCGGCCCCGCATCCACCTCCTCGATCGTCCTCCTCGTAAACGTCGGATTCAACAGATATCTCACATCCGCCAACCCCGCCTGGTTCTCCTCCGGCACCGCATAGTTGTCCGGCAGAATGTACGCCTGTCCGTTACCCAGGTGCATAAACACATGGTGCGCCTCATCGATACTGTGCAGATAGGCGTACGAGCTTCGTCCTCGACCCTGGAAGTACTTGCCGCACACCAGACACGCATAGACGTTGAGGTTGGACAGCGAGATGCTGCAGAGCTTTTCAAAGTCAAAGTCGAGCAGATGGCGATTGATCGTGTCGAGGTAGAGGGCGTGGGTTTTCTTGGCTGGAGTATGGGTAGGCAGCTTGGAGGTGGATGCTGTGGAAGAGGAGGAAGCGAGACGCGTCCAGTAGGCGGCATCTTGTACGTCTTCTTCGTCATAGGGCTGGTCCGGTGGCGGCGGTGGTGGTAGGGAGGGTGGAGGCGGTGGAACGATGTCGCTGTTCTGAGCTGACGTCTCTTCTGGCGGCGGTGGAGGGGGTGATGCTCCGGGTGAGCCTGGAAGGGGCGCAGGTGGTGGCACATCATCCTCTGGCGGAGGCGGAGGCGGCATGGCTTCCGCCACACGCTGCCGCTTCGTTGGCGGTATTGATGCACCCGACATGCTCACTGGCTGCTGGTGATGGATGGCAGGATGGCGGAGGAGCGAGAGAAGAATAGGTCAAAGTGTTGGTGTGTTGAGCGGCAAGCGCGCCATGACCGAATTCCGAGCCTCCACCTTCGTCAAATCGGGGCCGATTTTCACACTCTTGACCTGATCCCGTGGCGACATCTTGAAGGCGCTGCTGCACGTCGGTGCTGACCTGACTTTGGACGTGTGGACCCATCATCCAGCAAGTGTCCTCGAGCGCATCACCTGTGTGCTGCGAAAGGAGTCGTCTTGGTTTGAAAAGCCACTACGCTTCATTTGTTTTTTCGCCGAAGCCCTCGCAAAGCTCGTGCGAACCTCGAGCGAGCCTCGTGCGAGCCTCATTAGTGAGAGTACGAACACCAGAACAGGGAAGGGCGCGATGCAAGAATGGACATGGTCAAGCGCACTGGTATGAAGACCTTGCACACGGCACATGACTCAAATGGGCCGTGAGAGCAGCAGAGTCTCATACAGAAGAGCGTCTCCAGCGATAGACGTGGAAGAAAGCGACTGTGACAGAGTGCATCGTCATTGACAGAGCCCGAAGAGCATCGTCAACGACAAGAAAGACATGAACTGCGAAGAAGTCCAAGGAAGTTTTGTGCATGGTTATCGACAGAAGTGGAAGAGCAACGCCCTTATGAGAATGCGTTATCTCTGACATAAGCGGCAGAGCACAGACAGAGGAAGGAAGAAGTCGGATGAGTTCACCAGGACATGTAGGAGCGCAAAATCATTGCCATTGACACAAGTGGACGAGCATCATCGTTGAGTGAAGGGGAAATGTGAAAGACGTCGAAGATCGAAGAGCATCGTCTCTGCCACAAGTGGAAGAGCATTAGCTGGAGCATCAGCTGGAGGCCATCGACGATGAAAGCAGCTGCCCGCGTAGCTTCAGCAAGATCACCTACAACTCTACCCGTCGCTAGTAGAGATTGCACTCGCCCACCCGCAAGGCGCACCACAGCGGCTGCAACGGCTCAGCCCTGACCCCCCTCGCGACCAGCCTCCACCTCAACTCCAACAACCTCTCCAGCGCCTCAATAGGCTCCCTCTTCTTGCCATTGGCCACCTCGCCGCTCCACCACACCTCAGCACCCGCCGCAGCCCTGGGCCAAACCTTGACATCCAGATTCTGCGCATCAATCTGCTCGCTCCAAACAGCGCTCTCGCCTCCAACAAACCTCTCCCTCACCCCTTTGAGGCCAGGATTGACCGCTGTGGCATTAGCAATAACCACCGAGGGATCGAAAGAGTACGTCTTCTGCCACGAAACATAGGGGCACCAGTTGTTGTTGGTCGTGTTGCCCAAAAACACGGGCCCGCCGCAATCCAGATAAAAGAAGGTGTAGGGGGCGAGGACGACCTTGACATCCGGATTGTTCTCGATCGCAATCCCAGCGTTGTTGGGATCATTCCAAATGCCAACCAGCGAGCCCTTGCCCAGCGTCTTCGCGACAGTAGGGAATTTGACCGCCATCTCCTCCCACACCACGCCCTTCTTCCCAGCTGCCGTCGTGACATTGGTCACCACCGCCATAAACTTTGCGAGGTACGGCTCCATCGCTGCCTCACTAGACAGGTTCCAGCAGTGGAAGTTGGGCTCATCCCCTCCGGACGAGACATAGACCGACTTGGACAGCGAGGCCGTCTTGCGCAGCAGAGTGCTGACAAAAGTCTTGATCGGACCAGGGACCGTAAACGTGCCGACATCGGTGGTGTTGAGGGTGGTACCGTTGGAAACCAGCCTTAGCTGGCCAGACGGCGGTTCGGCTGCAACACTCTGCCAATCCGGTCGATTCGGGCATGCCATCAACTCGCCCCCACCCACCGCCTGCACACCCTCCAGCATGTGCGCAGGCATATCCGTCTCGATAATGACATTGATCCCCCTCGCCGCAGCGTAGTCGATGATATCTTTGATGTCGGCTTCGGTATACACCATCCTCACCAGCTGACCATCAACATAGGTCCAGCCATATGACCCCTTGTCCGCAAGAACGCTGAGCTCCCCCTCAAACGCAAGAGGCCAAGAGTGCGTGTCCGTCGCATGCCAATGCAGCTGGTTGAGCTTGACAAACTGCATGGTATCGATCAACTTGCGAATTGTTGGCAGATCAAACCAGTTGCGCGAGGTGTCCAACAGCAGACCGCGGTACGGATAAGCCGGTCGATCCGTAATGACGTTGGGCACATTGCGAATGAACCGCTGACTCTTTCCACCTTGGGGAGGCAGGCTGTAGATGAGCTGCAGCAGCGTCTGCAAGCCCCTCAAAGCACCTAGAGCCGTGTACGAAGTGAGTCGGATCGAAGAGCCATCCTGCGGAACGTCGATGCGGTACATTTCGGCATCCAGAAATCCGAGGTCGGCAGGCGCGCTCTTGTCCGTTCGCAAGTCGAGTGGCTTCGACGAGACCTTGTAGTCGACCTCCTTGATGGCGCGATTGGCTATGCTGCATGCGTTGCTCCACACCTCGGCCGTCTCGGTGTTGGCGGTCGCTTGGTTCTGTGTGGTGTCATCGAGCTGAACATCGTGAATCGCCTTGAGTCTGCCCTGGAAAGGCGCTTGCAGCGATCGAGCCTCGAGGGGAGCTTCAGCAATCTGCTTCTTGGCGCAAGGATTGGGCGTCGTCTCAGGCATCAGTTCGAGCACCTTGATCTGCACCCCGCTGATGAGCGGTGCGGCGTTGACAGCGGCCCGGTCCTCCTCGCCACGACCGGGAGTCAGGGGCCAAAGATCGATCGAGTTGGCTAGCTTAGTAGCTGCGACGATGGCATCGGTGAGGTCCGAGGGGACGCGCGTCTTGTCCGTGCCGTCCACGAGGTTGAACCGCAGGTCGCTCGAGACGCGAGCAAAGGATTGAGTCTTGTTTGCGCCGTAGAGCGCGGGTTGGGGCCAGATGGCGTGAGCGGAGAGTGCGGAGAGCAGACATGCTGAGACCAGCAGAGTGGTCGTGCGAGCCCACCACATTGTTTGCGAAAGAGCTGCTCAGCGCAGTACGGGGAGGAAGGAAGGGAAGGGAAGTTGGATGAAGGCGAGTAGGAGCAAATCAGGCGAAGCGAGTCGAGCCTATATACGTTCGTGAAGCGCCCCACCGTTGCGCAGACAGCGCTTTGAAACAGATGACTAGCGTGTGCGAGAAGCGTGGTGGGACCTTGCCTAAGCTCGGTGGGATGGTTGCATGCGGCGCACAATCAAGCCAGTCAAGTGGGCTGGTAGCGGGGCGGGGCCGACATGGCGGGTGCGCATGCATGAACAAAGGGGACCTGGCGTTGCTCGCTAAGTTTGCTTGATGAGACGACGTCTTCCGCTCGCACCGTAGCGCCCCTCGTGATGGTGGGACGAAGGGACGTGGGAGTATCAGGATCTCGGCCCGTCAATCAAAGGACCATGTGAATGTGACTTCTCAGATTTTAGTGCCCTTTTTTGACAGGTGTCGTGCAGATCGCGGCGCATGGACCCTGCTTTTTCGACATCTTCCACTCAACGCTCGGCCCGCTCAGGGGGCTGACCCACCAGCGCAGGAGTCCGCGTTCAACCTAAGTCAATGAATGTGCATTGCAAGCGAATGGTCACATGCACATTAACAAAGGGCAAGTGCGCAATACATGGTGGATACAGGCGAGCTGGCGGGTCGCCAGCGTCTAACTTAGTACGACTTTGGAAGTCCGAGGACGTGCTGGCCAAGGTAGTTGAGCACCATCTCACGGCTATAGTTGTGATGTCACATGATCGCACGAGGAAGAAAGAAGCAGGTCAGTACAAAACGTTGAAGGGCGACCGTGGCATCGTAACAGACTCGGAACATACCTGACTGGCGCGAGTCGTGGGACCAGACTGAAGCGCAAACGGAAAGCAAGTCGTCAAAGTGCAGTCAGCAATCTGCAGCACCATCCCGACACGACCCTCGACACGATACTCACATCTCTCTCAGCAGGCGCTCAACATGGAACTCCCTCGCGTATCCCATCCCGCCGAGCGTCATGACTGCTGTCTCGCAGGCCCTGAAGCCAGCTTCCGCCGCCATGTATTTGGCCGCGTTCGCCTGAGCACCCGCATCCGTTGCTCTATCATCGAACATCCTCGCCGCGGCATACGTGAGATGCCTCGCCGCTTCGAGCTCTGCCCAGCTCTTGGCGAGCGGATGTTGGATCGCCTGCATCGCCCCAATCGGTTTGCCGAAGACCACTCTCTCGCCAGCATACTTGACTGCCCTCTTCAGCGCGGCGTATCCCGTGCCGAGCGCTTCACCTGCGAGCAAGCATCGCTCGGCATTCATCCCATGCAGCACATACTTGAAACCCTTCCCCTCCTCCCCGATGAGACACGAGGCGGGAATCTCGAAGTCGTCAAACCACACCTCGTTAGCGTCGACCATGTTACCACCCATCTTGGCGATCTTGCGCATCTCCAGTCCGGGTCTGAGCTGCGCCTTGGCCGCATTCTTTGGTGTGTTCGGCAAGTCTCGCAAGGGCGCAAAGAATAGACTCAAGCCAGAGGACCGCGAGCCGGACTCAGGCTCCGAGGTTCGCGCAAGCAGCACCATGTGCGAAGCAACCTGCGCCGAAGAGGTCCAGATTTTGCTCCCGCTGACGACGTACTTGTCGCCCTGCTTGACCGCTTTCGTCTTGAGCTTGAGCGTCTCGGATCCCGTCGTGGGCTCCGTGATGCCAAAGCAGGATCGGATTCGACCGTCGATCATCTTGGGCAGCCAGTGAGAGTGCTGATCTGGACTGGCAAATTCGATGATGGGCATGAGCGGGTAGATGTTGGCGTGGATCGACTGCGCTCCCGCCACCGCCGCGCCCGACTCGGCGATGGTCTGGAGCATCACGGTCGCTTCGGAGATGCCCAAGCCTGCACCACCGAGAGACTCGGGCATGCAGATCCCGATCCAGCGCCCCGGCGAGAGCGCGTCGTACAGCTCATGTGGGTATTCGCCAGATTGATCCTTGTGCATCCAGAAGTTGTCGTCGAATTGGGAGCAGATCGATTGGATCGCTTGACGCACGTCGATCTGCGACTCGGTGAGGCCTTGCTCGGACATGCCTGTGAACTCTGCCGCTGGTCGACGGGCGATGCTGCTTGATGCGAAGGTCCTGCGGCTGTTCACTGTCGAGACATGCTTTGGTCTCGATGTCAAAGGGACTGCACTGCCCGTGGGGGACGTCGCAGGACCGACTTGCCGGGTGGCTTTCGAGACGGCTCGCATTGTGCAGGGAGTCGCCCTCATGAGCGCTGGCATGGATCCTGGCGCAAACATCTCGGACAAAGGCGTGAGATGTGCTGTCGTGATTGAGACCGTGATCTGTAACGGTCTCGAGGAGCTCCTTGCGATGGAGGAGCGGAAGGAACGTCTCGGCTGACATCGTCGGCAAGGGGAATCCGAAGAAACGCGGGGGATAACGCCGCTCAAAATGCCGCGCTGCACGGGTAATTACGCACGCACTCCACCGCACGCTGCTCCACCGATGTCGATTCACATCGAGAGCCATGCCTCGCCATCATCATGTTCGTTCGCACAAATCACTCATACACACCGTGATCCGAGTCCAATTCAAAGAATGAGCATTGCAAAAAACCAAAAGAATGTGATGATATCCTTCTCCCCTTCTACTTCCTGCCGAACAGACTCGGCAGCCTCATCCTGCTAAACCTCGAAGTGGCCGTGCTCAAAATACTCTTGTTCTCCGCCGGGTAGGAGCTCGATCCGCCTCCTCCGCCTCCGGCGCTCACCGACTCGCTAAACGTCGTCTTGGGCCTCTTGGGCTTGAGACTGAGCCTGTTGCCCGCGCCACCGGCCTTGCTGGGGCGCATATCGCTCTGTAGTTGACCGAGCACGTCCTCTGACTGCCACTCGGGCAGCTTCGACGCCAGCAGCTCGCAAAACAGCGGCTGGACCTTGCGAATGTGCTTGAGCGTGGGCGGCGCGAAGCCGACAGGGGGCTTGGGGTAGCGCAGTTGGCCCGCCTCCTCCTCGCCCGCCAGGTGCTGGTTGAGCGGGTCGACTTCGTCAAAGAAAGCCCAGGGAAAGTCGTACTTCTCGGTACCGCGAACGCCGTCCTCGCAAGCGCCGTCGTCGATCGTCTCGCCCGCGTCGGCCATGAGGTCGGCCATCAGCGAGTCGATGTCTGCCACCTCGCGGCGAGTCGTCTCGTCCAGCTGGACTTCCGAGACGCCACCTGGGTGGCCGGCTTCGGGCCGGCCGAGCAGGTAGTTCTTGCGAGCATCCAGCTCGTAGCGTACCTTTGTCCACTTGGCGTACCTGGCCAGCTTGTCCGCCTCGGCAATGATCTTCTTGACATCGGTATCGCTCAGACGGGCGTCCTGAAGGAGCTCCTCCAGGTTGACTTCGAGGTTGGGCGCGCGTCGATCGGCCGGGTGCTCCGGATCCGTGGTCGACAGCGCCATGTAGTCCAATCCGAGCTGGCACCAGTCCCAGAGTCGTTTCGAGATGGGAGCGCATTCGTGGAAGAGCGCATAGAGCGACTGCTCGTGGCGTGCGGCCAGTGCGATCCATCCTTCGATGCTGTTGTCGCCGCTCTTCTTCACCTCAATCATGTCGTCGATGAACTTTTGCAGATCGCCGAGTCGCTCGCTGAGGTTGGCAGCGTTAGCGATGGAACGGATGGCCGGGTAGAAGACGGTCTCGAGCGAGTCCTTGATGATGGCAGGAATCAGGCTTCCACTGGCGATCTCCACCGCCTGCTCTCGATCGCGACGCTTGAGACTCTCTCGGAGCAGCAGCTTGAGCAGCGCAAACTTGCGCGCACGCGTGCTCTCGGAGCCTTTCGCGTTCCACGTCGGCATCGGCGGACGGTCGGCCCCTGCTGGCGTCGTCTCGGGATACGCATAGTTGAGATTGCCGCGGTAGGGCGAAAGAGCAAAGCAGCGCTGCAGCTCGAGCACGTGGTTCTCGGCATCCTTGCCCAGCTTGCCGTCCGCCGAGATCAGGATGGTGGTCAGGACGTCTTCGCCGCGCTTCTTTGCCTCGCGTTGCATGTGTCGCGACTCGACTCGGTCTCCTCGGCGCACGTAGTCCTCGACCTTCTTGGTGAGCTCGGGGTCGTCGATCTCCTTGCGAAGCGGGACCACAAACTCCTTCTGGATGTACGCGGCCTCTTTGCCGATGACGTAAGAGAAGACGCGTTGGATCAGCGACTTGGCACCGCCTGGTCGAGCCAGCAACAGCGAGAGGATGCCCGAGATCATGGTCTCGGCATTGGCGTACTTGAGCAGCTGCTTGGCGCCCCAGTAGGGGGCCAGCGCATGGATGCCCTTGACCATCTTGAACAGGTCATCCGCGTTGGGCGCCGTGACAAACAAGGCGTGGAAAATGTAGGCAGCGTGGACACGAGCGAACTCGACCGAATTGCGGTACTGCGGCGGCAGGTTCTTGACGTTGGCAATGTCGAGGTACGAGATGACCTCTTCGAGACCCGTTTCGCTCTCGATGATGCTCTCCTTGAAGCCACACCAATCGCGTCGCACCTTGCTCCACTCCTTGCCGGCAGCACGCCAGTGGTCGCCGGCCTTGCCCTCAAAGAGCTGGTCGATTTCGTTCATCAAGTCGGAGTCAATACGCTCGGGACGGTCGAGACCACGCTTGACGGTGCCCTTGCCCCAGTTCTTGCCGACGCCCCACTTCTCGGTGCCGGGATCACCGACGCCAGGCCCTCGCATCTCCCCCTCGCCACGCACACCGACACCTCGAGCAACGAAGCTGCCTAGGTAGCGGGTCATGGCAAGGCCATACAGACGACGCTTGGAGATTTCGCCACGCTCGACCGAGGTCGAGAAGTTGCGCGCGGCCATCTCGTCGAAGAAAGGCTGGATGCGCTTCTGCCAGTACTTCTCCGGTGCTTGGTCCAGGCCAGGGAACGTGTGCAGGTGCACATGGAAGAGATGGCGAAGCAGGAGCGGTTCTTGCAGGTTTTCGGTCTCCCGCATGACGTCGTCGTTGGCGTAAGGGTCTCGAGCGGCACCGGCGTAGGATCCGGCATCATCTCCACGCTCAAAGGTCTTGACACGGGTCAACTTGGAGCGCTGGCTCGAGAAGGGGTAGCCGTACTCGGTGAGCGCACCGAGCTTTTCGAGCTCTTCCCACTCGCTCTGCATCTGCAGCATGACGAGCGCCTTGATCAGGTAGTGACGCTGTTGAGGCGTAAGCGGCCTGACGCCTGCACTGCGCATCTTGGGGCCAGTAGCGCCGTGGGGGCGACGACGGCTTGCTCGACGAGCTTCGGCCTTCTCTTCACGCTCCCGCTCTTGCTCCCGAGCCGCGATCAGGCGCTGTTCCTCGGCTTGCTCCTTTTCGCGAATGGCCCGATCGCGGGCCTGGGACTCTTCCTCTCGCTTGCGCTCGAGCTCGGCTTGCTTGGCCTCCTTGAGCTTGATTTTTTCGTTGCGCTTGGCCTCCTTGGCGGCGAGCGCAGCGGCGGCAGCGGCAGCGGAGGCCTCCTCTTTGGCTCTGCGTTTCTCGGCAGTGCGCTCTGCCTTGGCAGCTCGAGCATTGGCCTCGGCGGCTTTCTGCTCTTGCTCGGCCTGCAATTTCGCGGCTCGGCGACGATCCTTCTCCGCCTGCGAGCTGCGCTGAGCGGCGAGCGTGCCAGCACCGACAACGGCGGCTCCACCGGCCGAAGCTGCAAGAGCTGCAGCCGGCGTCTCACGAGATCGCCTCGGCGGTGCGACCACCTCTTCCTCTGAGGCCTCCTCTTCGCTCAGCTCGGATTCGCTGAGCTCGGAGGGCTCCGAGTCGGAGACAGGTCGGCCCTTTCCAGCAGCAGCTCTGGGCACAGCAGCAGCAGCGAGCGATTTGCGGGTGAAGTTCATGTAGCCCTTGGGCGCAGCACCACCATTTGCACTGGTAGCCACGATTTTGGAGTTGGAACGAGAGGCGGGCGCTCCATTTGGAGCCACGGCTGCTTGCCGGATGGCAGGCGCAGGCTTAGCAGCGGTCTCGAGTCCTCTTTCCGAGGTCTCCTCGGTGCTCTCATCATCCGAGTCGTCCTCCGACGAGTCTTCCTCGTCGTCGCTGGCGACCTTTGGAGCTTTCTTGGCCGAAGGAGCAGGAACGGCAACCTGCTTTCCATTCTGGACGGCTTTGGCGTTGCCTGTGACGATAATAGGAATCGCGTCGTCGTCGTGCACATCCGGAGCCTCGGGTGCGTCTTCGAGACGGCTGTCGTCGTCGGAAGAGGCATCGCTCAGCTCGTCCTCGTCGTAGTCCTTGGCCTTCTTGCCATTTCGGCGCTTCTTGTTGATAGCGCTGACAGCCACGGCACCAGTAGAGATGCCAGTGACAGCGGCGAGAGCGGCCTCTCGCGTCGACTTTGTGTGGGATACGGTTGGGCGGGAGCGATCGTCCTCTCTGGAACGCGATCGGGGTCGCGGCTGCGAGCGAGATTGTGTCTTGGCCTGAGATCGCGAACGGGCGACCGCGTCGGTGCGAGACATCATGGGAAGATCTTCGTCCCTGCGTTCGAGTGCGTTGAGGGTGCGTTGGCGCTCGCGATCCTGGCGCTGCGGACCCGCTGCGCCCGAGCTGGCCCTAGAAAGCTGCGAGCCAGGTTTGCGGCTCTCGGATCCGTCCCTGTTCCTGCGAGAATCGACCTCGTCGACGCCTCGGGCTGCACGATCGGCAGCGCTGCGGCGACTCTGCATGGCCTGAAGCATTTCATCCTCTTCGATGCGTGCGAGCTCCCTCTCATCGTCGTTGCGTCGATCAGTCGGCGGACGAGCGCTGTAGCGATTGAGACGACTCGAAGATCGCTCCATGCGAGCTCCGGGAGGCCTTCCCTTGTCGCTGCTGCTGGCTCCTCCCGAGGCTTTCGACAGCACACGCGTGAGAAGACCTCCGCCGCCGCGTGCAGTAGAGGGCTCAGGTTCGGGTGCGGGTCTGGGGGCGCCACGGCGGGGCCCGGCTCGAGAAGATGGCTCGTAGTTATATTCGTCGTCACGGGCTGAACGAGTGCTGTAGGATCTCGGTCTCTGGGAGCGTCCGTTGGTGGGTCTGCGGCGAATGTCGTCTTGGTCCTCGTCTCTTGCCCTTGGAGTAGAACGAGGGGGCTGACGAGAGTCGTAAGCGGCGTTGGAAAAGTCCTCCCACGGTTCAGGCTGGCGGTGCGGGTCGCTGTCCTGACGCTTGCGTCCATGGACGGGAGCAGCGCCGCCTCGGTCGGAGCGAGGGGCGGCAGGGGGAGCGCCGCGCGAGACGTCGGGGCGACGGCTAGGATTGAGACTGCGACGGCGATCGGAACGTCGGTCCTCGTCGAGATCGTCGTCTTGCTCCTCGTCCAAGTCGTCCAGATCGCGACGATCCCGGTCGTCATCGAAAGTGGGGATGGGTTTGCGGTTGCTCATTGGGCGAGAACGAGGGGCGGGGAGGCTGTCATGTCTGGGACGGCGAGCGTCAATGGACCTGCGTGCGTCTTGTCGTGGGTCGGAGCTATACTGACGCGAGGAGCGCCTGCTTCGGAGTTCGTCATCATCCTCATAAGCGCTCGAACGAACACCGGTGGTGGCAGCGGCAGCCGCCCGTCTGGCATCGAAGGACCGTTCGCTGGATCGTCCGCCAGCGCCATTGCGCTCTCCGCGCGAGCGAGAGTACGACGAGTAGGTGGAACTGTACGGCTCGCGGACGGGCTCACGCGGAGGCAGACCCATTGAGTCGACGATGCGGGTACGGTCCGTCTGAGGTCGACGCTGTCGAGAAGACATGTTGCGCTGATTCCTCGATTTCAGTTGAGATCAGGGAAGGTGTTAGCTCGGTATAGTGTCCAAATGAAGGTGGTCTGAGAGCGCAGCAGTGATTGCGAGTGTAGGCCGGGCCAGATACGATGACCGAGGTGGATGGGTGGGTGGATGGCTACCTCTATGCTTGTGTAATGTGACGCCTCTTGATGACTGACTGCTTGCTTGGGATGCTGAACGAGATCCAGGTAGCGAGTGGTGAGGAGGATAGAAGAAGGGACGGGGAAGCCTCAAGATGTGGGGACCGCCGAGCAAGGGCAGGGGACGCAGAGTGGGATGCTGAGCTTTGGCTTGCGAGTCTCAGGTGATAGACGACGGCAGCTCGGCAAGCGAGGCAGAGGCGATTCAAAGCGGGCGCCTCTGAGCTCGTTGAAAGCGACAAGCCACGGAAAAATACGAGCGGAATTCAGCGTTTGACAGGACAGATACAAAGCCCACCGACAAGAGGATCGGTTCCTACTTTTCCAGGGTCCGGAGACTAGGAGACTAGACTAGCACGGCATGGCACAGCCCAGCCGAGCCACGGCTACAGTCGATAGGACGATCATGCGATGGATTGGGATTAGGTACAGACAGGTGCCAATGCTGTGCAGACAAGGCGATGAGCGTGGGTACAAATGAGTCAATCAACGGCGGAACAGCCGAGCCGTCTGCTTTTGACCTTGTGATTGGGCAAAGAGGGATGGAGAGAGGGAGCGGGGAAAGAAATGAGTTGGCGCGAAGAAGAGCGACGCGGGGGTCCAAATGGCATGTCGAGACGCCCCGCGTGCACAGAGCAGCCGCGTGTGGGCCATCTTCTTGCCTGGCCCCATCTCGATGTCGCAATGTTGCTTCAGATCCTCGACGTCGATGTGGGCTAATTTGGTCTGAACGCATGCATCGGTATCCTGGCTCCGTATGGGTGGCAGACAAGGTTAAAGCGTGTAGATGCAAAGCAGCGATCCCTCGATCCATGTCGCTTGACAAGACCCAAGCGTCCCCGCATCTCGCCAGATACACAAGCGAGCTTGGTGTTGTTGAAAGCGGAATTTTTGGCTTTTTGAGGGGCCACTTTGCTCAACGCCATTTTCCTGATCGAAAACGAGCGAGGGCGCGAGCGAGAACTGCGCTTGCCGAGTGGCTTTTCCTGGAACCCTTCTTCTATCGATCAGAGAAGCGTGTCCGAGAAGAAAGGTGTCTCACTTTGCACCAGCCTAGCGAATCAAGTTGGGACCACCACGCATTCACATGGTCGCTCTCTCAGCTGCAGTCTGCTCCGTATGTGAACGGATTGACTGAAAGGGAAGCACATCCAACCGGAATTTCGCCGGAGTGCGCTGTGCAGTTGAATAGAATAGACGCCGCGAGATGATCCGCGATAACGTCGAATCTATTCCCGCTGCTCGTGCCCGAGAATCCCACTTTGATCTTCTTGGCTGCAGGCTGAAGCTGCGGTGCAGATCCCCCGCCATTGTCCTGCCCAACGTGATGCATCATCTTACCCGTAGTTGTGCCGCTTCCGGCCACGGCACATGGGCCTCCTCCTGCCGCTGGCCTGTTCAAAGGTTGCCTTCAAAGGCCGGGCCCGCCCTTCATCCCGCCATCTATCATGATCAGTAAACCTCCTCAAAGCAGCGTACGTGACACGTCGTCTATGAAAACAACTTGAACGACAGATCGTGTTGCGACTGGAACCATAGGATGCAAATAATGACAAAAGAGAAAGTATGCTGTGGCCCCTCACTTTCGGCCCTTGACCGCCTTCTTGTTGAGCGCCTTCTTCTTCTGCTGCAACTTGGCCGTCTCCTCGGCACGCTTGCCCGACGAATAGTTGAGCTTCTCGTACAGCTTGCGCTGGCGGTTGCTCATCATCATCTTGGACATCTCCTTGGCCTCCTGCTCCTCGGTCTTGCGCGCCGCGGGCTTCGACGATCCCTTGTTGCTCTTCTTGGCCTGCTTAAGCGCTGCCGTGTGCTTGCGACGCATCTCTTCCAACGCGTCTTCACCGCCGGCAGCTTCGGCCTCCAGTTCGGCTGCATCGAGCAGACCGGCTTGACCAGCATCCGTCGGGTCGGCCAACAGCGCTGCCAGCGCAGGACGTGATGCCGCGCCGTTCGACTTGACTGCTGTTGCCTCGGCCTCTTCGTCTTCCTCCTCTTCGTCCACGTCCTCACCGGCTTCGACTTCCTCATCCGAGTCTTCCTCGTCGTCGTCCTCCGAAGCGACAGCAGCAGCATCCGCCTCGAGACCCAGCTGCTCCCTCGCCTCTTCGGGAACGTAGCCACCACGGCGTGCCACCTCGGCATCGTCCACGAAGGGACTCAAGTGCGGCGGCAGCGTCTGACCAGGCCCGTAAGGCCCGGCCGGCAGCAGCTTCCTCGCGTTGGCGCAGTCCACAATGTACTGTGGCTGCACAAACACGCGCTTGCCCGCGTATCTCTTCATACCGCTCGCTGGCACCGGCCTGTCGATGATGTGATGTGTGATCCTCGCGTCGTCCTCGTCCACTGCGCTGCCTGCGCCCGCCACCATGTCCCATCCGATCCTTCCTGGCAGCGCGCCAAACGACCGCAGCACGAATTCGATCACGGCCCGTGGACACTCTCGCGAGATGTAGAAGACGTAGGGCGTAAACAGTCCGTTGGCAGCCCCCTCGCTTGCTGCTGAAGCTGCCTGGATCTCGTCAAAGGTCGTCAAGTGAGCGTCCGACTCTTGCTCCTCGGTGGACTTCGAGGGCTGCTCGACAAACTTGTCTGCCTCCTGTTCCACTGCCTGTTCAGCATCTGCCGCCTCCTGCTCGTCCTCTGCGTCTTCGGCCACGGTCCCTGACTTGGAAATCGCCTTGATTTGCTTCTTGACGTCTTTCGCCGAGACCTTCTTACCCGAGGCGGTGACGACAGTGGAGGACGAGGATGCCGTTGCTGCTCCATTTGTGACCGTTGCAATTGTGTTCTCGCCGCGCAGCACAGCCGCACTAGCCGGGTCAAGGCTCAACGCGCCAAAGCCGGCAGCCTGCTCGTCCTTGAGGGCATCGAATCGGGGCGGGTAGACGAGGTTCTCGTCCGTGTACAGCTTGAACAGCACGAACCCAAGAAGGGTCTGATAGAGCTCAAGGAAGGTGTACATGATGCGGAAGTCGATGTCCGAGGGAATGTGCTGTGTGAAGAGGTAGGGTACGAGCCAGGTGATGGTCTCGCCGTTGACCTCGGCCTGGAAGTAGATACCCTTGATGCTGAGGAAGACCTTCTTGAGCGCCTTGGTCTTCATGACGTACAGCTGCCACTCGGCACAGAGGCGAGAGCAAGTAGCGATCACATCCGCAGAGACCTTGTCGGTGGCGGGCAGGTTGGCGAACAGGGTGAGCAGCGAGAGAGCGTCGTCGATGTCCTTGAGCGAATCACGGAAGGTGGGGTATCGCTCCTTGATAATGTGATCCAGACGGTAGGTGGGCTTGCCCTCGTCAAGGTTCTTGGCAGCTGCCCATTCCCTTCGACCGATGGCACGCGAGAGCTTCTTGGCAAATGTCTTGTGCTCACGCAGCGACTGGAGCACCGGCTCGTGCTGAAGGTAGGCAATGTCCTTGGCGAAGAAGAAGGTGGTGGGAGCCGTCGAGCCTTTGTTGGCCTTGCGAACACTCTTTGGCTGACGTGGGAAGATACCCTTGAGGATGCAGAGACGGCGGAAGTCGGCGAGGGTCACCTGGAGCTTCTTGATAGCCTGGTTACGTGTGACATAGTTCTTGGCCGCGCCCGACTTTCCCTTTTGCTTCATCTTGGCCATCTTGGGCGGTAGTACGACAGCGTTGGTCGACGCTGTGTGGTGAGAGGAAAGATGTGGGACCTAGCGGGTCAATGGGGTTCCGTAGTGATGCTCGAGTCTCAGGATGCAGTGTGAGACGAAGAGCTCGAAGAGGTCGTAGGTGGACTCGAAAGAGGAGGATGCAACAGTTGAGCAGGAGCCAGACGAGTTCAGGGTTCTCTCTCTGCGCTTGCTTTCTTTCTTCTTGGCTGCCACTCAAAAATTGAAATTTTCGAACAAATTTCGCATTGAGCCTGTCACTTTTTCTGCTGCACGTGATGAGGAGGCTGTCCGAGACCCGAGAAGGTAATTAGCACGGTCTAACATACAGAACATCATTTCCAGGCCGAGGCTCCGAGAATAGCCACAGGCACGTCTGATGCTCGCCTCCCGTCGTGCAGACCCTTGACAGCGCGAGTTTGTCTGGCGTCAGTAGTATGCAGCGTGCAAAAGTGATGAACAGGCACTTCCGTTGGCAATCCAGGGCAAGCTGTCGCCGACTTTGATTGCAGCGGAAGTCTGATGATTCCCGTCGACGCTGTTCCGAGCCCCCTGTTGCGAACAGCGTCGATGCGAGGGTCACCGGGGTGGCAGAGCGAGGTGATGCTTGTCGAAGCTATTTGGGAAGAGCTCTGGAATTCATAGTCCGACACCGAAGCGCGCTTGCTTGCTTCTTTGCTCGGTCTCGCCATTGTTGCAAGATGCAATCCGGCAAACATTGGGAGAAGCGGGGGTTCGGCTCTGACGTCGGAGTTCAACACCCGCCTTCTGTTTGATCTGCGTCGCCTTCTATGATCGCCGAAGTGGATCGCGGGCGCACGTGACCCAAGCACCGCCTCGTCAAGCGTCCCTTGAGCTTAGGCTCGTCGAGCCTCCTGCCTCGGCGACTGGTGTCAGCTCGTGCGCGCTATACAGAGCCTCGCTTCCGACTGCAGAGCGCACCAACACGTGATGTTCAGCCGTGACTGTTGATCAGCGTTGTGCAAGAGTCAGCAGCGTCATTTCGCACTCAAACGATGCAGGGGTTGAGGCGCTGCTGTGCTGACCATCTTCTTGGCTCTGCTTTGTGGAATTCGAAGCAAGCAAGCAAGCAAGCAAGCAAGCAAGCACCAGCACAGCCGAGCGGGCGGATCTGCATAGTTGTGTGCCTGCAAATCAACTCGGCATGCAGGGTGTTGGACGCTGGTGCTACGCGTGTCGCTCGAGTGTTTTTGTGCATTTTTTTGACAGAAAGCGATCTGCAAGCACCTGCTCGGCGTGCGTGTTGTGTGTTGTTCTTCTTTTATTCGTCACGAGCTGCTGGCAAGCTGCGTCTGTCTCTCTCTCACACACACATCCTCTCCCCTCGCCAGGAAGAGCAGTGTCGACGCAATCACCCACTCGCAGCTGTCCCTGGCTGTATGAGACTGCCGGTCCAGAATCGAGCTGCATGGATCTGCAAGGATCGCTCGTGGTCAGCGCAGGCCAGCCCCTCTCCCTTTTCCGCCCACACTGCGACTGCGGGCCTTCTTTGAGTTCGAGTGCAAGAGTTTGCTGCGTCGGTGCTCCGGTCCCTTTTGGCGCCTCTGACTGGAAACTTGATCTTGTCCCTTTCATCGCCCCATGCTCCTTCCCTCTTCTCCTCATCATTCCAACGCTGCCAACCCCCTCCTCTCCCCTCTAAATCCCTTCCCATCCCACATTTATCTCACCGTCGTCACTCTTTTGATCCCCCGTCCTGGTCTCTACTTGCTCCTTCTCGTCCAGCCACCATCATCTGCACAGTCAACCCACATCCAGCTCACTCTTGATCCACCTCGTCACCATGAAGTTCTTCACTGCTACGCTTGCCCCCTGGGCTCTCGTTGCGCTCACCAGCGTTTCGGCCGTCGTGGCCGTGCCCAACCACGCCAAGCGACAGTCGTCTAGTGCGTCGACCCCGGTCTCTCCTCTCACGCCCAGCGTCACCGACGAGGGATCGCCGCTTCTGATTCAGTGGGACACCACCACCAGCCAGGCGTGGAAGAGCATGGAGATCAAGTTCATGACCGGCTCGAACCAAAACATGACTGAGCTCTTCACGGTGGCTACAGGCGTCGACGGCACCTCGTCTGGTGCTGGTCAGCTTCGATGGACTGCCCCCAACGTGTCGCCCAACTCGGGCATCTACTTCTTCCAGTTCACCCACAACGGTCAGGACCCTACGTGGACGACCCGATTCGCCATCGCTGACACCAACGGAGCTGTGACGACGCCTCCCAACGCTCGACAGCCCGAGGGTCCCGCGATCCCTTGGGGCACGGGCAGGATTGTCTCTGGTGCTGTTTCGGCCTCTGGATCTGACTCGGACTCGTCTAGCTCCAGCTCGTCCACTGGGGCGATCGCTGCTGCTTCCACCTCTGCTTCGTCTGCCGCTGCCGCCACCTCGTCGAGCTCGTCGGCCAGTCAATCGAGCTCTTCGGCTTCGTCGAGCTCGTCTTCGGCCTCGAACGCTGCTCAGACCTCCAACACGTCGTCCAGCTCCAGCTCGAGCTCGGGATCGAGCAAGCAGTCTTCATCGGCCTCTACTACTGTTCGTGTGGGCTCGGCTGCCATGGTCGGCGGTGTTGTCGCTGCGCTCGCCGGTGCTATGCTTGCCTAAGCGTTGAGACGGCTGCACTGCATGCGCCCTACTAGAACCTCTTCATGTGCTCTTGGGAGAACTGCTCTCCTCGCGCTCGCACACACTCTCGTTCACTCTTGATCCATCCTTTGTCTCGCTGTAGGACGCGTTTGTTTACTGGCTAGATTGACAATCAGACACGGAATCGCCGTATGATTCTGACCTGGGAGGCTTCGACTGAGGTCCGCGTCACCCCACTATGATGATGTTGAGTCTGAAAGAGATGTCTTTTGTGTCCGACTGAGATCCTAAGTGAGTAAGTATCGACATCGGATATAAGTGCTCGAGATCCGAGAACAGGTTCAGCGTGGCACTTGCCACGACTCAGAATGGCATGGCCTGACCCATTCGGCGCCTAGGAAGAGAGCCTGCTCCGTGGCATTTTGAACCCTGGCGGAAGCTGCTCTTCGTTCTGACAGGCGCTGAACTTGTAAGCTTGAGAGCAAAATGGCAGCGCGGTATTCCCGAGGGTCCGGCATTGCTCGAGCTGAGTCCGGCTGAAACTTAGGAGGGACCAAAGATTTGCCGGCTGAGTTGGCTCTTTTTGTCCGTCGACGTGACAAATCTGCAGCTCAGCCCGGAGGGACCCTTTGTGTTTGCCGTTCATACATCAGATTGCACAGGCTGAGCTGCCCCTACCCCTGCCAAGATCGACCCACAAAGTTGACTCTTGGTGACGATGTTGTGCGGACGCAAGAGAGTGTGGAAACCAAGCACGTGCTTGTCCCTTGCAAAGCCGGCGGCAAACTTCTCTCGGCCCTCATCCTCGCCGATTCCAGTGAGTCAAGCTTTTGCAGCTGCCTGCTCTCGGTGCATCAAATGACATACGACATAGCGGTGCCGAATGCCGGCTTAGTGGATATGCTTGGCTCTCGCAAGACTGCTATGTAGGAAACGACGACGAGCAAAAGTGCCGACGGACTGTGAGCAAAATTGGTGATGAAATTGCCCTGTGCGGGCGCCTGCCTAGCTCGTCTATCTGATCTCACCCAGGCCGGCGTTAATTCATGGCGGTCTGGCTGTGTGTCTGTCTGTCAAATTGGCAAAAAAAGGCACGGTCTCGATATTGGCGTCATTTGTCCTCTGCCGGTTCCCCTGTCGTGCGTCTGCTGCTGCTGTCTGCTGCCGGTGCTTCGGCCAATGCTGTTGCTGCTTCTTGGCTTTTGCCGGTCTTTGCCTGTGCGTCGTCCTTTTTTGCTCTTGGCTGGCTGCCTTCTGCAAAGCGCCTGAGCTCAGTCTGATTCCAAAGCCCTGTTGGCTCATCTCCCATCCACATCTCTCACTCAACGTGGTTCTCCACTCTCCAATCTCCATCTTGTCGGACACTGTCGTCTCTCCTTTCCAACTCCATCACCCTTCGCCATCTAAAGCTATTTCGATCTGCACTCGTCAACGCATCGTTGCCTTCGCAATCATCGCCAAAACCTTATCCACCTGCATTTCATCTTCCCTGCCAAGACGGAGCCTTCTCGCCCATCCGCATCTTCGCTTTGTCGGATTTAAACACACCTGCAGAACTTGTCTGCACATCTCTTGTCCTCCGTCGGTCTACGGACGCTCACGAAGCTCGAGCACAGCCTCGGCCCTCAACCCTCAACCCGCATCCACGAGCACTCAAAGCATTGCTCTCGATAACGTTCGAGTCCCCGACTGGAAAATCGCCGCTCAGCGATCTGCAATCGGATAAGCGCACGCGCACAACGGCTCTTTCTACTATCACCTGCGCAGCTTCCATTCCGCTCGTCGTCAGCAACAAACTTTGTGGCGCAACAGACCTACATGTTCAACGTCTTTTCCGCTCTTGATCCAGCTGTCTATCATCGACGGCTGTAGTCTCCCTCTTTGCCAAGCTTGCTGTTGCGACACTCTAATCTCTTGCGGAACGTGATATCACCCACTGTCCCGACAAGCACGCACATCAGGACGTCGTTCACAAGTCATCTCGTTCACACCTCCTAAGGCGCACATACGGACCCGTTTTCGCACTCGGCTGACCCAGACACCAACCAAGCTTCTCGTCCCGGAATAACGCAAAGATGCTTTCCTCAAAGCCCATGGATCCGATCGTCAGCCACTCCACCCAGCCAGACCAAAATCAGCACGGCGCCGACGTGGTCCACCTCGAGACCAAGACCAACAAGATGACGCTCCAGGAAGACTCGTCTGCTCCTGGCTACACCGCCATCCGCAGCACATCCTCCGATCATGCCACACCGGTACAGAGCAACAGCACTGCCTTCGTCTCTACCACTTCTCACGTCGCATCCCCCGTCTCCACAGTTGGCACCGACGCTACCCACGGCATCAGCCCGGGTTCCGTCAATGCCATGACCGGTCCAAGCGCTGCCGCTGCCAAGATCCGCACCGAAAACTTGAGGCAGTTGGGTCTCAACGAGCGCGCCGACCATTCAGGGGTGGCCACGCCCATCGGCACAGGCGGTGCATCCGTCCACCTCAACGAGGCCCACACCGAGCCCGTCTCGCCTGTCACCAGCAGTCCCCAAGGTCAGCCACGCTCGGGGCTCAACAAGGTGCTCAGCGGCGCCATGACCGGCACATCGTTCCAACCCGTTCAAGGCGCAGGTGCCAGCGGTCTCGCTTCCGCTCGTGGTGTCGACGCCTCCAACAACGATTCTACCAGCACGCCTCCTCAATTCGTCTTCCCCAAGCTCGGTTCACGGCGCAACACTGAGCGTGTCGGCAGCAGCGGCACAGCTTCGCCGTCCGACAATGACGCTCACCCCAAGAAGAAGAAGGACAAGGAACACTCGGGACACCACAACCCGCTCACCGACCTGCGCAAGTTCCTGCAGAACCACATCGGCCACCACAACAGCGACTCGCGCAGCGACAGCAGCCGCTCCGGTGTGGCCACGCCTAAGCGTCACGGCAAGGACTCGCCCCCCTTGGGTGAAGACCACGCTCACCTGGCCAAGAAGTACGGCAAGTGGGGCAAGGTGCTCGGATCGGGTGCCGGTGGTACGGTGCGTCTGATCAAGCGATCCAAGGACCACACCGTCTTTGCCGTCAAGGAGTTCCGTCCGCGCAGAGCAGGTGAGAACGAGAAGGAATACATCAAGAAGGTCACCGCCGAGTTCTGCATCGGCAGCACGCTCCACCACGTCAACATCATCGAGACCATCGACATCATCTCGGATCACGGCCACTACTATGAGGTCATGGAGTACGCGCCCTACGATCTCTTCAGTGTCGTGATGAGCGGCAAGATGTGCCGTCAAGAGATCTACTGCGTCTTCCGTCAGATCTGCGACGGTGTCGACTACCTCCACTCGATGGGTCTCGCGCATCGTGACCTGAAGCTCGACAATTGCGTCATGACGACGGGCAATGTGGTCAAGCTCATCGACTTTGGCACGGCGACCGTGTTCCACTCACCAGGCAAGAGCAAGGTGGTGGCTACCGGTGTTGTGGGTTCGGATCCCTACCTGGCACCCGAGGTGCTGTCACAACAGACGTATGATCCGAGGTTGACAGACGTGTGGAGCTGCGCCATCATCTTCCTCTGTATGATCCTGCGTCGCTTCCCGTGGAAGCTGCCGGATCTCAAGACGGATCCGAGCTTCCGGCTGTTTGTCAATTCGCATCCCGAGCTGTGCAAGGCCCCCGAGCCCGCCAAGAGCCACCCGAACAGCGGCGGCCCGAGCCGACAGAGCAGCACGGCGAGCTCGAGCGTCATTGCGAGCCGCGTCACCTCGAGCGACCACGTCGCCACGCTGCGCAAAAACCTCGGAATGTCGACCATCGATGCCGTCACGAGCTCGGACGACAACGGCGTCACGCCGCAGATCCGATCCGCTTCGGAAGCCGGCTACATGACGCCGCACACGATCCACTCGAACTCGAACCCGCAGTCGCCTTCGCTCAGCGACACGTTTGATGGCAACAGGATGCTGACGGGCGAGTCGGGTACCAACAGCGCCGCAGTGATGAGCCCAGCTGCCATCTCGCCCGTCACCTCGTCACCCACGTCCGCCTTCACCGACAGCACCTCGGGCGGCAGCGCCTTTGACGATGTTCGTCCTAACCCACACCGGAGCGACAGCGTCTCGTCGGCATCATCGCAGACCACGTTCACCTCCGGCGCGGCGGACAGCATCTTCCGTCTCCTCCCACGAGAGACGCGCTCGGCCCTCTCGCGCATGATGGCGGTCGAGCCGTCGCTCCGCTGCACACTCGGCGATCTCCTTCGCGGCCGTCGCTTCAGCGACCACGACAGCCCGCTGACGCGTACGCCCGTCATGTCGCGCAGCAACTCGACCGACATGCTGCGCTCCGCCATCGACGGGGCGCACGCACAAGCGCACGGCGACGGTACCGCCTCCCCTCGCGGCCAATTTGACAGCCTCAGCCGCGACGCCCACGCTGCGGGTCTCGGCTCCATCGGTCTCTCCGAGTTCGAAGATGACGACGACAAGGGCGACGAGTGGCTCAAGAACATCCGCACGTGCGCTCACATCGTCAAGGACGGCAGGCCGGGTGAACAACCCGACCACCCGCACGTCAAGGTCATGAGCGAAGAGAGCAAGCGCAAACACTCGCTCTTCCATCGCAAGGATTAGATTCATTCTCCCCCCATGATGTCGGTAATTTTGTACGTTTAGATGAAGTGGAAGAAAGGAATTGCCTAATGTTGTCTTGCTCTGACTACGAGGTGCTAGTGTACATGTGTGTGAGGGGCTTAGACAGAGTCGGGCTTGGCGCATTTTCGATTCTCCACCACTCCCGTTGTGGGATCGATCATCTGATTCCAGCTGATAGGTGTCATTTGATTACCGCTTATGCTCCAACCTGCACCCCCTACGCCGGTTATTCCGCCCTCGCCGTCGGCCTTTGTGGCACCTGCACTGCTTGCACTGGTAGCATAGATGACACCGAGACTGTTGCCAGCTGTGCTGAGGTAGTAGCTTCTTGCGTCGCCCAAACTGATGACGGTGGCGCGGACGATGTCGCCGGGACGGAAGCAGTCGGCGAGTTTGACCTTGTCCTTTTCGGTCGTCCTCACGTCCTGGCTTCGCACCACGCCCTGGAAGTCCACCCCCTCACCTTCGCCCGCTGCATGATTCCCAAGACCAGACTGAACGAACGTCGAACTTGTCGACGATGACGAGCCACACGGCAGACCGTCGACGATGAGGATCGACAGGTAGGCCTGCCGAGGTGTGACGCGGGTCACTCGTGCGATGACGGTCGAATCGGGTGATGGCACCACGAAACGATTCTCGACTCCACTGATTGAGAGCTTTTCGGATTTGATCGTCTTGGAGGAGGAGGGCGTGCGAGATTCGTACCCAACGAGAGAGGAGAGGACGTAGTCGCCCCTCGCATACGTCCCCGTCCCGAGGTCGAGTTGCGACTTTGATGTGGATTTGACCGACAACGGCTGCCCTGGCAGAAGAAGACGCCCTGATGTTGATGTTGACGCTGATGCTTCCATTCTGTGTGAAGGCGTCGATGCTGTCCAATGATGAGAAAGATGGAGCGTCAGGAAGATGCAGGTGAGCGTCAAAGGATGAGGTCAAGAAAAGTTGGCTTACATAAGCTAGATTGTGGAGCGAAAAGAGAAATCTCTGAACCCTGAGTCCAAATTTGAGACTGCGACGTGCTGCCTCGAATTTTTTGCCTCGAAAGAAAGAGCTTCTCAAATTTTTAGATGCCCTCGCAGTACCAACCTGACACTGCTACCACCATCCGAAGATTGACTCGACCACACCGCTCGGCTTCTCTCCAACAAGCAGTTTCCAGCACTCCCGACGGACCGCTCTCAGCCAAGCGCTCGCATCGTCAGTCGAACCGGAAGTCTCGCTGCCGTAACAGGTCCGACAATCTAGCTCGCGAGCTCCCACCGCCACCTACACCTAGCCGCTCGAGGAGCCCCGGCTACGCTCGACATCGCCCACCATGCCGTCCAAGTCGAAAACCAAGAACAAGTCAATATGGCGCTCCGACAATGCACAGCATTTCCAGCTTGTCCACCGTTCGCAACGCGATCCTCTCATCAACGACCCGGATGCGGGTGCGCACGTTCTGCTTTCCTACGATCCTGCTAACCAGGCGCGCGCCAAGGGCAAGACGCGCGCCGAGCTCGAGGCCGATGCCACCGTCATTCGGGACAAGTATGGCAGGCCCATCCGAAGCAACATCGGCGAAGCCGCCAACTACGGCGTCTACTTTGACGATACCGAGTACGACTACATGCAACATCTGCGACCCATCAACGATGACGAGAACGTCAAGCGCGGCGGAGAGAATGTGGATGAGACGGTGGATACGATCTTGGTGTCCGCGAGCGCAGGGGCGAAAGGCAAGGGAAAGGGCAAGGAGAGCTTTGCACTGAAGGAAGGGGAGGAGGAGAAAGGGTTGAGTTTGCCAGCATCCGTACTGCCGTCGAAGCAGGAGATGCCGTTCAGCTTCACTTCGCATTTGGCTGTCGAGCCGTCGTTGCAGGGGTTCCAGCCGGATATGGATCCGCATTTGAGGCAGGCGTTGGAGGCGCTCGATGACGAGGCGTTCGTGGATGATGATTTGGATGACGATTTCTTCGGCGAGGTCGTACAGGATGGCGAATGGGATGGTGTGGTGAGGGACGACGATGAGTGGAGGGAGCAGGCACCGGAGGGTGACGAAGGCATCTGGGCGGACCCTGCAGCAAGAGCGCAGAAGGAGCTCGACCAGAACGGAGAGGAGAACATGTCCCTCGAAGCACGCGTAGCGCTGTTCAAAAAGCAGCAGGAGCTGGCACGCAGCCAAAAGCCGTCCTCGGACGACGAGGCGGAAGACGACGAGGACCGGGATCAGGTCGCATCGCTTCGCGCCGGATCCAGGGCGGGCACCATGTACACCGCTGGTGGCTCCGCGATCGGCAAGAAGGGTCGTCCGGGTGCACTGGCGCGACGAGCAGCGAGCACAAAGGCGCCCTCCATCGGCGGAGGCAGCACCGCCTGGTCCATGAGCTCCTCCGCCATGTTCCGTAACAAAGGCCTCACCGATCTCGACGACCGGTTCGCCCAGCTCGGGCGCAAGTACGGCATCCGCGAAGACTTCGACCCCTCGCTCGAGTCTCTGGAGGACGAGGAGTTTGTCGACTCGGACGGCGACGAGGCGGGCGAGGAGGTGACGCGCGAAGACTTCGAAGGCATCATGGACGATTTCTTGGCAAAATACGAGACCAAGCACGGCAAGCTCCGCGAAGCCCTCGGCGGAGTCGACTCGACGTCGGTGGAAAAGCTGACGATCCTGCGTCAGGCGCTCGGCAAGGCGCGCATCAACGGCCGCGAGTGGGCGGGCAAGGACGCCGACGAGGGCAAAGGCGAAGGCGATCTAGGCGAGTACGAGGACTACGAGTCGCCCGACGAAGAGATCGTCGATCCCATCCCGCGCAGTCACATGCGCGAAAAGTGGGACGTCGAAACGATCCAGTCGACCAAGACCAATTTGGAGAACCATCCAAGGACGATTTCGGCCAAGGAGAGCGTGTTTGGTGGGAGCAACGCTTCCGCCTTCCGCCCTGGTAGTGTTGCCAATGGCAGCGCGGTGAATCGCAATATGCTCGGCAACGGCATGGCGCCCAGTATGACGAGCTACACCAGCCAACGACCTTCGGCATCCGCGTTTCTGAACGACGAAGAGCGTCTGCCCAAGATTCGGATCAACCCGCGAACGGGCTTCCCCGAGATTGTGGGGTATTCCAAACCACGCGGTGTTAACGGCAAGACGAAGCCCGATGCTGCCACCAACGGTCACCTTGATGAAGAAGATGACGGACGTGGCCCGCCATCCGGCAGCGATCCCGGGTCCGACACGGAAGAAGGCGAAGGCTCGGAATACGACTCCGACACAACAGAGGGTGGAGAGCTGGCACGGCGACTCTCCACCATCGCAGTGACCGCAAAGCGCGATCGGAACGAGAGCAAGGAGGACAGGAAAGCGCGAAAAGAGGCGCTCAAGGCCAACAAGAAGGAGCGAAAGGATCGCAAGATGAAGACTAAGCAGGCGTTTGCCAGCGAGAAGAAGAAGCAGGCCAAGGCGGAGAAGGGGAGGAAGGAGACCGAGGGTGGGCCTGCGGGGATGCGTTTGCTATGATGTCGGCCCCGTCCTTTTGCAATCTCATAGCACAGCGAGATGCATCCACCTGTTCTTTGACTACCGTTCCAGCGATGTCGAGAATGTACAAGCTCGTTCTGAGAAGGGTCAAGAGTCAGCAAGGGTTGGGAATGGTGACTGCGCAATTTTTCACACTGTTAGACTGGGAAGGCTTTGGATGGGCACGCAAGCCGTGCTCGAATTGGCAGCTGAGGACCCTGAAGATCGCCATTCTTGCCCAGAGACTGCTCCTGTGCCTCTCGACGGTTGAACCTCCACCCCTCTTGACTCGATGCGGCTCGACCACAGCCGAGAGCGTCGACCCTCAGCTGCTGAGTTGCGCGGCCTTTGCTTTGCCTCTCTTCTCCCTTCTCCCCTCACCACAACCATCCGCCATCAAGACATTCATCAAGCATGAAGCTGACCATCCCACTCGCCGCCGTTGCGGTGGCACTCACCAGCGTTTCTGCTGCACCCGTCACGACCGATCTGTCGACCACCGCGGGGTTCGCCGGTTCGCTCTTTGGCGGTCTCACCTCTTCCTTTGCCGACCTGTTCTCCGCCCGATTGGTGCAGACCTCGCCGGCAGAGGAGCCGTACTGGACGACCGAGCTGGGCAAGCAGCTGCTGTGGTACCGCGGCGTGCACTTTATGGACCTCACCGACACGCCCGATCTCGGTCAGCTCAACGCCGCTCGGGCCCAGGCTGCGGGATCCACTTTCAAGGACAGCTCCAAATTCCCCTCCTCCGTCGAGCACGGCAAGCACCTCAAGAGCGTCTTCAAGGACATCTCCGAAGACGGCCCTCGCATGCACCTCGAAAAGTTTACCTCGTTCCACACGCGCTACTACAAATCCGAGACCGGCCGTCAGTCGCAAGCGTGGCTCTTCAAGACCGTGTCCGATCTCGTGAAGGACGTCGCCTACATCAAGGTGGAAGAATTCCCGCATCCGTGGGGTCAGAACTCCATTCTGCTCAAGATCAAGGGTTCCAACGCCACGCTGACGGCGAGCAAGGGGGTGACCATCCTAGGTGCGCACCAGGACTCGACGAATCTGTTCCCCTTTTTCGCCGCCCCCGGTGCCGACGATGACGGAAGTGGGACTGTGACGATCATCGAAGCGCTTCGCGTGCTGCTCAAGTCGAATTGGCGACCGGAGAGCGATGTGGAGCTGCACTGGTACTCCGCCGAGGAGGGCGGTCTGCTCGGCTCCGAAGCGGTTGCCCAGGCCTACGAGCGACGCGCGACCAAAATCCACGCAATGCTCCAACAGGACATGACAGCATTCGTCAAAGCCGGCACCACCGAAACTGTCGGCCTTGTCTCCGATTTCGTCTCTACCCCACTCACCAAATTCATCGGCCTCCTGGTGGATTCCTACCTCGACATTGGTTATACCGAAACCAAGCTCGGTTATGCAGGCTCCGACCACGCTAGCTGGACCAAGATCGGCGCGGATAGCGCCTTCGCCATCGAGGCGACGTTCGAAAACTCGAATTTGAAGAGGATCCATACGACCCAGGATACGTTTGATCATCCCGAGTTTAGTTTTGCGCACCTGATGCAGTTTGTTAGGCTTAGCGCGGCGTTTGTTGTCGAGCTGGCGGGGTGGAGCGAGGCGTAGAAGGATCGTGCAATTAGATTCGTTGGCTCGGATGTCGAGTGTGTGTGATGTCGTCGTGATGCAAGACAGGGTCTCGGTGAGTGCGACCGTGCTTCCGCACAGCTTCGTTGAGTGCGAACATGGACTCAGAATCCTGTGCACGCCAGACAGTCACGAGACAAGAACAGCAGAACGTGCAGATGCGATTGCGATGGGAACAAGTGCAGTAAAGAAAGTCGAATGCGGGGCGATGAGTGAAGCTTGCCACAATGAATCGGCAGTGACGAGGTCCCCTGACTACGAGTCTACCGCCTCTCTCGTTCGGCTCACCCTCTCGCCTCGGCCGCCATCTGCGCCTGTACATCCTCCAACGACATATGCCTCTTACTCCAATCGGCCAACTCGTGTTTGGCGATACTGCCCGATTCGCCCTCATTTCCGTCCCAAGCGGTGCTCATCAGACTCGGTTCCTGCGGGTGCCAGCTGACGTCTCTCACAGTGCACACCGCTCCACCTCCCGTGCCTCTGTGGCCTCGACCCGCGCGTCCGCCGCGTCGGCCGCTGAGGGGGTTGTCGAAGCTCGATGCGTTCTCTGCGGCGGTATGCCGTATGGGATGTTTGCGCTTGAACCACGGTAACGGCGGTGCAGAGGGATCCGATGCCAGCCCAGGTTCGCGGAACACATCCGCATCATCATCTTCGCTCTCCCCATCGTCGTCGGAGCCGGGACCCTTGTACGCGTGGATCTGGTTCGCCGGGTCTTTCTCCGCATACAGCGGTCGTACCTTCGACCGATCCAGTACTTGGGCTACCGTGCCGTCGAGGTTCCAGATATGGATCTTGCCGTCCGCACTGCCGCTGTAGATGTAACGCTGACCTGTCGTTTCTGCAGGGGAAAAGTGACAGCGGATGAGCGTTTTGAGCACCGCATGACCGCGGTAGGTCATGACGGAACAGTCTTGCGGGTGCGCCTGGTAGCGCGGCTGGCGGTAGGACATGTTGCGGTAGTCCCAATTGCGCAGCCCGTAGTCGAGATGCGTCATCCGGTCGAATTTCGAGGACGAGTGCATCATACGGAGGTCCCAGAGTCGACACGATTGATCTTTACCATTCGAGATGCAATACCGGCCGTCGCCTTTGGGCGAGACGTAGGTGACGCCTTCGGTGTGACCCAGCAGGACACCAGCTGGCTTACCGCCGGAGAGGGATCGACGGTCCCAGATCTTGACGAACGAGTCGTCGGAGCCCGAGATGAGGACATTGGAGGAGGCAGCGTCGGCGAAGGCAACGGCGTTGACGTCGTCCGAGTGGCCTTCAACGCGGAGAACTCGCCGACGTGCTTCGATGTCGTAGACGTAAATGTCACCAAAGTGGGCGCCTGCGACGATCTCGCGTGAGTCGCCAGAGAATCGGATCGACCAGATCTGTGAGTGTCACAAGAGCACAAGGAACGATCGCAGGGTCAGTATGCATGCTCAACATCTGACCGATAGTTCGGGGAATCGCTTACCGCAGAGCGCCATCTTACCCCAGTGTCATCGTCTCCTGTATTACTGAAATCCAGCATGACCTGGTTGTCGCTCGGCGTCCTTCCTCCCGTGTCAAAGTTCTGCTTTGTCGGCACGAGATGTACATAGGGCGTGATGCTCGAGTAAATCATCCACTGATTGTCGGGGCTTAGATTTGCGTCGGTGATGGTCCAGTTGCCTTGCCTGCCCTGGATACTCTTGGTCATGTTGAGCGATGTATACTGCGTAGTCCCCATCGAGCTGAAGAACCAGCTGTTGCGGACCCGCCGTGGCCCATCGTCGTGTACTTGCACCGTCTTTGGTCCTGCTACTGTTGTGTCGTACATGTGCACTCGGAAGTCCTGCGTGCAGGTGTAGAAGAAGGATGAATCTTGCGAGTACTGGCCGCAGTAGACGCGCGCCGGATACGAGGCTACGATGGTGCCATTGGTGTTGGGGACAAAGGAGGCCATGTCTGCTTTGCTGATGTGACGGCGAGCATACTTGCGCTTATGCAGGAGATCCGAGAGGTTGCTGCTTTCGGCAAAGGCAGATGGCGGCGAGTCGAGCGGTCTTTTGGGTTGACGTCCAAACTCACCACTGAGCGCCAGCTCTTGACCTGATCGGATCGGCTCTGTGACTGGCTCCCAGTAATCGGCCATTTGGGATGAGCGCGCCATGTGGTACCAGTTGTCCTCGTCGTCGTCCTCGTCATCATCGTCGTCTTCCATCTCGTCGTCGTCTTCATTGACCGCACCGCCGGTAGCAGCGGCGAGAAGTCGTTGGAGACCTGCAATGCCCATACTACTCAACGCTCTTGAAATGGCTTCTCTTGTGCTGAGCGTTCCTGTATCTTCGGTGCTGCCATCCTCGTTGTTAGCGGCAAGATGTGCGCGCAGCAAATCGCGAATGTCGATGGTGATGCTTTGCCCTTGGTGACCGCCGCGTTGAGTGCCTGTCTCGTCGTCATCTTCTTCATCCTCGTCGTCCTCATCGCCATCCCCATCATCGTCGTCCTCGTCGGCGATCTCGATCTCGAGACCACCGGCATCGTCGACCAGATCTTGATAGACGGTGCCATCTTCATCGGAGGGGATGTACTCCGAGTCGCCGTCCGAGTCGAATTCAGCACCGAACGAGTCCTGCGCCTCGGCTCTCGCTACCATCTCTTCGAGAGCGTCTTGAAGAAGCACGTCCTCGCTGTCATCATCGTCGTCACCGTCATCATCTCCGACGAAGTAGTCATCCTCGTCCTCGAGAAAGATCTCGTCATCGCTTTCGTCTTGGTCGGTGTCTTCAATGGCGCCCTCGCGAGCATATGGGAGTGGGCCAGCCATCGTTGCAGCTTTGAGCCAAGGTCACTGTTTAAAATTTGAGCTGATCTGTCGAAGTGCAAACTGGATCTCCTGGGTGAAACCGAGCGACCGTTCCGAGCTGAGGACTGCTATCTGCCTGGCTGATACTAGGACTGGGCAGAAGCTGTCGAAGCAATCACGTCGGAGCTGCAGTGATTGAGTCTGCGTCAGAACTGAGCACTGTTCCGCCGATGCTGTCGTTCTTGGCCACTAGGATTGTCAAGGTTGGTGGTCAGGACGAAGATTAGCTCGTGCCAGGCGAGGCTCGAGAACACCTGAATCAGTGCACAGGGCAGCTGCGGGGTGGAGGCGGCCAGCCGACCTTGTTAGTTTGAGTGCCGCGCGCAAGCCCAAATTCTGGCTGAGCTGCAGGCTTGTCAGGGTCCGATTTGCCCTTCTCGGCTGACTTTTACGTGAGCCGTGCAGCTGCGCGGCTATCCAAAGGAGGTTCGACCTAACACATCCTAAATTTCGACCTCGAATACCATACGAAACCATGGCATCAGATTGGTCGAATGATGTAGAGCTAGCATCTCAATGGCAGCGGACGCAAACAGCAATAACAGAAAATGTAGAGGGGGTGCCGGGTCAGGGGTCGAAGCTCCCGTTTCCCCGGCTTTTGTAAAGACATTGTTCAAGATTCCATCTTGCCATAGACGGCTACAACGAGACGAGGATCCGGAACAGCACCATGAGGGTCTAGCAGACTGGAGGAACCGCTTAGTTCTCAGCCTCCTCCTGATCGTACGAGACGTTGAAGAACTTGATCTCGTAGCCGTCCTTGGAGGTGGCGACAACACGGAGCCAGTCACGAAGCTGCTGCTTGCGCAGATGCTTCTTGGTCAGGTACTTGAGGTAGCGCTTCGAGAAGGCAACGTTGGTGTTGACCCAGATCTTGCCCTCACCTGTGAATAAAGGAATGCGCGAAATCGTTTGCAAAACGCAAAGGTCGATATCGAGGACGAGAGAGCTTGAGTCAGCCATCTCCGACTCGAGTGCGCCATGCGACCCTTGAAGAAGGGAGGAAGGGGGGGAAAGGGGGGCGATGCAAAGGAAAGCGTAAGGCTGGACGCAGGCGATGCCGGAAACGCAAGGACAACAGAGATCGACGAGCAGAGCAGGTGGTGTCGAAAGAAGAATGGTAGATGCTTGAAATGCAACCTTGTCCGTGTCATCGTGACGACTAGATTGCTAGCCTGTTTCCACACCTCCGTCGAACCACCAAGCTTCGGGACTAACACGAACGCATGAATGAACATCGTCGCTGAGAATGCCGGTAAGAGCGTTCGAATGCGATGTTGTACCTCTGCCATCCGTCTTTTCCCGTTCCTGCTGAGTCGTTGCTTTTGCCTTTCCTGCCATCTCGCCAAGCAACCCGGCCCAAACTTTCGCTGAACATGCAACTATGCCCCCTTGTGGATGCTACTTACCCTCACGGGTGATCTTGACGTGGTCACCGAGGTTGCCGGCCTTGCCGTCGACCTTGATGCGGTCGTGGAGGTACTTCTCGAAAGCGGCGGCGTCAAGGATACCGTCGTTGGCGGGGCCCGAGAAGTCGATGAAGAACTTGTGGGCGGTCTTGCCCTGCTTGGCGCTAGCCTTGGTGGTCTTGGTAACAGCCATTTTGAAGGATGTGATAAGCCTACTGGTGGATCAGCAAAGCGAAGTAAAGATGGTGGGTGGGGTCGGAAAGACGATCGTGTCAAGGCCATCCTTCCTGATCACCACCTGGCTTCTGTGCACACTCGGGGCTCTCAACTCGAGTCGAGCAGAGAGTGCCAGTCTCCAACCACGAAATTTTTACAGTTTGTTTTCGAAGTCACGTGTAAGGAAGTTTGCACAGCCCTTGTTAGACCCTCACTTATGTCGATGCTCTGAAAGAAAGCTGACAAGATATGTGTCAGCAAGGAATTTACGTCGGTGCCGTCGAGAGGGTGACATCTGTGATTTTAGAAAGTGCAGAAAAAGTTGCAAGAAGTTTTGCTCAGGAGGCGCAGCGAGACAGGTCAAAGCTTCGTCACGATCAGGCCTCCTGGCTGTCATTCTCCACCTTGCCAACCGACACAGGACATCACCGACGACCTCAGTGTCATTCTATCCCGCTCAACATGGCTCTCCCACTTGGCGCTTCTGTCGCCGAGGTCCAGGAGAAGGGCGACTTCATGATCAAGCCCGAGAACTCCGGCCCCAAGCTCAACACCTCCGAGTGGCCCCTGCTGCTCAAGAACTACGACCAGCTTCTCGTCCGCAGCTCTCACTTCACCCCCATCCCTCACGGATGCTCGCCGCTCAAGCGCGACCTCCAGAGCTACATCAAGTCGGGTGTCATCAACCTCGACAAGCCTTCCAACCCTTCCTCGCACGAAGTCGTCTCTTGGCTTCGACGAATTCTCCGCGTCGAAAAGACAGGTCACAGTGGTACCCTCGACCCCAAGGTGACAGGATGCCTCATCGTATGCATCGACCGAGCGACACGTCTCGTCAAGTCGCAGCAGGGTGCTGGTAAGGAGTACGTCGCTGTGCTTCGCCTCCACGACAAGCTCGACGATGCCAAGAAGCTGCCCCGCGCCATCGAGACCTTGACTGGCTCGCTCTTCCAACGACCCCCGCTCATCTCGGCCGTCAAGCGTCAGTTGCGTATCCGAACCATCTACGAGTCCAAGCTCATCGAGTTCGACAACGACCGTCACCTCGCCGTCTTCTGGGTCAGCTGTGAGGCCGGTACCTACATCCGAACGCTCTGTGTCCACCTGGGTCTGTTGCTCGGCGTCGGCGGCCACATGCAGGAACTCCGTCGTGTCCGATCCGGTGCGCTTTCGGAGAACGACTCGATCGTCACCATGCACGACGTGCTCGATGCTCAGTGGCTCTACGACAACCAGCGCGACGAGACGTACCTCCGCCGCGTCATCCGACCTCTCGAGTCGCTGCTCACCGGCTACAAGCGCATCGTCGTCAAGGACTCGGCCGTCAACGCCGTCTGCTACGGCGCCAAGCTCATGATCCCCGGTCTGTTGCGCTACGAGAAGGACATCGAGGTGCACGAGGAGGTGGTGCTCATGACCACCAAGGGCGAGGCCATCGCGCTCGCCATCGCACAGATGTCCACCGTCGATCTGTCCACATGCGACCACGGCGTCGTCGCCAAGGTCAAGCGCTGCATCATGGAGCGTGACACATACCCCCGACGATGGGGTCTTGGGCCTAAGGCGCAGGAGAAGAAGGCCATGATCAAGACCGGCAAGCTCGACAAGCACGGCAAGTCGATCAACGGTGTCACGCCTGACAAGTGGAAGAAGGAGTACGTCGACTACTCGGATGCTAGCGCTGCGCCTGCTGGCGATGTCGAGCAGGTCGCCGTCGCTGCTGCTGCCGCCGCCGTCGAGCCCGTCACACCAAAGAAGGACGACAGCGACAGCAAGAAGAGGAAGCTCGAGGAGACGCCCGGCGCCGCCACGGACGGGGAGACCGAGGAGGAGCGCAAGAAGCGAAAGAAGGAGAAGAAGGAGAAGAAGGCCGCCGAGGCCGCAGCGGCGGGCGTGGAGACCCCCAAGTCGGAGAAGAAGAAGAAGGACAAGAAGGAGAAGAAGGACAAGTGAGCACCGCCGACTTCCTGTTCGCCCTCGAAGGCCACTGCCTCCCGTTGCAGCTCCCATCCTGCCACTCATCGCAACGAGTGGTACAGAGAGGATGGGATGACATTTCCACGACGTGCTTCCTCGTTCGCCCAGGTTGCAAGGAGGGTCTCTTTTGCTGTCACGACAATGCGGTGCCAACAGTATGGGTGCAAGGCTGATGTTTGAGGGTTGCGACAACCGCACCTCGACCTTGCCTGTCTCCATGGCCGCCGTGTTGGTCCCGATAGCAAGGGATGACCCTCACCACCATCGTCTTCGGTTTTTCTCGCTTCCGTGCACCTCGTTCCTTCAAGAGCTACAGACAGCATCCTCAGCGGCAACCCGCGCATGTCTCTGTCCACCTTTCTTCCTACACCCTACTCTGCCCTCTTTCGCATTTTTTCCATCCTTTCGTCTCTTTGTCTCATGGTCTTCCTTCTGGTCGTCGTTCTCATCTCTTGTACTCTAGCAATCATACTCTTCTCTCGAGCTTTCCGTTGGCGTCTGTGCGTGTCCACCGTATCCTGAGTCGCATACAAGTACATTGCTGTGATGCAAGAGCTACGACAAAGTGAAGTCACGCTGGATGCGAGCCATGACAGGCCGGTGGTCGGAGATGAGGAACCCTGCATCGCCCTCGCTCCAATTGGGCAGCGTGCCGAAAGTTCGAATTCTCCATCTCGACTCCCTCTCCTCTACCTTTCCGCTCTGCCTGCTGGCGGTGTCGGAATCTCCCTCGCTCCTAATCGCAGGTGGAGGCGACGATTTGGAATGATCCAACCTCGCATCGCCCCTAGTCTCGTCCAACACCGCCCCGTTGTCCAGGAGCATGATAAAATCGATCCTGTCATCGATAGCGTTTCGCTTTGAAGGCTGAAAGTCGGTGAACGTCCTCATGGGTCCGACTGGTTCGAACAGCATCCCAGCCTCCTTCCTCCCAGCTGGTGGGGGCGGAGGGATGCGTTTGCCAGCGGCATACTCGGCACGCTTCGGATCCTCGTTGTCCGTCAGCAGTGGCGATGTGAATCTCGTTGGCACAGACAGTGCCGTGTCGAGGAACGTGGGTCCCGTTGAGTTCGCCTGCAGCCCGTAGTGTGGGGAGACGAGGGTGGACCAGGACCCTTCGTTGCGCGGACTGTTGAGGTCACCGATGAGCACCACGAGCGGTTGCTCTCTCAGCATCGACTTTGTGTGTTTCGCCGCCCTCCTCGCCCGGTCAACGATCAACTCGGACGACTTGGCACGCGCTACCACGCCTTGATGATCGTAGTGCGTCGAAAAGACGTGTATGATCTCTCCCGTTGCCAGCAGTCGCAAGCTCACGTGCGTGCACATGCGTGTCAGCGCTGCATCCCACCCAACGCTGCCAGGGATCTCGGGTGTGGGGGACAGCCAGAAGTGCTCCACCCCGTCCGCTCCTGCTCCCCCCTCGGCGTGGGGGACCAGCTCAAACGTGTCCCTGCGCCAAAAGACGGGTACCGCCTCACCTGCATAGGCCCCATCATCGCGCCCCACACCCGCATAGGAGTACTCGTCACCCAGCCAGTTGACGAGGTTGGACAGCTGCGGATGAAGCACCTCCTGAAAAGCGAAGATGTCCCAGGCGTGAAAGAGGGCGATGTCGGAGATTTTGGGTCCGCGGAGAAACCAGTGTCGCTCGCCGTGATGCTGCGCCATCAGATGAGGTGAGGCTGAAGAGGAAATCTCTTGCATCGTCGGAGAAAATGGATTCCCATCTGGGCGGTCGAGGGGAGGACGCTTCCAGTCGGAGACGGCATCGTTGGAGAAGCGGATGTTAAGCGAGCCGATAGTGAGCGAGGTGCGCCCGTGCGGGCGGGCGTATGAGCCGGCGTGAATCTTTTGCATAGCAGCCGCCTTTAGAGGTGTTGCGTGGGCCATGTTCAGCCGCCCGGATGAGCAAGACGTAGGCGTGATGCGACAGAGGCCGACCGAGACAAGATCGTGCGTGCCAAAGCGGAGGTACAGGACGAGGCTCAGGGTGAGCGCAGATAGCAGCAGCAGTGCGGTGCGTCCACGATATCGCATGGCCCTGCGAAGTGGATGACGCTTGTCTTCTCCGTCGAACAGTGGACGCATGGCGCAGGCGGTGGGTGAGGTTGGTCAAGAAAGCAACACTTCAAAGCGGGACCGGCGGATGATCAAAGCGGGCGTGCAGCTGCGTACCACGTGGGCGGACCCTTGGCCAGCGCTTTTGCTGAGCGATCTGACACTTTTCAGGAAAATTCGACAGCCTCCACTGTTGAACCCTTGGAACGCTCTTTCATACCTTCTCACACCATCAAGCATCGCAGCAGCAATGATCGCCTCGACCTCTCGCACAGCTGTGCGAATCCTCGCACGCAGTCCCGCTGCTCGTATCGCGTCCTTGCGATCCTCACCCCCATCGGCCTGCCGGAGAATCCAAACACACGAGCATCGACACGAGCCCCAATCGCAGCATGGCCCTCCTCCTGGGGGCGAAGCGCCAACGCAGTCCGGCCTGAGCATGTACGGCATCGTCGTTGCCTCCGTCCTCATCGTAGCTGTCACACCCAAGCTCCTTCATCTTTACACCGAAATCACGGGCGACGGGCCAAGCTCATCGGTACCGCTCAAGCTCGAGCCGCACACGCACCGACCGCTCCCCCTCGTCTCCTCCACCTATTACCCGGACCCGAGCACCGCTTCGGCGCACAAGCTGCTCCAAATCGGTCTGCCTTCCTCCACCTCCAGCAGTGTCGGTATCTCCGACGTGAAGCGGGCACTCCGCATCCGCAGCGTCTACATCAAAGAGCCATCTTTGGTCATCGAACGAGCCTACACGCCGCTGTACGATACACTGCCTGGCTCGCACTCGGCCGCGCTGGTCGGGACGGCGACCGCGAAGGAGCCTCGGGTATTGGATTTGATCGTGAAGCGATATCCTGACGGTGAGCTGGGCAAGATGCTGCATCGCGCGGTGGCCAATCCGACCATGCCGCAGTTGGAGGTGAGGGGGCCGGTGGATACGTGGTCTTTCGAACGGGACTCGGCGGAGACGGGCGGTGTGCCGGAGAGGATCGTCATGGTGGTCGGTGGGACAGGGATCACGCCTGCTTATCAGCTGTTGACGAATCTCTTCGGTAGGCCGGGCAAGACAGCGCAGGCCAGAATGAAGGGTGCACCCAGAATCGAGGTGTTGTATGCGACACAGGATCTGGAGAACGTTCTGCTGCTGCCCCAGCTTCATGCATCGGTAGAGGCGAATCGGGACAAGGTGAGCGTCCAGCTCTTTGCAGAGCGGGTGGCGTCCCCGTCTTCCCTTTCACCAGGCGCGCGGTCAGCTCTGGGCAAAGGGCTCGTCGTTTCGCCTTCCGCAAAGGCTGGCGGTCGATCCTGGATCCCCTTCTTCAGCTCCAAGGCCTCGAGTCTGGAACCCAAACTCGAACTCACCTCCGTTTCATCGCCAACAACCACCATCCCAGTCTTCGAATCACGCATCACACAACAGCACCTCGAAAAGGTCCTCACCCCGACCGCTGATGGTCGGACCCTGATCCTCGTCAGCGGACCCGACGGCATGGTCTCCGCTATGGCAGGACCCAGATCGCGCGACGGTCAAACACAAGGTCGTCTCACCGGCATCCTCGCCTCCCTCAACTGTCGACACGAAGACGTGTTCAAGCTGTAACATCAAAGATAAATTACACACCGACCTTCTTGCGCTCTCCATCGCGCAGCACGTTGTTCTGCGCATGCTGTTTGGGGTGCCTCAGCGATTCGGTGTGCACGAGTGTTCCGTCCTCCTCCGGCTTGTCGTATCCATCTGCGCGGCGTTGTTCGATGCCAACCAGGCCAAGGTGGTGGCGGAGCAGAGCGGCGAGTTGGGAGCGGGCGAGGGCGAGGTTGAGCGACTCCTTCCCTTGAGTGCGGATGAGCGTCGAAGTGTTCCATGCGGTAGCCACTTGATTTGGTATCGACCTGTCATTTTGTCCTTCCGCTATTGAGTCGAGTTGTGCGGCTGTACGTAGTGATTCCGGAAGGAGCTCGTCCGGTGCCACACCGCCACTGGCCTTGATGGCCGCGACTACGGGTTCGAGCGACTGCGTGATAGGTTCGCCAAAGGTGATCGTCACATCCGCCCCGAATCGGGGGAGCCATTTGGGCTTGTCTCTTGGTTCTGGCATGAGCCTGTCAAAGCCAGTGATCCAGATGGGTACGACGGTGGGCAGCTTCTCTGCCTCTAATATCATTCGCGAAATCCCCCATTTGAACCGCCGCAACCTCGTGCTCGTGCTGACGTTGACGTATCCTTCCGGGAAAAGATGCACCCAGTTCCCACCACCGAGCTTGGCTATGGCCTCGTCAATCGCAGTCTGGTAGATCCCCCCGCCACGATGCGTCTCGATGCACTGCCCGTTGCGAAAGAACCGTGACAGAAGGGGGTTGGTGAACATGATATCGCTCGCACCGAGCGTCCAGCGCACCGTGGACGGGTTGTGGAAGGTAGATGCTGGGAGAGCGCCCCATATTGTCGGCTCGTCGAGGACCGAGATGTGATTTGCGTAGGTGAGCAGGCCGGTGCGGGATGAGAGGCGGTCGGGTGAATGGAGGTGAGAGAGGAAACGGTCGAGATTGCGAACTGTCACTTTGCGGCAGCCGTACCGGAGGAGTGCGCGGGAGAAGGCAGCGACCGCACGAATAGTGTATGTCGACGAAGAGGACGACATGGATGCGATGGAGCGTGGCAGCCCCGAGGTCGATGAGGAGGCAAGAGAGGATGTCGTGGCCGCTGTGAAGGGCTTCGCTAGCCGTGCGGTTGCCGAGACCATGCCTTCAGCACGGTACTCTCCGCAGCTTCAACGCCACTTTGCGATCGTCGATGAAGCGCGACACAGTTCCAGAGATGGTGAGCGAGATGGTGATGGATGAGATGGGAGTCGTCTTGTCCATCCACGCTCGGACAGATCCGGACCCTGACTGACCATATCAGTCAACACTAAGTTTCCATAGCCGATGACAGGAAGATCCGCGTTGCTCTCTTAGCTCAGTCCGCGGCTTTCGAAGCACGTTCGGAAATTTAATTTTTCTCTCTCGCCTGCTTGTCACCGTGCAGGTGGAGGATGAGAATGCAATTTAAGCATCACATAATCAAGAAAAGTGGCACAGCGAGCGAGAGGCCAAAGAAGAAGGTCTCCGTTGCTCGTCAGTCCACCTTCTGACCCTTCACGACGCTGTTCAACACCCTCTTCTCACCACACGATACATCATGGATCTCAGCTCAATAACAGGCAAGGGCCCGTCCGCGCTCAGCGGTGCCACCTCGGCAGAGCGCAAGGAGGCCATCAAGCAGCAGGTGTAAGCCTTTCTCCACTCGTCCCATCTTTCCCTTTGAGATTCATAGATACTGACACACACATACTCTCGTTCCTCGCAGCTCCTCCGAACTGGCCATGGCCAACGCGCAGCAGCTCATCACCAAGGCCACCGAAAAGTGCTACATCAAGTGCATCCCCGCGCCAGGAGCAAGTCTGTCGGGCAAGGAACAGACCTGCCTCACACGATGCATGGAGAGGTACTTTGAGGCTTTCAACATTGTCTCGTCGACGTACGTCAGGAGGGTCGGAAACGAGCGGGCGGCAGGCGCCGTTGCTGAGGCCGGTCTCTAGTTTTGTAGCTTGGACACAAGGCACGCCCACTACCACCACTTTCACAACTCAAAAAAAAGCGGATTGGCAAGGCAATCTCCATGATGTTTTGACGCTCCAGAGCGCCCTGACTTGCGCAATGCGAATGTACCATTACCACGAAGAGCCGCCATAATGATGCGATCGCATTTGGAGATGGCACTCGAACCATCGTCGACGTGTTGTGTGGGTAGTGTTGCAAATTCGCCGTCAACCGGGCTGCAGCCTTCACCGTATGTTGCCGAACAGGTTGAGCGCAGACCTCCGCGCAGGACCGCCGATTGCGCCTTCTTCATCTTCGCCTTGTGCTGCCTCCCCTTCTCTCGCCGCAGACTGTATTGAGAGCAGCTGAGCCAGCGTGACATCCTGACCGTTGCCACTGGATGAGAGTGCTGTTCGAGTCTTCGTTGGCGGCATGGCATACGTCAACCCGTTCGTAGGCGCACGTTTCGTCCCTGCATCCCCCCCAGCAGGTGCACCGTTCGTCTTGGGCCCAAACACAACGAGCCGACGAATATGCGTGTCTTTGCCATTCAAATGGTTAGCCAGGATACACACCTGGATCAACCACACCCGGATCCCATCTCCACCATCCTCCTCGTCCTCATCCTCCCCATCCTCTCCCTTGGCCTCTTCCCCTTCCTGTCCGTCCTCATCCTCCTCATTGACACTCGCATCCACGCTGCCTATTGTCATGCTAAAGTGCTTCCATCCTTGCGGCGTATCAAACGTTCTTTGCCTCACCAGCGTCAGATCGTGGTAATTCGTCCCCGCTCGAACGGCAATCTTGGTCGGAGTGTACGAGTCGTCCTGCTTGACATCGAGGTAGATCGAGAGGTGGGTGACGCAGGTGCGACGGGCGAATTGGATGTTGATCAGATGCGGTTGGTTGCCGTCCGATTGCCAGAGTTTGGTGAGATCGGGAGAACGGAGTTCGGACACGCCAGAGCCGGGTTTGTAGGAGGAGAGCGTCCATTGCGTGCCGGGTGAGGAGCCTACGTCGGTTTTGGTGGTGCGATCTGCAGAGAGGTGAACGGAGTGGTGTTAGTGGTTTGGTGAGAGGACGATATGGTAGGGTGAGAGGGAAAGTCTTACCATCGACATCGTAGATCCGCCGGGAGCGTTTCGGCTTCGTGTCAGCGGTAGGCGGTGACTGAGCCGCGCCACGGCTCGTGCTTGCTTCAGCATTCTGCTGCATCCTTAGTGGTGTGTGCAGAAGTTGCACAGTCGATTGACGAGGCAGTTGGCTGAGGTGAAGCAGTCCAGAAGATGGTCGAAAGTGATCAGGGCAACGAGATATCTGAAACAACACCAAATTAACACATTTCGCCCCCGCGGTGGGGCTTTTCGAGTCGCGCTCGCGTAGAGTGGGACCCTCATCTTCGCACACACCCTACGCTTGGGAGACGTATACAGTACTCTTCAACTCAGCTGACGGACGATGGGTCGTGATGGAACATGCTCTATTGCGCGTCTGCTATGCTTGTCTAATTCGACGTCTCTCCCTCCTCGTCCGACGACGGCTTTGCATTCTCGTAGTTTGGCAGCTCCTTATCCTCTATGAACGCGCACCCGACCACCGTGCCTACACTGACCACCGCAATGCACACAAACACCCACCGCAACGCAAAGGCATACGACTCGATCGCAGCCTCCTGCAGCTCCTTTGGCAACTCGGGCACGATCGAGCTCTTGTGTCGAATCTCGGAGATGATCCTATCCGCGTCCTTCCCTGTGATCCTCTGTCGGAGCTGTTTCTTGAGCAGCGCCTGGAGCAGGGTTCCTCCTCCCGAGACACCCAGGATCTGCCCCGTGTTGCGAGCCATATACGACATGCTTGTTGCCACTGCAACATCTGAGCGCGGAACCGAGTTGATCAGTGCGATCAAGGTGCAGGTTAGCACGCCCGCGGTACCGAATCCGTGCGGTACGATAGCAGCATAGGTGAACGCCTCCGAGCTGTTCCGCGTGAACATCGCAACGCATCCAATCGACACAGTGATGATCATGCTATTGATCAGGTTGTATCGATAATACCGTCCAGAGCTGCGCATGATCACTCCGGCAAGGACCGAACCGACACTGAGCGCGATGCTGTTCGGGATGAGGTGCAGGCCGGCCATCGAGGGCGTCTCGAGCTTGACCGCCTGGAAGTAGAGGGGGAAGTGGTAGAGCGTGCCGAACGACACAATCGATAGACAGAAGTTGGCGAATGCCACCGCTGCCCCGGAGCGCTGCGTGATGAGGCGGAGCGGCAGAATGGGTGTCCGGGCGATCCTGGCTTCGGCGTAGAAGAAGAAGCTGATGCTCGCAAAACCGAAGAGGAACCCACCCCAGACCGAGGGGTGCGAGAGAGGCACGTCGTTGGCGCTGACCAGACTGAGCGAGATGAGCGTGCTTGAGAGACCCAGGACGAGCGAAAAGGCACCGGCAAAGTCGATGGAGCGCAGCTTGTCCCAGGTGGACTGCTGGGCGAGGCGATTCGGCGTCTTGACACGTACAAACCAGAACGCAAGGAGGTAGTCCGCCAGCAAGAGAGGGATTTGGAGGAGGAAGGCTCGTCGCCAGCCAATCGTGTCGTTCATCCAGCCTCCAATGGGACCACCGAGACCCGAGCCGAGACCAAAGATGATGTTCGTCAACCCTTGCAGCAGTCCCCTCTGCTTGAGAGGGACGACGTCCGAAAGGATGATGCTGGTGTTGGTGGTGAGGCCGCCGCCGCCGACTCCCGCCAACGCTCGCGCAAAGATGAGCATGTTCATCGACGTCGACATGCCGCACAGCCCCGTACCGACAGTGAAGAAGGTGAGTGCGATGAACATGCAATTGCGTCGACCCACAATGTCGGCCAAACGGCCGTAGAGAGGGGTGAAGCAGGCGACCGAGAGAAGATACGCCGAACCAAGCCACTGCGCCTGTTCGGAAGCGTTGAACGAGCTGCTGATGCTCGAGATGAGCGTTGCGGTGACGGTGCCGTCCATGCTAGCGACAAATACGGGGACCCATACCGCGGCGAGGAGTGGAGCGAGCGTACGCATGGGTGGCATGACCTTGACGTGGTCCTCGTCTTGGCCCTCTGGGACCGCATCGGCGTCTTGTTGGTGGTCATCGTGGTGGTTCGATGTGGACCGATAGTCTGTCCGTTGAGAGTCGCCTTGTTGCGAGGATATGAGCGAGGAGCGCTCGTCGACGCTGGGATTAGACGGCGCCATCTTGGTGTATGATTTGGTGGTACAGTAGGAAGAAGGGTATGAAGGTCGCCGGACTCGTGTGATAGGGCGGTTATACACCGATCCGGTCATCGTCAATTTCGGCGGTCTTTTCGGTTGATTTGCCGGCGATTTCTCTGCAAAGATATCAGCTCTCGACTGGCCGCCATTGGCTCTTCGAAGACTCAAGATGATATTTCCACAAGCAAGCGAGACTGCAGGCCGTGAGCTATGTTGACGGCAAGCCTTCAGACCTAGAGTCCGAAGAAGGCGTCCAAAGCTGTGACCTTGTGGGTTGAGAGCCGAGCCAGGGCGGACCATGCATGCAGCCTGGCTTTTTCGAATGTTGTTAAGTCGCTTTTCTGCCTGAGCTGTGGAAATCGTCTCCGTTTCCCGATGAATTTTTCTTTTTGGCTGCTGCTTCTGAGCCAAAAATTTGTCTTTTGCTGTGACTTTTCTGAAGCTTCTCAGCAGAGAGCGTTTCTTCCTGTTCCTTGTCATTGCCACTGTTTTTTGCTGTTCAACACCATCAACAGCGAACAGCATCATGCCTGGACTCAAGCGATCTAGGCCAGCAGAGGATGCGGCTGCCTCTTCGGCGGCTAGCTCCTCCAAGTTCAAGGCTACCAAAAAGACAAAGAGCGCCGCCGCTGCTTCGACTTCGGCGGCCCCTTCTACTTCGCTCCTCTCGGCGCAGGAAGTCGACTTTCCTCGTGGTGGGAGCTCTGGCTTGACACCTCTCGAGTTCCGAGAAGCAAAGCGCGAGGCTCGCTCCGAATCAGCCGCCAACGAGTTGCTCTTCAAGGATGCCAAGGACGAACAGGCCGAAGCAAAGCGCATCAAGATGAAACAGAAGCTCAACCGCGACAAGCGCAACGATGCCAAGAAAAAGCGCGGCCCCGCTACTTCCGCTGCACCGACAAAGACATACGAGAAGAAGGATCACAACCGTATCGAGCACATCAACTACAAGCGTCTCATCCCCGGCTCGAGGCTGCTCTGCTCGGTCTTGGCCATTCACCCATTGGCTGTGGTCGTCTCGCTGCCCAACCAGATGCTCGGTCACATCCCCGTCACACAGATCAGCCCACAGTTCACGCAACGTCTTCAAGCTGCCGCTGATGCGAGCGCTGAGGACGATAGCGAGCAGGATGACAGCATGGACGAGGACAGCGACGAGGAGGATGCAGGGGCGAACGGCTCCTCGAGCAAGAATGTCAAGAAGGTCCCCGAGCTGCGTGACCTTTTCCATATTGGTCAGTGGCTCGTCGCCAGCGTTGTCCAGGTCCGCGGCAGCGACGTTGCCAAGGGTCGACCGACTCGTGAAGGCGGCGAATACGAGAAGGAGTCGCGTCGTGTAGAGCTTTCCCTGGCACCTCACCTCGTCAACACCGGTATGGCCACCTCTGATCTCGACGCCGGCGCCACCCTCACCGCCGCCATCTCGAGCATCGAGGACCACGGCTACATGCTCGACACTGGCATCTCCGAGTTCGGCGGCTTTGTTCCCTTCAGCGAGGCTGCCAAGCTCCCCGCCAGCTTCAACGCGGGCAAAAATGGCAAGTCGCTCCACGTCGGCAGCGTCGTCTTTGCCAAGATCAAGTCGATACCCGAGAACAAGCGCAGCTTTGAGGCGACGCTCGACCCCAAGACAGTCACCACCAGTCCGATCAAGCACGCTCCCAGCATCACCGCCATCCTCCCTGGCACGCTGACCAAGGTGCTCGTCACCGCTGCGCTCCCCACTGGTCTCAACGTCAAGCTCTTTGGCATGTTCGATGCCACCATCGATCGCTTCCACCTGCCGGAGTTGCCGGAAGGCAAGGACATCCCAGACATTTACAAGGAGGGCTCCAAGCACGTTGCACGTGTGCTTTGGGACCTGCTCAGTCCGCCCTCGACCGCTTTGCAGGGTGACAACCCGGACCACGAGCGCAAGTTCGGTCTCTCGTTGGCACCGCATGTTCTTGCTCTCGAGGCTCCCGTCGCGAAAGACAAGCAGCTGCTCCAGCACGCCTATCCCATCGGCGCTGCCCTCAAGGCCACCGTCGTGCAGACCATCAACGACTGGGGACTCATCGTCTCGATCCAGGGCACCGACCTGCGCGGTTTCGTCCACATTTCCCAAGTCTCGGATGACCACGTCGTCTCGCTCCCGCCCTCCTCCGGTCCCTTCAGCAAGGGCACTACCCACAAGGCTCGCGTCGTAGGCCACTCTCCCACCGACCGCACCCTCCAGCTCTCCCTCAAGCCCTCGGTCCTCGAGCGCAAGTTCATGCGCGTCTCCGAAGTCGAGGTTGGCGAGATCGTCAACGCGAGCATCGTCAAGCTCGACCTGCCGCACGCCATCTTCTTGCAGCTGCAGGGTCACGTCGACGGCGTCGTCTTTTCGCATCACTTTGCCGACGTCAAGCTGACCCAGCCCGAGAAGCGGTTCAAGCCTGGACTCCAGGTGAAAGCGCGCGTGATGGACGTCGACCCGAATCGCAACCGCATCGTTCTGACGCTCAAGAAGTCGCTCGTCAAGTCGGATCTGCCGATTGTTGCGTCAATGCAGGATGCGCGCGTCGGTGTGGTGACAAATGCAACCGTGTTCAGGGTGCAGACCAACTCGCTCATTGTGAGCCTGTTCGGTGGGCTCAAGGCGCTCGTGCCCGGCAGGGAGGTCAGCGAGGACGACTTCAACGATGTCAAGAGCGGATTCACGGAGGGCAAGGTGGTCAAGATGAGGATCACCGAGGTCGACTACGAGAATCAGAAGCTCGTAGGTAGCATCAAGCAGGCTTCGCCCGAATATCTCGCCAAGCTCAACGTGGACGCGGTCGAGGTGGGCGAGAAGGTGACGGGCAAAGTGGCTGCGGTGCACAAGGAGGTGGTGGTGCTGACGCTCGTGCCTTCTGGTGTGCGTGCGCTGCTCTCGCTGTCCGTGTTGGCTTCCATCCGAGGTATGACGTCGGAAGCTCTGCTCGAGAGTCTCGAGGAGGACCAGGAGATCGAGGACCTCGTCGTATCGGTCAAGAACCCGGGCAAGGGCATCGTAATCGTCGCCGACAAGGTGCGCACCAGCAAGAGCGCCGACGAAGGGGCCAACGGTGTCACGTCGGGTCAGGTCAAGCAAGGCGCCGTCGTCCAAGGTCGTGTCATCCAGAAGAACGACAAGTACCTCGACTGCATCGTCGCTCTCGGCACGGCCACCCGTGCTACGCTCCACATCACCGACACCGCGGACGACTTTTCCTCCGCCGTCACCCTCCCCACTCCCGGCCAGACGGTGCCCTGCTATGTCGTGTCGCTCAAGCCCAACGGCAAGAGCGCCGTCATCTCCACGCGTCCCTCCCGCATCTCCCCTTCTTCGACCGAAGTCGTCGACCCGGAGATCACCAACATCACCGACCTGTCCAAGAACCAGAAAGTCCGCGGCTTCGTCAAAGCCATCACCAACGTTGGTCTTTTCGTGACCATTGGGCGCAAGATCGATGCGCGCATCCAGGTGCGCGAGCTCTTCGACGACTTTACCCGCGATTGGAAATCCCGCTTCACTGTCGGTCAGCTCGTCTCGGGCACGATCATGGACGTCAACTCTGCGTCTAATGAGGTGGAGATGTCGCTCAAGTCGACGCCGGGAGCCATCAAGCCCCGGGCCGAGCGGGTGGATGACGGCGACAAGAAGAAGAGGTTGACCGACTTCAAGGTGGGCGAAAAAGTCAAGGGTTGGATCAAGAACGTGATCGACTTTGGCGTTTTCGTCCAGGTTGAGGGGACGAATGTGTCGGGGCTCGCGCACATGAACGAGTTGAGCGACGGAGATGCGGGCGAGGCGCTCAAGGCGTTCAGGGTGGGCGACAAGGTCCGTGCGGTGGTGCTGAGGGTCAACGCCGAGAAGAGGAAGATTAGTTTCGGGTTGAAGGCGTCTTACTTTGACGCTGCTGATTTCGAGGACAGCAGCGATGAGGAGGAGGACGAAGAAGAGGACGAGGAGATGGTCGATGCCGACTCTGAAGAGAAGGACGATGAGGAGGACAGCGATGACGACGACGAAGAGGATGATTTTGTCGAGATGGACGAGGACAGCGATGCCTCCGACGACGACGCGCCTTCGCAACCGACCAAGTCGGGCGTTCCCTCGCTCGCTCTCTCGGGCGGCTTCTCCTGGTCGGCCGGTGCCAACGACGACGATGCCGCCTCGGACCTGTCCTCGTCCGACTCGGATTCCGACTCGGACACCTCTACCGCTGCTGCTGCCAAGACCGCCGCGCGCAAGCAAAAGCCCCCAAAATCCCGCAAGACGCTCGAAGAGGACCTCACCGCCGACCTGGCCACCAAGACCCCCACCTCCTCGACCGACTTCGAACGTCTCCTCCTCTCGTCGCCCAACTCGTCTTTCCTGTGGATCCAATTCATGTCGTTCGCCCTTCAACTCTCGGACGTCGCCCAAGCGCGCACCATCGCCCGCCGCGCGCTCAAAGTGATCAACTATCGCGAAGACCAAGAGCGTCAAAACGTTTGGATTGCCCTGCTCAATCTCGAAAACACCTACGGCACGGTGGAGGAGTTTGATGCGACCTTCCGCGAGGCGGTCCAGGCGAATGACGGGTTCACCATGTATCTCAAGGCCATTGGTATCCTTGAGGGGAGTGGGAAGGTTGAGGGGGCGGAGGAGTTGTTTGGGAAGGCGAAGGGAAAGTATTCCGTGTTGTCCGAGTTCTGGGTTGAATACGCGCGGTTTTATCTCAGGACGGATCAGCCGGATGCGGCACGAGCGCTGTTGCCCAGGGCAATGCAGGCAGTGCCCAAGAGGGAACATACAAGGACGATCACTGCGTTCGCAATTAACGAGTTCAAGCTCGGCGATCCCGAACGCGGAAGGACGATCTTTGAAGGTCTGGTGGATAGCTTCCCGAAGAGGTTGGATCTGTGGTGGCAGTACATCGATCAGGAGAGTCGACTGGGGGACAATCAGCAGCAGGTGCGCGGGCTCTTCGAGAGAACCATGACGCTCAAGTTGACCGCCAAGAAGGGCAAGAGTCTGCTCAAAAAGTGGTTGGAGTACGAGAAGAGGGAAGGGGATGGCAAGAGCCAGGCGAGGGTGCTCAAGCGGGCCAAGGAGTTTGTGGATGAGATCAGTAGGAAGAATGCCGAGGCGGAGGAGGAGGATGAGGAGGAGGAGTAAGGGATGTAGGAGTTGATCGCGAAGTTCAAGCAATGATACGGTTTCACGTTTTGACAAGGTTGGGTTGTGTGAGTGCGAGCGCTGAGCTGGATAGGCTTGGAAGAGGCCGTGTCATTCGAACAGGAGCAGCCCAAATGGCACATGCGGGTGGAGTCTCTTGATCAGCGTGCTTTTTGACTGAGTGATGTCGCAGATGTTGTACGCTAGCAGTGAGGAAAGTTTGAGAGTGACAAAGATGTTCATCGAAGGCTCGAAGACTTGATGTGATGATCCATTTTCAACGAGACCCCTCCGTGTCGCTGTCCCAGTTTGCTGCTTGGTGCGTTCAAGCGATGTGTCGACCAAGCATCTCGTTGACCATGTAGTACGCGATGGGAGCTGTATCGTATCACGGAACTGTCGTCAGCATTCGCTCTTCACCATCTAGACCGTCTCTTTCATCGACAAGCAGACCAAAATGCCTGGCAGTAAACGGAAGGGGCTGCTTACCAAACCACAAACCAGCAGCATACAGTCCGGTGGTTCTGAGCGTTTGACGAGCTGCGAGCTTGGCAGCGGCCGCCTCTTGCGGCGAGGGTTGACGGGGGGCTCCTCCGAACATTTCTGGCGCAAAGAAAGATGTGGTGATGAGAGAGACGATGGTGGTGGAGGGAAAGAGAACTTTTTTGCTCGTCCCGATGAGGTGTAGAGACGGATCGGGGAGGCTTCAGGGTCCAGCGTCAAAAGTCGCCGAGATTTTGGCGAGCTTTAGAAGAACCTAGCCACCACCATTGCCTCATACGAATCGGCGCAACGACGATAGCGAAGAACGATGTCGGGCATCGAGAGCGACGTCAGCCCGGTCGCAGGTAGCAGCAGTACCGCGCCAACCCGCACGACGGTCCAGCACCAGCAGCTGCCACCACGGCCCAAGCTCGTCCTCACCTATCCGTCGGCCGAGGTTCGCACCCGACCGTCCTCCTCCCGCAGCAAGGATGATGAGGAGTACGTCCCATACGAGCTGTCCGGTCTCACTCCGCTATCCACTCACGAGGAGGGCGAGGACTGGGTGTCGATCATCAGCGCCCCGGCCCACGCGCCCATCGAAAGCTGGCTACACGTCATGCAGTCGCTCATACGGCATCCCGAGCGCACATCGAGCAACATCCTTCGCGCCGGCATTGTCGCCGAAACCAATGAGGACGCTTCCACAGCAACTTTGAGGGGAAAGGGCTGGAAGAAGCAATGGACAATACGCCGAGAGCTCGTTCCGCGAAGACCCAATCTAGACTGGAGGATGGAGCAGGACTGCTCGTTGTTCTACCGCTACTCGCTCGATGAGGAGCACGAGGATGAGCCGGTGGAGGCGGTGATCGTCTATACGCCATTGATTGGAGACACGTCGCACGCCAAGATAGGGCTTTCCGACAGCAACACGCTCCGGGGTCAACCGCCATCCAACGAAGCGCTGATTCCGTTCTACCATCCCAAAGTGCGCGCGTTAGCCTTTCACTTCCACCCCTCGTCCCACCCCACCCCTCTCCCGACCGACTCCAACGATGGCGAACCGACCTTCGGCACGCTCAGCATCTCTCTCATCCCCTTTTCCCCCTCACCCCCCGCCTTCTCCCCAACCCACCGCCTCACCCGCGTCGCCCACTCCCTCTTAACCACCCTTCACATGCACACCTGGGGCCATCGGCACGACTACACCAAACGCGTCCATCACGATACGCTCGTCCCGCGCACGCTCTACCAGGACACCTACCTCGCGCTCAAGGTGCGCTATGCTGGTGAGCTTATCGCGGGATGGGCGGAAGCGACGGATCCGCGCAAGCACGTGTTTGAAGAGATGGGCATTGCTGCGTTTTTGATTGGGTTGTGGTCTCTCCACTATGGTGGGGAGGAAGGGTGGAAGGGCAAGGTGAGGTTTGTCGATGTAGGGTGTGGCAATGGGTTGCTGACGTATATTCTGATGCGCGAAGGTTTCCAAGGGATAGGATTGGATTTGAGAAAGAGAAAGAGCTGGGCGAACTTCACCGCTCAAGGCGCACGACTGGAAGAATGGAACTTCAACCCAAGTTCACTGCTCACCGAGTCAGCGGAGCAGTGGAAAGGCGCATGGTTGTTGGGCAACCACGCCGATCAGTTGACACCATGGATTCCCGTCTTGGCGACCCACTGTGGAGCACAAGGATTCATCAATTTGCCCTGCTGCTACTACGCGCTGGATGGGAGCAGGAATTTCGACCTGACGTTGCGCGGAGATGTGTCGCGCAACGAGCAGTACCTGGCGTACGTGAGGAGGATCCAGGAGAGGTTCGCGTGGAAGGTCGAGCTGGATCCGCTTCGAATCCCGAGTACGAAGAACTGGTGCTTTGTGGGCAGGACGCGGGAGAAGGTGGACGAGGAGGTGTTGAGGGAAAGAGTCAAGACGGCGGTGGAAGAAGCCTTGCGGACGGGTTGGGCTGTCGGTGATCCAACAACCACTTGATCTCTCACTTTGCCAAACACAATCCACATTCTCACACATGTCTGACTCCTAGGGATTGAGCTTTCCATTCCATTTCCGTCACTCGGAATGCCATCCGTACCGCATAAACGCATCGACGGTGCTCACCTTGGCATCGGTGAACGCGCTCGCCAGTCCGCGCATCTCCATGTACAACCACACCTTCAACATCGGCAACGCCCTCTTGATCTCCTCCTTCTTGGGCACGTGCATGCCCCCACCCTCCTGGTGCTGCAGCTCCCTACCCAGATGCCTCAAGATCGGCAGCGCCGACTTGAACAAATCCATGTCCGGATCGAGCTGTCTCCCAATTCCTTCCAGCAACAGGATCGAGATGACCGTGTTGACGAAATCGGCCTCCATCTTGACATGGTGATCCCGCACCGCCATGAGCACCTTGTTCAGCACGTCCGAGATCTTGATCTTGGCCAAGCTGAACGTTTTGGACTTGACGCTGAGTACGAGGTCCTGCATCTTCATGGCGAACTGCTCCTGGTCGACGACGAGTTCGGGTGAGCGACAGCGTTCGACCATGAGATGTCCCGCCAGGGCGCCGTCGAACTGCGCGACTGCAGAGAAGAGGTCGAGGAAGTTGCGCCTGTTCAGCGGGGTCAGCTCGACCGTGAGACCGGCGTCGAGGAGTACAATCTCGGGCTGGTAGCCTTGCGCGTCGAGCCGGTCGAGCTCGTCCAGCCAGGCATCCTGGTCGTGGCGCAAGGGACGAAGACGGTCGACAATGCTCTGGTCCACCTGCTCGTCCGGTGTCAGAGGCGCTTTGCGATGCCCCGGTGCGTAGTCGCTGTCGAACTTGCTGAGGATCCGCGCAAACAGGTCCGAGAGGAGAGACTCGGTGGAAGGCTTGTAGAACTTGATCATGATGTTTCCGGGATGCAGGTCGGCGTGGGTAAAGTTGTCGATGAGCAGCATGTTGAGGAAGGCATCCAGACCCAGGTTGGCGATGCGGTGGTCGAATTTGGCCCCACCCATCTGCAGGAAGTGTTTGAGGGGCAGAGCATCTTCGTACTCCTCGATGAGGACTTGCTTGGTGCTGAACTGCGTGAGAGGGCGTGGGAAGGAGATGGCCGATCGACGACGGGCGAAATTCTCCTCGAACCGGCTGAGGTTGTTCGCTTCGTTGCGCAGGTCGAGCTGCGAGAACATCATTTCAGAGAACACGTCGACTTCCTCGGGGAACGAGAGCCATTCGGCACCGGGAATGAGGTTGATGAGTTTGGCAAAGAAGCGCATGATCTTGATGTCTCGTGCGATGGTCTTCTCGACGCGAGGATGCAGGATTTTGATGGCGACGCTGTTGGTGGGGATCTGAGGAGGCGCGACGTCTTCTTCGTACGACAGCGCGAGCGTCTTGGAGAGCTTCTGCTGGGCTTCGCCTTTGGTGGCCTCCTTCTTGGCTCGCTTGTATCCAGGTGGCAGCAGATCATGTTTGAGCGTCGCTTTGTACACCTGCGCGACCGCTCCGATCCCCATGGGCTCGTGACCAAAGTGCTCAAAGATCTCGTCGAATTTGCGCTGGAAGATTCGCTCGATGACGCGCTTGGTGTAGCGGAACGAGTGGGGTTTGCCGTTGGAGTGGAGTCGACCGAGACGCTGGCAGAGCTCGTCGGGGAAGAGATCCTGACGGCTTCCTGCCCATTGAGCGAGTTTGATGAAGGTGGGACCGGCGCGTTCCATCTGCTTGACCAAAAACGAGTACCACCAGATGGCGCCCCAACGATCGCCCTCTTCGTCCTTGCGCACCTTTCGGCCTCGCATTCTGCCCTTTTCTCTCCTGCTGCCGATGAGCAGCATCGGAGCGGTGAAGATGACGGGGAGGAAGAGGATGCAGAGGTAGAGGAAACGGCGTGTTGTGCCGATGGGCTCGATGATCAAGGCATGGATGACATTGCCGACCTTGATGAAAGCTCGAACTATGATATTACGTCGATGGAGGTCTTCATCATCTTCTTCTGGTACGGGAGGCGCGAAGTCACCATGCTGTGGTTGCGTCTGGGTTTGCGGTTTGGGCTGGGTCTCAGGCTCAGCCTGCAGTGGACTCTGCGCAAGATAGTAGTCTAGAACGAGCGCAGTTCCCAGACCAGCGATGGCTATCGAAGTAATCCGTCCGATCCGCGAGTCCGAGTACGAGTGTGATTGGCCTGCTCTGCCGGAGGTCGAGGTGAAGTTGCGGATGTTTGCAAGCTGCTTCGGCTTTGGAAGCACGCGAAGGGACCGTGACGATGCATGGAGAGGTTGGTTAGGACGATCAGCCTGGCGGGCGATGGATACAAAAGCCTTCTCGTGGTTGCAGCTGAGGTGCCGGGAGGTCCAAGTTGAGGAACGGAAAGAGTCCACAACGCTTCCTCTTGATGCCAAATGGTGAGAAAAGCGGCTGTTGGGCGCCAACGCCAATCTGCTGCGCAGAAGGGGCAGCATGTTGCTACAAGACAGCTTGCTTGATGGAGGTCCTCGTCGTGATCGTCTACAATGGCATCATCTGCTGGCAGCTTGTATGCGTCGTTGAGGGGGGTTGGGAGCGAGGAACGCCTTGCCTCGAGTGGTCGTCGACGGTTGAGTTGGATGTGATCCGAGATGGGGTCCGGAAGGGAGCGGTCGAGTGGATGAGAAGAGGGTCTGATAGCAAACGTGTCTGTGAAAGGGCGCACCAAGTAGCTACATCGCCTTTGTCTTGCAGTGCTCAACAGTCAGCAGCTGCAGCAGCCTTGCATCCATAGATAGGCTCTGCGATTTCACATCTTACAAGAAAATCACCGTCAATCCTCCACCTTGTCGCCAACGCACGAGCCTGCGTCCATCGGTGCATCGTCATAAACGCGTTCACCCGACTCGACACGCTCCTGCGCCTCAGAAAATTCATTTTCAGGAAGAAACCAACACCCTCTCGTGTAGCCGCCGAGGTGTCTTACGGCATCCGCACGTCCAACTCTGCCAACCTTCCCATCCTCTCCATCCTCACCCGCAGCTCAACACCAACACCGCCAGCCTAGCATGAACGAGTCCAACGATTACGAGCAGGAACGTCTCAAGAACATCAAGGAGAATGAGCGGCTCATGAAGGAGCTTGGTGTCATGGGGGGTTCCTCTGCCATCGGCGGCCCCTCTCCCAAACGCACCACGCCCACCAAGCCCAAAAAGAAGCCGACCACGCCCAAGAAGAAGGCGGATGTGACGCCGACGCGCATCATGCCCAGTCGTTCGTCCGCGCGGCTGGCCGGCCACGAAGCCGACTCGGAGACCCTCAAGCGCAAGTACGAGGAGGAGGCCGAGGAGGCACGCAAGGTGGCCGAGGCGGCCAAGAGGGCGAGACACGGCCAGTTTGATCTATCGGGGATGACGGGGGGCGAGCTGGAGGAGGAGGCCATCGCAGCACTCGAGGCGACACTAAACGGATTGGCGGCGAACAAGGCGCAGGCTGCCGAGCTGGTCGATATCAAGCAGGAGAAGAAGCGCAGAAGTGGCAAGCAGGAGGACGAAGCGCAAAGCCAGGAGAGGACGGAGCTCGAAGAGGTGCTGAACAGGATGACGCTCAAGTCGGTCGCCAAGGTGACGCCGAAGCGCGTGTACTCGATGGCATACCACCCGTCGATGGACAAGGATCTGGTCTTTGTCGGCGACAAGGAGGGCTTTATTGGTGTGTGGGATGCTGCGCCCATCGCCTCGTCCTCCACCAGCAACGGGGTCAAGAAGGAAGTCGACGACGATGAGGAGGAGCAAGACGCCGGAGAGACCTTCCCGGAAGGCAAGGCATGGACGCTCCAGGTGCACGGTCGCAGTCCCGTCACATGCATCAAGTTCGATCCGGTCGACCACAACTCTGTCTTTTCCTGCTCGTACGACTCCACCGTTCGCAAACTCGACCTTTCCTCCGGCAAATCAGACGAAGTCTGGGCAGGGGAAGAAGACGTGCTGCTCTCGATCTTCGACGTCCTCTCGCCGCAAACCCACCCAAGCGCTTACATCGACACGCCCAATCCTTCGCTCGACGAGCGTTCGCTGTGGATCGCCGACCATCGTGGCGGTCTGCTCCACATCGATCTCCGCGAAAAGACGCGCAGGGGCAACAACACCCGACGCTGGCAGGTGTGCGAGAAGAAGATCGGGGCTATGTCGGTCAACCGTCTCGCACCGCACTGCATCGCCACCGCCTCGCTCGACCAGCATGTGCGCCTGTTCGACGTGCGTGCCCTCGCATCCGTCGTCAAGCAGACCGCCGAGGCGCCGTACAACTACAAGGGGGTCGATGCGGACGATTTGGAGGCCGCACAAACCAAGGCGCAGTTTGCATCCAGCAAAGCGAGACAGGCGTGCACGTCGGTGGATTTCAGCCCGAGGGGAGACCAGTTGGTGGGAGTCAGCTACGACGATGTCGTCAAGGTGTGGGACATGGATCCGAGCTGGCTGTACTCGGATGATGGGTTGAAGAGCAAAGCGACGGTGACAAAGGCGAATGGTGCTGCGAAGGGCGGGCGCAAGAGCGGCGCCGGGGTCAAGAAGGAAGATGCTGACGAGGCGCCCAACGGCGGTCTGATGAAGTGGCTCTCGACAGCAACGCCGCTCAAAACCGAAAAGGAAGTGCAAGAAGCGATCAAGCAAGAACAAGCCGCGCCGGCCATCAAGACGGATCGACCCGAAGACGTGCTTGCCGAACCGAATCGCATTCCACACAACAATCAAACCGGCAAGTGGCTCACCATGTTCCGTGCCAAGTGGAACCAAAATCCGCTGCTAGAACCTCACTTCACCATTGGCAGCATGACGAGGAGAGCCGAAATCTACGCCGCAGACGGGACACTGCTCAGAACTTTGTGGGACGAAAACCTGGTCACGGCCGTTCCGGCTGTTACGTGCATGCACCCTGTTCGGCCAGGTAGGCTCGTCACCGGCAATGCGTCCGGCCGATGCACCTTTTGGAGTCCAGATGCGTAGTTGCGCGCGCACTCACCTTCGTTTGTCTCAGGATACCCCACACGCTCCACAGCGCAATCACAGAGAACGCATGTCGAAATAGTCAAATTTTGTGTGTGTATGACCTGTGTGCGAGAACTTCCGCTTCCCAAAAGGAGAATCCATTCCTACGCCGTACGCCGCGCAGCTTAGAGCTTGCCGGTGGAGCCGAGATCGGTGAAGGCCTCCTTGCAGCGGGTGGCCATGGTCTTCTCACCCTCACGAACCCAGACACGGGGGTCGAAGAACTTCTTGTTGGGCTTGTCGGCGCCATCGGGGTTGCCGACCTGGCTCATGAGGTAGTCCTTCTTGTTGAGCACGTAGTCGCGGATACCGAGGAGGTAAGCCCACTGGGTGTCGGTGTCGACGTTCATCTTGACCACACCGTGCTTGACGGCAGTGGTGATCTCGTGCTTCTCGGAGCCGGAACCGCCGTGGAAGACGAAGAAGACCGGGTTCTCCTTGTCGGCCTTGATCTGCTCGCGGACGTAGTCCTGGTGCTTGCCGAGCAGCTCGGGCTGCAGCGAAACGTTTCCGGGCTTGTAGACACCGTGCACGTTACCAAATCCGGCGGCAATGGAGAAGTTGGGGGTGATCTCGGAGAACTGGCGGTAGATGTCCCAGATGTCCTCGGGCTGGGTGTAGAGCGAGGCGTTGTCGACACCCTCGTTGTTGACACCGTCCTCCTCACCACCAGTGATACCGATCTCCATCTCGAGCCAGATTCCGAGCGGGGCCATGCGCTTGAGGTACTTGACGCAAGTCTCGATGTTCTCCTCCTTGGGCTCCTCAGAAAGGTCAAGCATGTGCGACGAGAAGAGGGGCTCGTTGTGCTCCTTGTAGTACTCCTCGTCGGCGGCGAGCATGCCGTCGAACCAAGGAAGCAGCTTCTTGGCGCAGTGGTCCGAGTGCATGATGACGGGGACACCGTAGGCGGGAGCGACGGCTCGGATGAAGAGAGCGGCAGCCTTGGCACCGATGATGGAAGCCTCCTGGTTCGAGTTGGAGAGACCCTTGCCGGCAAAGTTGGCGGCACCACCCTGGGAGACCTGGAGGATCAGGGGCGACTTGGCATCGCGGGCAGCCTCGAGAGCAGAGATGGCGACCGAGGAGGACTAGCGGGATTGCGGCAGATTGGAACGAGACGAGTCGCAGATGAGAGGCAAGAAGGTCAGCTGCCATTCACAAATCAGGGACTTCTCGCGAAAACGCAGCTCAGGGAAAGCGGCGCTCTTGGGTCCGCTATCACTTCGCTCGCTCCACCAAATTGATACTTACAGTGACGTTGAAGGCGGGGATGGCAAACTTGTGCTCACGAGCGTAGTCGAAGACCTTGTAGACGTCCTTTCCGGAGACGACACCGGCGGGAACAATGTCGATAACACCCATTCTGTGGGAGGTACGGAAAAGAAAAGCAGAGCCATATAGTCAGCAACATTATCTAGCATTTGGAGTTCGGACCCGTTCCTTGTTCGCCGTCGTTCGTCCCAGCGACTCGTCCAGAGTAAGTCGTCTGCGATGTCGTCGGACCTCTCAAGGCGGAAGATGTGACAAATGACGACGGAGGAGCAAGGCTGACCTCGCGGACTCGTTTGAGCACTCACTTTGCTGTGTGTGTATGAATGAAGGGAGGAGATGGTATGAGATGAATGTGGTGGTGGCGGAAGAAGAAACACAACGGACGGATAGAGCCGATGAGATGCTGTTGCTCTCGCTGTCCTTTGTCGATCTTGACTGCAGCAGGCCCTGCGCAAAAATGCTCGAGCCAGCCAAGTCGCATCTCAAACACATGACCCGCGCTGTGTCTGTTTTTGCGGTTGCACGGTGCATCAAATATCGATCAGGAAGACTTGCTCGAAATTAGAAACCAATCGAAGCTCTCTCGACTGGCTATCTTGAGTTCTGCCGCCTTTGTGTTTGTTGCTCCTGTTGATCGCCTCATTGCACCCCATCGCTTCACACAAGGCTTGGGTCGGCATCGGACTGCTCTGTCCGACGTCCTGCACGAGACCCTTCTGTCAACGCACAAGCACAGGCATGAATTGCTGTCAGACAACGAAAGCGAAGTCGAGCTCTGCAAGCGTCTCACGATCGACCTAAGCCAAAAGTGAGATTTTACCTCCACCTTCTCTGCTTGCTCGCTGCTGCCCAGAGCCTCGCGGAAACATCCGCCTCCCTTTCCTTTGCGCAGCCTTGCCGCTTTGCTCGCAAACATGGTCAGTGCTCTTCGGG